GGGAGCGCCCTTTCCGGCACTCCGTACTCCGTAGGGCTGCCTCTATTCTCTGTCATGTATCACGAGTTAGGTACTAGTAGTATGTATGAGGACGTTGTCCCGTTGCAGGAAAGCGACAAGCTCCCCCCACCCCCAATGCCTTGCTCCTGCCGTGCATTGGTTCAGTCACGCACAACTATCATCACCACATCGAGATGCAGGATGATGCTCCTCTGTCATCAGAAAATCCCTTCAACGGTATGATGCAGCTCCGTCACCACTCAATAGTCGATACTTCTGCACACACCACCACCAAACCAGGGTTCTCCGCCATCCGGCACCCAAACTACCTTCTGCTGTCCCATTGCCGTAGTTCCGTTGCAAACCAAAACGTGGTGCCCTGTTTCTGTCCGTTCAATACGGTGGGTAGATGATTCAACCTGCTACACACCAAGTGCCGGTGCTATTTCTAGGCGCTGACAGTGGCCTCACAGCACCGACTCACAACCCTCATGCTTTTTGATTTCCACGATCCTCAGGTCGGCGTACGCCTCACGCCGCACGCCGCAGACTGCATCGGTCTAGCATACTGCGTAGCTGCGCCCGTTGTTGATCTTTAGCTGTCCATACGCCCTTCTACGAGATCAACACGCGTGTCAAAGTTGGGGCCCTGAGGAAGGCCGGACGTTCAGTGAATTTCCACACCGCCCTTCGACATCATTTCCCCGGCAAGACGAGTCCGCCCCACGCCAATATATTACTCGTGAAAAACTAGTACCTCGACTTCCCGATCTCAATAAACAACGGCGGGCGCGCTAGGCTGTACGCAACAACGAACGCGGCACTATCGGTTCCCTTGTTGTTCAACCAGATAGGCCCTAAAATTCGCCCGTCGGCCGTGAATGGACAGTGTCGGAACCAACTCTACACTTCGCTAGCAATGTCTCGAAAAGCAAAAGCCGGCGGTTGTCAAACCAGACCACTGGTTTTCCAGAGGGGAGCGTCCAGGCAGAAATGAGAGGCTACCTGTAAGATCCTGGTCTGACACTTGTTAGGTATCCAGTACAATGCCATGTGTTGCGCTCACCTCGGCCACGAGGACGCAACGCACACGCCTTGAACCAGGTGTCTACACACCCTTTGCAGTCAAGGGTTTCGAGTACCATTTGAACCAGCCACCAGCACGCCACACCCTCTCCACGGACCGAAAACGAGTCTGACATCAATCATATATGAAGAATATGGAGTCGTGAATCAATTCTGCAGAGCATATGACCGAAACGAGTGTTTGAGTCAGTGACAATATCCCCGGTGGTGTCCAAGCGATGCGCGTGCTCAACACAAGTTGGACTCGAGCAATCGTATGGACTCTCAATGGCTTCCGGCCACTCTTGGGGAAGATTCGAAGTGAGGGGGTTCTTGGCCAATGGAACTTCTGGCAAGGGCCTTAGGCCTGGCGCGCTCTGGACGCAAATTAATGCCCCAGCCCACTATTTCTAGTTTACAGGGGTACGCCTATTAGCACAACACCGAACACCACGCAGCACCGAACACCACGCAGCAGCTGGCCCACGATTCCTGGCGTCGACGTAGACGCGAAATACCACCCGAAGAACAACTGACGCTTGTGACTTGTCCAGCCACGACACCAAGGGTCGGTGAGACGACCAAAGTCGGCACCGTGCCGGCTTCTCTTACCGCGTAGTCAATGGGGACTTGGCATTCAGCAGCCGGGTTAACCGGTCACGCCATGCTCGGAACCACGCCCTTTAGGTTGGTGAGATTGAACTCGGATTCTTCGGGACCTGGATCTATCACCATTTGCATTCTGGCATGAGTCCATGAGGGTTTGAATTGAAAAAGGTTAGTCGAGACAGGACGGTGTGAGACACGTCCAATGCATGTGTTCCAATTAAAACTGTTTTGTTTTACCCGGGAGAGCAACTGCATTTTAAAAAGCATGCAGAGCATTCCTTTCTCCGCGTCGTGCCACGCGGTCAGTAAGTCTACGCCAATACGTCTCCCCCCCCACACTTGCGTCTGTTGATTATTAGGTCGTTAGTATTTGTCGTCAGCAGCCACTCGCTCTTCCCCCGCCGCCGCAACTCATCAGGGCCACTGAACCAGAAGCCACGAGCCGCTACCAACGCCCTTGGCGAAAGGGGGGAACGGAGGGCCGCATCTTGGTGGCAGTGGCTGCTTGCTAAGAGGAGCCAATATACCATCTCCGCTGATGTGGTTTACTTCCTGAACACGTGGCAGATGCCGCTCGTGCCATCTCACCGTCCGTCAATGCCGAAGGCTCAAGTACAATAACACTGGGTGCTCATCTGGTGATAAACACGCTTCCTATGGACTCTATCGTCTAAAGCTTTTTTTTTTTTGTTACGCAGAGGGTTTAAGGAAGCTAATCGTTCTGCCCGTTGCAAAACCTTCACTGCCAAAATGGCGAGACCAGTTGCCTCAACGTCGCGCAGCGTTGGGAACCAGAGTGAATCGGCCTGTGCTGCCCCCCCATACTTGGTCCGAGGTGGGAGTGGATAAATCGGGACCTCCCGGGCTACACCATGTCCTGATGCAACACAGGTATCATTACACATTACACGTGTAGGTACATTTTTCTGGTCTGGCCAACGCCGAGCGATGCACGCCACAGGATGAAACGCCATGCCCGAAGCTGCGTGGACCTGAGTGGTGTCCGGCAATACAAGCCCTGTTCTGTACGCTGTGCTCCGTACTTTATCTACATACAGTACTCCGTACTGTTCAGCGACCCCTGACGATGCGCACAGATGTACTCCGTATGGGACTTTGATAATCTCTTCCGGGGCCAAGGTTCGGGCAGTCCGGTGCAGAAATTCGACCCCTTTGGAGGAAAAAAGTGGGACCTCGGCCGGCTTTCAGTCCCTTCCCTTCATGCTGCCGTCCTTATTTGCCATTGACAAGAAGGACCATGAGTCCGTGACAATGCTGGTGGGTGTTGCCGGGCGGCGACCCTCAGCTTACAAACACGTGGCTCTGCGTTAATATTTGCTATTATTGACTTTACTGTCACTAATACAAGCAAGCGTGTTTTAGCGCCGACCAAGTCAAGTCTATGAAATTTCATTCGGTCCAACTTCCCACTTCAATGAAACCTCAGTGCCGGTCTGGGGCGTCTGATGGGTCAACCGCAGGTGAGGTAGCCTATCTTCTTTCACAATGATACCGATTTTTGCGCACGGGAGCGACCTCATTTTGTTCTACGCACCCCTGTCACGAAGCTGGGGACAAGGGCAGCCTGACCGCGAGAGACGGCGTCTCATATGATTGAGGTCTCGGATAATGATATACATTACCGAAAACTGGTGAGCCAAAATTTGGTCCTCCGAGTCTCACTGTTGAGGCTTTGCCTGTCCTTCCAGCAGAATTTGGCCTCCTCCAAGACTACGCTACTGAGCGTCTATTTGTCAAGTGTCAAGGCTGTATCTAAAACGGCGTCAGAGCCAGCAAGATGAGAGACATTGCCAAAGGGCCCGCATGTCTAGTCCCTTTTCTTGTTTCTTGCTTTTTGATCGATATGCCTCTTTACTTTGACACACGCCCCCTCTCTCTTTGTTTCACAAAAAGGCAAAGGAGGAGGAAGAAACCCAATGACAAGAGTCGAGTGTGCAAGTCTTCGCGGCTGGCTTCATTGTCAAATCCACGCCCCGTCCGCATGTCATCCGGTCTATAACCAGAGGGCCTGCTTCATATTACCAGTGGTAGTAGTCATCAGCTTACGAGCTGGAATCCTGAAGCATGAGAAGTACTTGGCGGTATTCCCGGGAAGCTCACGGCAGCATACCTCATTGCCTGTGGAGTGTCATGGTCGAAGTCCAATGGTCAACGGCTAAAAATTGGCCATCCAGTCGCACTGGCACGGGCAGGCGGGGAGGCCGACGGAGACGAGGGGATTTAAAAAAGAAACGTGGCAAACAATCGACATTTCCTTTGAGAAGCTTGGCCCCAGCAAGGGTGTCACATGCACCAAGGCGTTGGGCGAATCCTCCCAATCTGCCACACCCGGGAAGGGTCAAGGGCGATTCGTGTCAACCTTACTCTCTCGGCCGGAGAGACTGGACTGACCTTGCCGCCATGCGATACCGGCAGGCAAGTGGCCGTTGACCCTCGACGGCGCTTCTCCAGCATGTGCCTCTTCTTGCCCGCCCGCCGCCTCTCTTCAAAGAGGGGGAGAGAGAGAGGGAGAGAGAGATGGATCAAGGGAGCAGGGTTATTCCATGCAAGACTGTCCGCCTCACCACCATGCCGAGGTACTACTCACGGCAGGATCATCAATGCCTTTTTCTTTATTTTTCCCTTTCGCAGATATGTAGTTACTCCGTAAAAGCGCCCCGTAATGCTGACCCAATTCCCAGGGGTGCAACCCATTTCGTTCGGGGAACACAGCCGGGTCTCTGTTCGCTTCCTTTCTCTCGATCCCATGGGATTGGCTATACCCAGGTGCCCCTGCTAGCTTGGCGTCGCGTAGAAGAGAAGAAAAAAAGGAATATTCCAGAACTGGGTTTGTGCTGCTTTACGAGTTCGTGGCGCTGGTGTGACTCGGCGACTCGCCAAGGCCGGGCGAGAGCAAAAATGGAAACAATTAATAATTATCAAGACGGGCAGGGGTGTGAGAAATAAAAAAAAAAAGCAATAACGGACGGAATGGAATACATGGTTGGTCGGTTGCGATTGTTGAGCCGTGCGAAACCAAACAAACGGCTCTAGGTTAGGCTGCCTGTCCGAGGCGCTTCGAAACGGCATCGAGATGGGATCTATTGCCATGCGAGGATTTAATGTAAAAAAAATTCTCAAAGAAGTGAAAAACACACACAAGTCGATAAACTACCCGTCCCCGGATTGTCGGCACCGTTGTAGGAATCGTTCCGCACCCAATGAAACCAAACGCCAACGCTTTCTGTTTTACAACAACAACAACAACAACATGACTCTCCTCGTTGCAGCTCGCGGATGCGCGAAACCAGGGTGCCATGCGTGGCTTATATCGACGCGGGCGCAGCGTCGATTCGCCAGCCCTTGCTTCGCATATTCATCTCAATCGCCTTCCAAATCTGCTCTACAACCTCCTTGTCCCGGAAGCGAGAAGCGTCGGCGCCATCGCCGCCGCGCCAGCGGTCGACGCCCGTCGAGAGCACCCTATGGCCCCAGCTGCGGATGCTCTCGGGGGCCAGCTCTCCCCGCCAGCCAACAAAGACACCGAGCGTGTGCTTGAACAGCTCGTTGGGGCTGCTCCACTTGTAGTTCTTGAACTGCCACGTCTGCCCCGTGGTGAAGACGGCCACCACGCGGTTCCAGTACTCGGGCTTGAACTGCTCGGAGCCCTCGACGAGGATGAAGCGCAGCGGGCGGTTGGGGTCGATGGCCCGAACGACGCGCTGGACGTGGAGCATGCTGGCCGTCGAGCCTCCGGCGTCCGGGGGGGTGAACTTGCCGTCCTCGAGGAAGGACCTCGCGTTGGACATGCGGAGGAGCGACGAGGCAGACGGCGAGAGGAGGATGATGGGGTCCGGTCTCCTAGCCGGACCCTTGGGGTTGAGAGGGAGGGAGGACGCCGCGCCGGGTGCCGAGACCTGGGACTTCTTTTGGATGAACGGGGCCGCGAGCTTGCGGACGTGCGAAAAGTCCTGGGCAAAAAACGATTAGCGCCTCTCGATCGCGCCCGGACAGCCCTGGCGGTTGGGGAAGGGGGGGAAAAGGAGACGGGCAAACGGTCTCGAGACACACCGCGGGGACTGATGCATACTGTAGGCTTGATCCCTCTTAGCACGGTATTCCGGTCTCCCATTCTGCGCTCTCCGTCGTAGACGCTCGCCAGGCGCGGATCCAGGCTGCCCTTGCCGGCTCTGGCTTGCACCGCGGTCGACGCGGCTCCTGCTTTGGTCGCGGGGGCTTTGCCGGCGGCGGCGGCGGCGGCGGCGGCGGCCTCGGCATCCCCGGCGACGGACTTGATGTATTCGCTCTCCTCGCTGGCCGCCTCCAGCCAGGTGATTAGGTCGAGTCGTTCGATGAAGCCCAGGTTCTGCACCTTGCCGGTTGACCCGGCGGCCGCGAGCTGCTCGTTGAACGCCGTGGCCGACGCATTGTACTCGGGGATGGCGAGCTCGCGGTTCAGCCAGGCAAAGTGGATGCTGCGCAGGTCGACGGGCTTGTCGTTGGAGATGAAGCGCGTCGGGGTGTCGATGGCGAGGGCGATGCCCTGGGCCGAGAACTGCAGGTGACTCGCCTGGGAGAGGGGGCACTCCTCGGCGGCGGGGTCGTCTGACGCGCTGGGGACGAAGGGCTGGCTGCTGGATATTGCTTTGCGGAGGAGGATGAGAGGGTCGTGGTCGGCGGAGGCCATGACGGCGGGCTGGCTGGCGATGCTTCCTTTTGGCGGGACGGCATGCGATTGCCGCGGAGGGTTGGTGAGGGAGGCGGCAGGGACTCGACTCGTCGATCGAGTGTCGATGCAGATGGCCGAGCGAGGAAGACGACGAGGCACTGACGCCGACGCTTCTCCCTTGCTCACGTCGGTGGCTGGCAATGCTTGTCTGTCGTGGTGCGACGAGGCTGTCGGAAAAGTTGTCGAGTCGGAGCTGTGGTTTGGTTTGGGGGTACCAACCTGCTGGGGTCACCTGACCAATCAGCGCTCCGTGGGCGACGTCCATGGACGGCCGGCCGGCAAAAGGGTCTCCCGTGAAGACTGCGAGTCTGCCGCAGTATAGACTCGCGATGTTTATGGAAACAACTCTTCCGTTCCCGTCTTGCTCCCGCGCGCAGACTTTACGAAGCAGCAGCCAGTTTGCCTTTCGGTCCGGCACTGAAGCAGCGGGGCCACGGCGACAATACGCCTGACGAGCACAAGATCAACCACCGGCATGGGCATGGGGTCAGTCGCCATGATTCACCATCCATGAGGCACAACATGATTCCTCTCGGCATCATGTGCTTCGGCGACTAGGCTCCGAAAGCGCCCACACGGCCAAGCGTCCGATGTATGCAGGGCCGCGCGTTAGAATCTTGACCTGACCGTCTAGCTGCTCGACCAGCGGCAACGGCCGGCTTTCCGACACGTCTGATGCCTGACACAAGCTGCGTCGTGGGTTTGACGTGGAACTCGGGCAGGGCAGGTCACGTCATCAGTCACTTGCAGACTGTGCGTTTGGGCACATCAGTAATCAGTACAATAATAGCACGCCCACATGATTTCCGCCTCCCGGGCGAACCGGTTCTATGTTGTCTACCTCCACCATCACCACGTGCATGCGTGAGACCAAATCAACGACCACTTGTCAGCCAAAATGCAACATGTGTACTATTGACTCGCAATCGAGGCTCACACGCCAACGAAATATCACGAGGCCATTGAAATGAGGTACATGCTCCACGAGTACACGGGACGGCCTGGAGAGGCGCAGCATCACACCCCTTGCGGAAGGCGCATACACAGTGCAGCAGGGCAAGAAAGGTCCAAGTTCTGATCTCGTAGCCACCTGGCCATGCTAGAATGTACTGTACTAATCATCTCGAGCACTCTTGATATGCAAAACTGAGACGCTTCATCGCGACCACCTATGCCGCCCTGTCAACAAAGCTACGACTAAAGCCGCCTCCCATTGACTCCCACTCTTTTACCACCCAACTCTTGCGCCGACGCCGTGGACCCCATGCATAAAGAAAAGGCGATGCGTGGAGAGGAAAAGAGAAAAAGACAACGCGATGGAAAGAAGAAACCAACACCGGGAAAATAGCAAGCCGACACGTGTAACGTAGCATTTATATGGCGAAAACAAGCTTCATGCGCTCGTATGTATAGAAGCTCACGGCAACCATGGGGATCACCTTGACATAGCCAATCGTCAACCCAACAAAGAATCCCCGGAAACCACGCTCTTGGAAGATGAGTCGGGCTGTCTCGCCGAGACGCATCTTGTGACCATCGCCAACGGCACCGCTTACTTGCATGCGGCGCCTGATCACCTCCAATGGGTATGACGAGGTCTGTGAGATCATGCCGGCGATGCCGCCACTTGTGAGCTCGGCCCATGATCGGAGTGGTGCGGGCTTGTCGGAGGGCTGATTCTTCCGCCGGGGGAGAGTGGTGTACTTGACGATTGAGGGGTGGCGCATCAAGTCGCTGACGGTATCGTGGGTGAGGAAGGACATGCCTGCGTACGGAAGCATGCCCAGCAAGGTCGGGCCGAAGCCGCGGTAAAAATTGACGAGCCCCTTGTTGGGAACGACGGAGCTGGCTACGGCGGCAGTGGACTCCACAGCGGCAGCAACGGGGGCCGGGGCTCTGGGAAGTCTTGCCGTGGCTGATTTCTCGACCGGGCTCGAGTTGTAAATCTGCCTGCAGATGGAGGACAAGGACGAGCGGCCGTCCTTTTTTGTTTCAAACGCCAGGCGTACTCGGATGAGTTCCAGGGGGTACGTGAAGAAGACGGATGTGACGCCGGCAAGGCTGCCGCTGAGGAGGCGTCGCAGCGGTGATTCATACTCCTTGCCGGGAATGATGACGGCTCGGATCTGCTCATAGGCAAGGAACTTGATGCCGGCATAAGGGAAAATACGCAGCAGCGTGGCGGAGTGGCCTCGGAAAAGCCCCCGGCCGCCTTCGAAGCGGTAAATGTCCCTCATGGCGGTTGCGACGCCGAATGAAGAACCGGTATATTTTGCAAACTGGGGGTTGCTGGCCTGGAAGAGGATCTTTACTCGATCTAGCGGTGCAACGATGGTCTTGGCCTGGCGAGGGAGACAGTCAGCAGGTGGATGGCTCGAGGACAGTGTACGGGCATCTGAGGATTGGCCTTACAGCGCAGCCGGCCAGCCCGCCGGCGACACCGGATCTCCAGACATAACCCCAGGATCGAGTCTTGTTTCGGGGTGCCATGGCTTCGTCGTCGGTGGGACACACAGCCGGGTCCCGCGTACTGGGGACCGCAGCAGCCGTAGTGGCGGCTCCAACGCGTTGGCGCACTCCGTCGCGGGCGATTTCCGTCATGGAAGCATGATCCACGAGGGGGGAGGACGTGGGCATTCCGGATACCGCCAGCGCGCGGTCTGGTTGTTGCGGTGCAGGAACTTCAAGATGACCGACGCCGCATGCCGGCTGTGCTGGCGTAGGGGTATGTTGGTGAGGGTTTGTTGCGTGGACAAGACCTGGCCAATTTCCCCAATCAGAAACGGTGCGAAAAGATGTCTGCAAGCGGAGGGGAGAAGCAGCGATTGTATGCGTGATGCGTGATGCGTGATGCGCGTTGCGCGGGCGTGTGTATGTGCAAAAAAACAAGCGTGGCCGGAAAGGACGAAGGGGTTTGGAGTTTCGGCACGCCACGGGACGGAAGCCGGCTACGGCTGCCCACGCCCACGAGAGCTTGCAAGTAACTTGGGTACTGATGACGTCCGCCAACGCCCGATTCCCGACAATGAAGTCTCGTGTGCAACGGCTAACGCCTTGCGCCGCTGGCCAATGGGGCTCCTGCACGCCGCAGCGCCCTCTCCAGGCTCCAGCCGAGGATTACCGAAACCCCTGGCTGAGCCGAAGCCAGTCGCCAATCGCAACGGCTGTATTTTCCGTGACAACTCGCCACTCGCCTCGCCCATCTTCTCCCGCACCTCGACTCTCCCGCCGCGCACTGGGTAGCTAATCGATGCCCGCGGCCATATCCGTCTCATGTCCGGGCCGGCACAGGATGAGAGGGACCCTGACACCGCCTCCAGCATCCTCTTTCAAAGCGACGACAAGTCTGTCGTCTTGCTAGATATCCCACGCTCACTCGAAGAGGCACAAGTTCTGCCCGGCTGCCGACTGCGGCGCCGGGTCTACTCGGACGCGCCGCCGACTGCGCCCTTTCCGACACCGGATCCGAAGAGGAGTCGACGTCGGGCTCGTCCGGCTGGCCGTCCCCCCGACCCCGACCACGCGTCTGACAATGGCGGCCCCGGTGCCGCACACGACTTGGCGGCGCAGACCCCTGCTGCCCAAATAGCCGATCTGATGACTGCGGCAACTGTTCAACGTGCACTGCAAGTGCTGTGCGACAGGCACAGCGGCCCATTTCATCTTCCTCGCAAACATTTTCCCGCGGACACGGAGGGTGTCGATGCGAATCCATCAACCGCGCTGCCGGTCCAAGACGCCACACCGCTCCACGGGTCCATCCAGGACCTGAGACAAGTCTTCGTCGACACCGCGCCGGCATTCAAGCTGGTCGTGCTTGACCCTCCGTGGCCAAACCGCTCTGCCAGGAGACGCGGCGACAAATACGCCACCGCCACCAATCTGGATGAAATCCGAGCTTTGCTGACGAGCATACCCATGTCAGCGCACCTCGCGAGCGGTGGCCTGGTGGCCATCTGGATCACCAACAAAGCCAGCATCCCCGAGCTTCTCACCTCCCCGACGGGGGTATTTGCCGCGTGGGGCGTAGAACTTGCCGCCGAATGGACGTGGCTCAAGGTCGCGGCCACGGGAGAGCCTCTCTACGACGTCGCGTCCGCCTGGAGGAAGCCGTGGGAGAAGCTCCTCGTGGCCAAACCCGTCGGGGCACCGGCGCCGCCTGGCCTGAGAGCCAAGGTCATTGTCGCCGCGCCAGACGTGCATTCCCGGAAGCCAAGCCTGCGGCTGCTCTTCCAAGACGTTCTGGGACAACAGGATTACCCCGGCCTGGAGATATTTGCCCGCAACCTCACGGCCGGGTGGTGGAGCTGGGGAGATCAGGTCCTCCATCTCCAGGGCCAACAGTGCTGGGAGCAATTACCGTGAACGATGCCCAGCCCGTCCCGCGAGACCGTTGTACCCCAATCCTGCATTTCTATAGTTGCCGTCGCCACCGGGCGGCCTTTTACAGGCCCGTAATATACAGACATGCCTGCGTGTTGGTACACGACTCCTCCTCCCCCATTCGACCTTGGACACGTCCCTCCCCACGTCCAGTCCTGTGCGCTTGAAACCGTTTCGCCGCCGAGCGGTCTTGGTAGGTCCCCGCGACCTACGCGCCCGCGGCGGCATCCCTGCTCTGCGCCTCCCTCGGCACAGAATCCCACTTGGGATCCAGTGCCACTCCGTTATCCCACTTGACTTCTCCCCTGAGCATGCTCTCCGCCAGCTCCTTCAGCCCTCTCCTCTCCTTGGACATGTCCTCCTTGCTCTTCATTGCAATCTCAAACCTGTGCTGCTTGATCTGCTCCTCGTTTCTCTTCTCCGTCAAGTCCTCCCTCTTCTGCCAGAGCTCGTGGCTCCACGGCTCCAGGTCGGCGGGCGCCTCGGGCCACTGGAAGGGCTTCGCCAGCTCGACCGTCATCACCTTCAGCGGCTGCGGGCGGTACCACGACCGCGAGTGCGAGTTTCGCTGCGTGAGGGGCTGTTGCTTCACGTAGGACCGCACCTTGGTCACCTCCACGTTGTATAGGTTCCACAGGTAGTCGCGGAGGTCGAACTTGGTGAAGCGCAGCGGTACCTGGAAGCAGGCCTCGTTGGGCGGGAGGTGTTCTTTGCGGAGGAGGGTGATGACGTGGTTGGGGCTGCGTGGGTTCTTGATTAGCTTTGGGGACGCGAGAGCGACGACGACGCTCGGGGGGGGAGGGGGGCATCGCACAGAAAGACCTGTTTTCTGCCCAGCCTGAAGCCGGGCAGCTGGCGGGCCGCTGCTTTTGCTGCTTCGGCCATTGTGTGCTGGCTTTGGCGTGTGTGAGGTTTTCGTCGTGATGAGCTCCGGGCTGCTGTCCCAAAATGTTTCTCGGGGAGAGTCGTGATTGGTCTGGGGGGCAGGGGTGTGATTATGTAAGCGGGACTCGTGAGTCGTGACTCTGGTTCTCTCTGTTCTTTACCATGTTGAACGAGATCAATGTCGTGATGATAATGGCGAATGGATTTTCTACTTGGTTTCTCATGCTCTGACTCAACTGCTACTAGATGCGTAGTGGCCGCCGCCAACGATTCACTGCATGCAAGCGACGCACACAAAGGTCACGTGGCGAACGGTTGCTGGTGTCCGGCACGAAGAATGCTCGATCCACGGAATGGCAGGTAGTGCAAGTAGACCTGGGGTCCTGTGTCTTTTTTGCATTATCCACCTAGCTCCGTCATATCGTCTACCCGCTTCTTCAGCCACTCCCAGCAGTTGACGTCCTCGTACTTCTTCTTCTCCCCTGGCGCGAGACACCCGTCCAGCACGGCGCACGTCTCGTGAAAGCCGAAGCCCCAGAAGAAGCCTATGCTCACTCGCTCCTTGCCACTCCTGTTCTGGGCTCGGTGGACAGTGCTGAGGTATTTGCCGTTTGTGATTCTCTGTAGACTATCTGCAATGTTTACTACAAAGGTGCCCGGAATCGGCTTCGCATTGATCCATTGCCCGTCTCTATTGAGAACCTGAAGCCCGCCAACACCGTCTTGCCAGAGGATGGTGAAGGCCGGGAAGTCTGTGTGAGAGCCGATGGAGACTCTGGAATCGGGGTTGACGGGGGCCACGACCGAACCCTCTGGGATTGGGGGATAGTAGTTCATGAGCATACCGGCATCGGGATACACGACCTTGCTGTCGAGTGCGGTTTCAGGAAGCCCCAGCGACAAGGAAAACGTACGAGTAAGAGCTCTCGCTAGGTGTAGACACGACTGGTAGTGTTTGAGGAGCGCGCTTTTCAGGTGAGGGAGGTTTCTCGTGTTCTCCCAGTGGCCCTCCTCCATGTGGATGTAGTTCATGACGTTTTCCGGAATGCCCTGTACGTCTTCGACCTCGGGGTCGTTTCTGGGATCATAGGTGAAGGAAAAACTCTCCCGCAGGTCGACGCCCTCATCAGGGTTGATTTGCTGAGTGTCTGGGGCTCGGTAGCCATTGTAGCAAGCACTTTCGGTTATGGATGCCTTGTTCTTTGTGTCCAAATCTTGGCGGAAAAACTCTAGGGCTGCATTGTAAGAGGCCTCTGTGATGTCTTGGGGAATGCCGTGGTTCTTGATGTAGAAAAACCCCGTGTTGGTGGCAGCACTGCGAACCTGGTGGGCAACGGACTTGCGATTCTCGAGGGACGAGCTGAAAATGGGCGACACGTCGATGACGGGGATCTCGGAGGGGAGCGCATCTCTCAAGGGCGTCCGGAGGATTGTGCGGGTGACTGGTCCTGTTGGGGATGCCACCCTTATCGTGGTGGTTTCCTTGATGCTGGCCATGCTGAAAAGATTTGACGACGATGCCTGCCAAAGTATCAGAAGGCAGAATGCCTTGATATGAGACGCGAGGGCAAGCAAAACAACCGCGACGAGAGACGAACAGACCTTGGCAGTCGATAGATGGCCAACGGTGCGGGGCTTCCAAGTTGCACCAAAGTCAGATCGAGTCGGCAAAGTCCCAAGGCGACTTGTCTGTCTGCCAGCCCTGGATACGTGATGTGCTATGAGCAGGATTCAGGCTATATTTCATCTTGGCTGACCCTCTTGTTCCTGCTATTAGTTAGTCTCATGCAGATTGTCATTGGCGGACATAAACGGCCAAGAAGGGTGGAACAGGTAGAACCGACATATGGGATAAAATATGTCTGGCATACTTTCCGGGCAACGCTGTTGTTATGCACTGCCCAGATGGTGGATGTGTAAATGCCCGTGATGGCAATTGCACAGCTGTGCACGTGTAGCCTTTTTATGCAGGCCACTGTCAGTGCCACGTGCCACCGGCGGGCTGCACCTCACGCCTGCCTCACGCCTGCCTCACGCCTGCCTGCGCCGTGAGCACGGGGTGCAAGTCAATGAATTCGCTTGCTTCAAACATTCCTCTAGTTCTTCGCCAGGCGCGGAATGCCGATAACCACAGATCCCTACCTGCTGGCGACCTGCAATCACCGCCTTCGAAGGACCTACGGTTGGCTCCTTTGGCACAATGTCGACCTGAGCGACCACCATGAATGAGAGGACAAGCACGTTGCCCAAACAACACTCTTTGTCACGCCACAGCGGCCTCTTTCATAGCGCCTGGTGCGCCGAATTCCTCGCCAGGAAAACCGTCCTCTTCTGATCCAATCAAGTCAACCCTTCAGTCAGCCAGCATGGAGACGCCATCGTCACCATGCAACACGCCTCGACCACGCCGCGCCAGAACGTCATCGCCATCCCAACCCAGTACCACCTCCTCTGCGCCGCAGTTGGCTGTCGGCGTCAAGCAGGAAGAGGAAGACAAGCCCGCTGTAATAGAATCAATAGATCCGTACGACCAAGGATATGAGAGCTCGGTCGATGCTCCCGTTATTGAAGTGACTGATATCCGGCTGGAGCTGGAGGAAGAAAAGAGAAGCTACCCCGGAGCAAGTACGTGGGCGGAAGAGGAAGAGAAACTGTTTGAGCTTTTGTTTCAGAGGGCGCATATACCGTTACTTCCGGCGCACTGGCATGTTGATTTTCGGGGTATACCCGTCGTGGATAGCATCTTCTCGCCCAGCGATGAGGTGCCATCCATCATTTACAGCCGATCGACCAAGAAGGAGTTTCAAGGTAAACGCAGCTATAATTCTGAATGCCTCGAGAAGTAAATCCCCGCTGCTAACACTAACATGGCACGCAGCCACCATGGCCCTCATGCGTCTCATCGACCTGACATCTTCTGTTCGAACCACCGTCCAGTCAGGTCTGCGGAAGAAGGCGACACTGCTTATCAAAAGGTGCCTGGACAAATACATCGCGTGGGCCGCTGAAGACGGAGGCTATTCTCATCTCAAAATCGTTCCAAATATCACCACCGCCATCATGGATGTCGAGCTGGGTGAAGAAGACATCACGAGCACCATGAAGAATCGCATGCGTGCGCTAGCCATGGCCCAAAGAGAATTCTTGAGGGTTGATCGAGATGATTCGTTCTGGGACGTATCCGACGTTGAGGATGGAGTGAAGGGCGCCGACTTGTCCACCTTGTTGGTAGAAAAGTACGTGAAGAAAGTTGAGGAGCTCAGCGTGACGGCCAAGGCGCCGTCCGGAGATGGCTCTCGTCAGAGCACACCAAGACCACGGAGCCCATCACCCGGCGATGCAACAACAACAACAAGAGCGCGAAGCTCGCCGCCATCGACACCCGCCGGATCGATCCATGATGAGCAACAGAATACTGATGCGCAAACCAGATACAGGCGCGAACCGGCCGTTGTGTACGGCCTCTTTATTCTCCGCACGTCCGTCTTCCTTCTTACCGTCGACAGCGCAAAGGGCGACTCCGCGTACGTGAGTTTCCACGTAGACTTGCATTTCATGGACCGTCATCAGAGCGTGTGGAATGCGCTCACGGCAGCGATGGCTGTATGCCTCGCAAGAGATCAACTCTGCAAGCGGATGAGCGATTTTGAAGAGTTGCCCTTCTGCACCCAAGACAGTGCAAGCGAGGCATAGAATCTAGCCGTATATGCACGTACAGGTCTTTTCCTGAGCCGACGTCGAGCTAGTGCTCTATAGATGTACCCTTGGGAGCCAACGTCAAGTAAGAGCGTCGTCGTAGCAATACTCGCCAGAAACATGTTGTAGTCAGCACCAAAATACATAATACATGCAACATCGAATACAGTATTGGTGTTCATTTAGGAGAGTCGGCATCCCTGACACCCCTAAATGTACAATGCGATGCCCCCGTGCAAATCCATCTATCAGCCTCAAACGCCCGACAATGACATGGCCTCTGTATTTCTTTCCTGTCTCTCCCCACGCGCTTTTATCGCACCGTGCTTCCGTCTCACCCAAAAGTACTGACTGACTCGCTCTTGATATATGTACATGGCTCTAGCTTCGAAAAAGGAGAAGAGAAAAAAAAAGTTTTAAAAATGCCGCTGGGTCCGTCTACCCTCTACCGTGCGGTATTCTCTATGGTACAGAATCACCTAGAAGAAGAAGAAAGAACGAGCAAAATCACAAGTCCTCTCTCTCCGGGGGCACCAGCACCGCCAGCTGGTGCAGCAAACGCTGGTACAGGAACAGCATGCACCCGCTCTGGATGAAGGTCCACACGCCACGAGGGCCGACGCCACGGAACCAGCCGGCCAGGCCCTCGGTGCGGTAAATGACCCTGAGGCCGGTGATGACGGAGGATGTCTGGAGGGCGATGGCACCGGGTTGCGGGCGGTGCGTGCTGGGCGACGACGTCGAGATGTGGCGCTTCTGAGAGGAAGCCACGTCTTTCAACTTGGACACGTGGTCCGAGGGGGGTCCGTTGACCTGTGTTTGGAGGCGCGTCTTGACCACGTCGAGGGGGCAGGTGATGACTCCGGCGAGGCCGCCTGCCGCTGCGCCGGTGACGAGTTCGAGCGGCACGCCTATCTCGCGGCTCTGCTTGTACACGCGGGCCCAGGCGTGGAACTGCTCCCAGAACATGAACTGCAGCGCGGAGAAGGGCAGGTCCCGGTACAGCGTGGCCTTGTACCCGTAGAAGAGGGCCGAGGCGCCCTCGGTCCGGACAATGGTGCGCGCGGCGTCGAGCGTGCCCCGGTAGTTGTAGCCGGATCGGAAATGGGGGTTGTCGTACCGTCCCTGGAGCTGCAGCCGGGTCTTGAGGACTTCTGAGGGAACGTAGACGACGGAGGCGGCGAGGTCGCCGAGGAATCCTGGCAACGCCGTCAGCGACCCCGACGTGCGGAGTTGTCGGGGCCGGGCCCCCGACTCGCGTCGCGCGTCATGTGTTCACGGTCGACTCACCTGCCGAAAGATATGCCAAGTGGTGCTGCAGTCCGTGGTCGATCAGGAACCGCTTGCTCCATTCGTACGTGCCGAAGAACAAGACGGTGCCAGGGAACGAGCCGCCCAGCGCGGGAATCCACCCGCCGTACAGACCTCGTCTTAGGCCCTCCTGCCTCCATATCGTGTAGTACGACCGTCCCAAGGACGTGTACTTTGGGGGGATGTTGGGATCGCCCTGCTGCCGCGTCTTGACCGTGTCCAACGAGTGCATGAGCAAATCGCCCGTTGAGCCGCCAATGCCGCCGGCGATCATGGCCTGTGCCCCCCTCCCAAAAGGAGAGCTGTCAGTGCTCCGTGGCTCCATCGTAGCGCCGGGCATTCGCGGACAGGAAGACGTACATGAAGATAGGGCGGGCGGCCTTCGGTCTCGATATCCTCGCTCTTCATGGTGTGCCCACGATCGGAGGCGGTGACGCCACTTCTTCCCGGCGAGTGTTTTGTGTGGAAACCAGCATGGCGAGGCGACTGCACCAAGCCGACGACGTGCTCGGCGCTGCTGCTGGCGCCGGCCGAAGCTGACGAGCCGGCGGAGAATGAGCTGGAGAGTTGTGAGGCGAGGGGCATGGCCCAGACGCCGCCGCCGTAAGATCGCAGAGAAGCAAAAGGACGGGGGAGGTAGGGGCGCCGCTTGGGTCGGGGATTTTCACGGGTCGGACGAGGTGGGAATTCGCAATTCCAAAAGGCCCCAGGAAAGAAACAGACAAGGTGAAGACGAGGTTCGTCTAGGACGCAACGCTGAGGGAAGGCTGGACGAACGCTCACGCCGTGCTCGACTTGTCCATCTTGCGTCAACGTCGAGGATGTGGTCAACGGCCGTCCTGCCACAGCTTTTTTCGCACCGGTACGGAGTACGTACCGACTTTATCCCCGAACCACTTTTTCGTTCTCCGTTCTGTGCCTGGGTGCCCGGGCCCGCACAGGCGTGTGCCTGCCGCTGGCGGGCGAGTCCGCGCAAGACAAAGCGCGAGCACAGGCACTGAGCCCTCTGCCGCCTGAAGGTCAGCGGTCAAATGGTGAACCGCAGCACGCGGCGGTTTGGTCGTGCCTGGAGGTACCGAGTACCCACCGAGCATTGGGTGAAAGCTACAGAGTAGTAAGTACTCCGTATTCATCTGTCAAGCACGCAGCCGCCGATTGATCTATCTCGAGTAGTTACTCCGTACGTAATGTGCAATATTGCCTGGCAACACACAAATCCGTCCGTCCCCCCCCTCGTCACCACACCAGCTTGCGCTCATGCTCCCACCACCTGACCGGCCCAAACTTCCCCCACGGATAGACAATGTGCGTGATCCTCCCCGTCAGCAACCGCGTCGACACCGGCCCGTACGTGTTGCTGTCCAGGCTCGACCCCGGCGGTCCGTCTCCTTCCACCCAGACGTGGCCCTGCGGTATCCTGACCGTCGCGATGGGATACGGCTTCTTGGTCCTCACCACGTCCCCCTCCAGCGCAACCACCCTCTTGACGGCCGTCACCTCTGGATGGTATGGACTCCTATATCGCGGTCAGTCAGAAGCTGCTTACACTTTTGCACCTTTTTCCTTTTTATTTCTCTTTTTTTCTCTTTTTTTTTTACGAAAAAAAAAATAAGGTTTTCGAAACAAAACCTCCCCAAACAATTGCTTCCCCCCCCGGCCGTGGGCAAACCGCCAGGGTCAGGCTCACCAACCTCAATGTCACAACCATGCCTCGCTCCAGCCCTTCCTGCGGCGACCACTTGTAATTCCAAACAAAGTCTCTCCGCAGCGTCGAGTCCTTGCCCGCGTTCAGGAAGGGGTGCATGGATGAGCCGTCGACAGACGTCAGCTCCGCGACGTGCATGTTGAACCACGCAATGACGGGAAGCCACGTCGCGAAGCCCACCAGTTTCACGGCAACGGCCTTGGCTAGCCCGGATCGTCGTGCTGTTCGTAGGCGCGACCACATTGGGCCCGACGGCATCGATGCATCGAACACCTACCGAGAGAAGTAGACGGCGGCGCGGGAAGCGTGGGTGTAAAAGAGAGAGTCGGGTTGCCGAGTCGAAAACTGTGGCACGTGACGTCGACCTTGATCCTGGCCAGATCTTGGTGGCGCCCGAGTCGCTGGATGGCGCGTCGACAGCCCCCGTCAACGTCACGTCACGTCACGTCTCCGACGCCGGTCCGGACATGGCGCTCGCGTCTGGTCTCGTCTACTTCTACTTGCGACATCATTCGTCGAGCTTCTACTCTGCTTCAATAACAATTGAGGCTCCTGCTTGCATTGTGTAATGTCCTAAACTTTATGTTTCCTTTTGATGCAGCTGCTTCAATCTCCTAACGCTGTTTTGAAGGCGTCACGTGCTATTTCAAGACAGCTACGTGAAATGCCAACATCGACCAGACTCTTTTGTTACCCACCCATGTCATCCCCATAATCGTCCACATAATGCGGTCCCCCGCCTCCAAGTTTTTACAGTAAAGTCTACTCCGTACGGTGAGCAGCCTACATCTCGCTCTGACACAACACGACTCGTTACCGCCCCAGCATGTCGCCAAGCACCCCGCCCTCCCGGCTATCCGGGCGGGATATTAGGAGATGCCTCCTCTTCCCGTTCTGTTTGGCTGTGGGATCGCCTAGATCGCCTCGGGGATGTTTTCGTCGCTCTCGCTCACACTCTCGTCACCGCTGACTTCGGCGTTCTCGCGCTCCCTCTTCTCCATGAGGGCCTGCAGCTCGGCATCATCGCTCTCGGTAACAGCCTTAGGATCCATCTTGACAGTCAGGTTGCCACCAGCACCCTCGATGCTTTTTCTGACCCTCTCAATCGCTTCCTGCAAGAGCGTAATGCCCTGCTGCTTGTCGAACGACGTGCTGGTGAGCACGTACAATGGCGGCGAGACGAGCTTGACCTTGACTTGAGTATCGGCATTGGCATCCTCGGCATCGTTCTTGGCCTCGGCAGTTCTCAATGCAGCCTTGACAGCGTCGATGCCTTCGTAGCCAAAGCAGGTGACTTCAATATCAGCTCGGACCTTGGTTCGCTGAGGAGTGAGTCGCTTGCTAATGTACAGCTTCAGCTCGTCCTCAACGGGCTGACTGGGGAACGTGATATCGTTCCATACTTCGGGGTTACTACAGACGACGTTAGTACCTGGTGCTAGTGACTACCGGGGCCTTGGCGAAAACAAACGTAATAGACAGCTTGAATGCATCGATGGCGTGGCCAAATTTTCGGTTCAAGGGCCAGGAAATGGACTCGTACAGAGTCTCAATGGGAGTCTGAGTCTTCTCGGCGACGTGTCTCATGATAAGATGGACCGTCTTGCTCTTGTTATACCGCTCCTCACACTTGACCATATCCTCGGGAGACACACGTCTCTTGGAAAGGTCGATATAACCTGCCGCCGACGTCAGCTTCTCCCAACACTTTTCTCTGATATTGTGTCATTTTCAGTAACCGGCCAACCTGGCACATGCACATACCCTTCTCCTTGTCCACTCGCAGCACAACGACAACCTCGTTGCGCCCCACACGAATGAGCTTCTGGATACTTCGAATGCGTCGTCGCGACAATTCAGAGAGAAGAATCATGCCATCTATGTTGTCGTACTCGAGGAGCTTGACGTAAGCACCCATTTCGGCAATCTACACGCGTGCTCTTTGTCAGAACCACGGCTCCCCCATGTCATGGCCTGCGTCCGACTCCTTCCAAACGCACCTGCTTGACATTGACCATGACGAAGCTATCAATGTCCGGGAACTTCTCCTCGTAAAAACGACAGTTGGTTAACGACATCTTGGCGGTTTCTTGTTGCAAGTTTTTCAACAACAAGATTGACGGACTGTTTGTTCGGTTTTCGCCCGGGGAGACAAGAGGGGAGGTGGGGTTCGACACTCCCAGAAATATATCAACACGTTCGCACGCTTAATATTGCACTATTCAGAGTTAAGTGTGAGGATTAACAACATGCGAGGGTTACAAAAAAACAATGTAGCGCGACTCGTCTTCGAGCTTGTCGGTCAGACTTGTCGCGGTTAGGAAAGTTCGTGAATGAAAAGGTTTCATCGTTAGAAGAGAGTCATAAATTTGACATTTTGGACGGTGGGGTGTGGCGGGGAGTGGCTAGTTTCCGAAGCGGTATGCAGCGGCAGAACCAGCCCAGCTTGCTCCTTCCACGCCCGCGGGCGAGCTCTGGAGTCTGCACAAGAGAACACAACTGCCGTTACCACGTGACCGAAGTAAACATCCGAGAAAGAAAGCTCAACGCTCAGCAGGAAGCCCTCAGATTGCCGGCGCAGCACTCGGCGAGCGTGCACAATGGCTCCAGGTCAGCCAGCTCTCGACGCAATGAGAAAGTCCCGCAGCGAGACACAATCACATGGCTAACCGCGCAAACAGCTACGCAGTTCGAACTCTCCCCGCCGCCGGGCGACGCCGTCTCCGCGGTCGCCTTCGCGCCGTCCGACTCGAGCAAACTCCTCGTGTCGTCGTGGGACAAGAAAGTATACAGCTACAAAGTTGCCAATGGCGGGTCAGACGGCGCCCTCGCCAACACGTATGAGCACCAGGCTCCCGTTCTAGACGTCTGCTTCGGAGCCGGCGACAATGAAGCCTTTACCGCGGGCATGGACCATTCTGTTAGCAGGTCTGTCGCTCGCTTGCTCGCGCGCGAGTGCGCGACGCACAGCTGACCGTTCTGTTGCAGACTGGACCTGGAGACAGGAGACATAACGCCGCTGAGCAAACATGCCGCGCCCGTCCGTCGCGTCGTGTTCAGCAAAGATCACAGTAAGTACAGATCTTGTGTCGAGCCTTGCGTGCGTCCGCTAAACAGCATGCGAGATGTCCTCGTTTCTGCCTCGTGGGACAGCACGCTCATCCTGCACGACCTCTCGTCCACGAGCGCGCCAATTCGTATTCCCCTCCCTGCCAAACCCCACGCCATATCCGCCAGTCCAACAAAGATCGTCGTCGCCATGACGGGCCGCATCATTCACATCTATGATCTCAACGCCATAAAGAAGCTCTTTGCCTCGGGCGGCACCGAGCTGAAGCCTTGGCAGACACGAGAATCGTCGCTTCGGTACCTGACGCGGGCAGTGGCATGTATGCCTAATGACGCGGGGTATGCGACGTCCAGCATCGAGGGTCGTGTAGCTGTGGAGTGGTTCGAAGACACGGCAGAGTCGCAAGCTCGAAAGTATGCCTTCAAGTGCCACAGACAACCGGCACCAGATGGTGATGGTGACGTTGTCTATCCTGTCAATGCGCTGGCATTCCACCCCGTTCATGGGACGTTTGCTTCCGGAGGTGGAGACGGGACTGTTGCCTTGTGGGATGCTGGGGCCAAGAGGCGATTAAAGCAGTACCAGAAGTTCTCCAACAGCATTGCAGCACTAGCTTTTTCTAATGATGGTAAATACCTCGCTGTCGGAGTGTGCCCTGGGTTTGAGACTGGCCAGGAGGACTACACGGGCGCTGGTTCTACGTCTGTCTTGATCCGGGAACTTGGCGAGAATGAGGCAAAGGGCAAGGGTGCAAAGTAAATGGAATTGGGGAATTGTATGAATTTGGGGCAATATGCCAGGTAACTCAACCTGACACTGGTGGCGTTTAGGTAGGGAACATGGTATGTGTCTAGCGACCTTGTTTCGTCGTGGTCCTGACATCCGTCCGGATTTGAAAGTCGGCATGCAGATACCCCTACACTAAGCGCAATTTACGACCATTTCAATTGGCAAGATTGAGACACAGCTGGCACACGGTGAATATAGCATCATCACTAATGCTGATACATACATGTAGGTATCCTCGTCGCAGAATCTTCAAGACCGCCAGCGTGCGACATGTCAGCGCCGAGCCAGAAGGTGGACGTAGAATCAAGACAGTGGGTAATACTGCCGGTACGGCCTGGCTGTATCTTCGAGTCCATCATGATATTGCCGGCATGGCAACCAGCGCCAGCTGTACGTTTTAAACGAAGGGCTCTACTCTCCTGTTTTCTTCGGTACAATAGGCTATACGATTGTCAAAAACCAAGTTCCGGAACCTGCAGAGTACGGGGTCAATACACACCCTGGCATCTTCAACATGATCGAATTCTCCGGCAGTGGACAAAAGCCAGACGTCCTGCAAAGGATTAGGTACCTGCCGTCCCCATAAAAAGTTGTGCGGGAAACCAAGATCAAAGGGCACCGCAGCCTCGATTTCTCGAATTTCTTCATCGGTAAGGTCGATTGTGAGTGCCTCAATGTTGCCTTTAAGATGCTCAACCTTTCTGCCGCCTATGACAGGAAACACATAGGGCGTCTTGTGCATTACATATGCCAAGGCAATACCAGTGACGGCTGCGTTCTTGCGGATCGCGATCGCCTCAAGTGCCTGACTCGTCTTGATATCGGCGTCGCTGGCCTCTGACTTGCGCCCTTCACTGCATCTGCGAGCCTGCTCTGTCTTGAAGTTTCCGCCACCAAGTGAGCCCCAAGGAGTGATGGCCATGCCTTCAGCTTTGCACATGGGAATGACATCGCGCTCCAAGTCTCGGCAAGACGCGGACCATCGACCTTGGTAGACTGAGAACTGGCGAAGCCCGTGATTTCGAGCATATTCATTGGCTTTGCTGCAAGTAGGGTCAGCCACATTGGACGGGCGGCAATGATCAGTAGTACTATCGTCTGCACACCTCACAATCCAAGCCGGAGCATCACTGATTCCCAAGTACAGGACTTTGCCAGTAGCGACAAGCTGATTCAACGACTGCATCACTTCCGGTATTGAGGCGCTGTAGTCCCACCAATGGACGTACAAAAGGTCGATGTAGTCAGTTTGCAGCTTCCTGAGGCTAGCAACGACTGATAAATGTAAACTCTTGGTGCCGTTTCCAACACAGTTGGCCATGATATGAGGGTGATTGGGGCCAGCCTTGAAGTTGGTGGTATACTTGGTTGAAATGACTGCATACGAACATAAATGGTAAGCCGTCATCAAACTCGTCATCTGTTTATGGAGGGAAGGGGATTCGAGAGACTACTCGTCGGCTTCAACACACCCATTTGGTCGCGATTGCCGCGTTTCTTCATCCACTCGCCAATCCATGTTTCTGCTTGCTCGAATTGGTAACTGTTGGCGGTGTCGATGAAATTTCCTATTTGCAAAAAGGCTATTAGCAATCCGGCCAAAGTGGCTCTGGACTCTGGACACTGAGCAGCTCAGTCCGGCTTGTGTCTCCGCCTTACCGCCCTGTCGTGATGGCATTAGCAATTTCTACACCAACACATTCCGACGTCGTCCATGCCAACTCGGCCGACCGCACATGGAGTCAAACTCACTTGTTCGAAAAAGAAGTCGAGGATCTTTTCGGTCTTCTCCTGATTGCATTCTCCCATCCAATCAGCCCTGCGAGCACCGATGCGTCAGTTAGATACGTCTTGTCCCACCATGGCGGTGGTGTCTTGAGCATATTGTCTCGTACCAAGCATCGCCAAAATTCATGGAACCAAGGCACAGCGGGCTGACGCGAACTGAGGCAGTGGGAGAGAGAAGGCGGTAATGAGACAAGGGCGACTTTGGCGCTGCATTTTGAGGAAATGCAACATTCATCGTGGTCAGAGAGTTGAGGCGTAAAGGCAGAGTCATGAAGGGAAGAGGGCCGTCGTGGGAGATCGAGCGTCTAAGAATGCAGAATGATATTTTTCGGTTACAACTGCTCCCAACCTCGGTAACCTGCTGACCTGGGGACAGCCTTCATGTTTACTGTTTGGCCAGCTCCGACGCGGTTGCTACCAGCTATGCTTCCTGCCCAGGTCTAACGAGCCAATTCACTCGCCCCTCCACTAGTAGCTGCGGCGGGAACATTGTGTAACGTGACGGTCGATGTGGGACGAATCCAACAGCGGCTCTGCGCGCCGGCAAGCGGGATAGACGTGATCTAGGCATCTTGAGTGGCTAAAACAAAGAACCCAGAGGACGGAAGCTAACACTCCCGAGGAGCCACCCCATAACCCATTGGCATGCTGCAGGTGCCACCAGCAAAGGCATCCGACTGACTACCTAGGTAGGTACTTAAGGAGTAATCCACGATCCGAAGGCGCCGTATCCGCTGTTTCTCGACACGCATATTAAGTTCCGCAGTGGACGGGAAACCGAGACCAGTGACCACTGATGGTCCAATGTTTCGGGCGCCCGTAACTGTTATTACGGAGTGGTTCCTCTTTCAGCGCCACCAGTGACTACAACACTTGCTCGACGTGCTAGACTGTGCCGTGAAGTTGTTCGAGTTGACACTCTTTGAGGATCCGAGACCGCATGGCCACGATGAAGTGTAGCAGTACCTAGCCATAAGACGGTGTTAATCAAATTGTTACCCAGCAATTGCAATCAACGAAGACTGGTCAACAGTTCAGGCACTACCCAAGTCTTGTGAAGGCCGCGGACTCCATAGCGCTGGAGAAGATCGATCGCACATGAGTATCGAGAAGCCTCGCTCCATGAGAAGCGCTGAAGAAAAGCAAGTCTGCGCATGCCATTGTTCATCTCGTGAGTGTCCAAATGAAATGGTACAACTGGGCAGGCGCTCCCGTCAGCTCCTTCTGTGCGAGTCAGTACCCACACACTACCTAGCGCGCCGAACCTTGCCGAAGTTTCACCGGGCTTCAGCCTATTTGAATGGCAGAACGGCCTTGTCACCTGGTAGCATCACGCATCGTGAATCTTGATCGCAACTACCGGCTCAGCTCCCATTAACGATTGCTAATTGCACCACGACGCCATCATCACTGCCCAACAGGAAACATAGCCTTTTCATTTTGAGAGCGTCGTTCAATATGGGCTCTCGAAATGGCCTCAAAGCAACCCGTACCCTCTAGAGCAGCGCTCAATGCTCTTCGAGGAGTTATACTTACTACCTCCTGCTCTGTCATCCTGCTCGCCGAAGAACGACGACGCCGACTGCAGCTTGCACGAGCAGCAATTGAAAATGCACGAAAGCTCCACATGGTCCAGACTAATCGGGGACCGTTGGCTCTCGCCGAAAGCCATGCCTCCTGGGGGAGCAGGTTCGTCGAGGTGGGTGAAGATGTGTTGTCCTTGGCATCCGTGCCCCGACCAAGGACCTCTACGCGCCGCAGAGGCCGATCTCATCTTATCGGAACTCAGAACGAAAGTGAGGTGCAGGACCACGACAACGGACGAGCTCAATTGATGAGTGAAGCTGATACAACAAGCGAGGCTTGTAGAATGCTGGTCAACGCTGATGCGCTGGGTAGCGTATTCGACACGCTCCACCTTCAGAACATCAGATTACCACCGCCGAAGCCTCATAGGTACAATGGTTTGGAGTGGAGAGCCCCTAGGATATTGGTCCAGTCCAAGGCTCCAACGGCTTCATCATTATCGTTGGGCACCAGCACCAAGCCTTCGCACGTTGCACAAAAAGCTAAATACATGTTCATGCCAGACAATCCTGAGACCCCTGGATGTGATTCCATCGAGTCCGCTCATGCCTATCTAGAGAAGCACTGTCCTGGTGGCTTGGCTAACCGACCGTTCTACAACGATGCGATAGCGGTATTGGAAAGACTGCTCGGGGACGTGGAAGTGCCCGACGCCAACAAGCCCAATGTCTCGGAGAGAATCAAGTTGGCAACCATGATATTCCAGAGGCTAGCAGCATTTGGATCGCCAGTATCGCCCAGAGCTACAAGGCCACTTCGGACTCAAAGCATTCGCTTCCTCCAACTTGTTTCAACCTCCAGCCCGGACAGGTTGACAGCCACCCTAGCTTTGCTACTTCCATTGACTAAAGATCCCTTGTATCTGTTGCTGCCTTTTCTGGAATTTTTGGAGCATGAAAGTAACCGGAAAGTGGCATTGGATGTTCTGAGGTTCTTGTCGCGGAACGACAGATCCTGTTCATGGGCTCGTGGAATGTTAGTTTGTCAACTTCTTGCTCGTCAAGCAAAACTCCAAGCCAACTTTGACAAGACCAAGCGAGTTTACCGTCTGCTCCAAGATGCAGGCTTATTCAGAGAAATTGAAACTCCTCAGAGTACAGAATACAAGATACGACGCCTGATGATCATCCTGGCCTTGAAACATGGCGACGACTCCTTCGCACACACAGAATTTGAGTTGCTGAGAGATTTGGACGCAGACACCTGCCGATCTGACATCAGGTTGCAAACACATTTCATCACAAGAGACGCCATCATGGGTAAATGGGTAGAGGTTTGTTCGGACGTTGAAGCGCTTGGGCAGATATTAAATACGCAATCTGTCGACTTTCAGCGACTTTTAACAAGGACTGTCGATATTTTTGGTCAAACGCACAGTGGCAGCGAGCTCGAACTTTTGCTTCGGAGACTTGCCTCCGGGTATAGGCTCAGCCTGAAACATCGTTGGATATATGCAGTACTGGACCACTACGCAAGTCGTCGGCAAAAGATTGAAAATCTATTCTCGTGGCTGCAATTTTGCCACAGCCACGGATTCCAAATCGATTCAGCTTGCAACCAACGATTCCTTGCCATTTGCCGTAAGTTCTGGAGCTTTTCTGACAAGGCCATTCAGAGTCTGGAGGAAAGTCTCGGGGGGGGAGCGAGGACTGGTATACAAACTGCTTCAGAGATGGGAACGGGTGAGCTTGGGCGGGAAATGGCCTCGCTGGCCTCGAAGGGGCAATGGGAGAATGTTGCTGAGGCATACGAGACGGCGCACCGTTCCGGCACGGACATTTCGATGGCGTGTTTGCGACTAGCGGTGTTGGCATACACCAAATGCGCGAACCCTGACATAGATCGCGCGAGCAACTTGATCCAGTCTGCCTACGCAAAAGGTCAAGACGTAAGCGAAGCACTGACTCCCCTGTTGCTGGCGAGATTGGAACGAGGCGAAACCCCCAGCTCGTTGATCAACGGCGCTCTTCAGATGGGGGTTCGCATTCACGATAGCGCTTACAACAAGGCGGCCCAGGCGCTGTCTGGCCGCGGCGACCACGAAGCCGCAGCCGCGATGTGTGAGCTCGCCGCAAGGGAGAATGGAAATGGCGAGCTTTTGTACAACGAGTACAACTTTGCGAATCTAGTGTTTGCCTACACTGGGTCTGCGAATTACGGGGCATTGCAGTCATTGCTTTCTGGATTCACGTCGGATGCGCAGTGGTGGCACGGCAGTCGAACATGCAAGGAGACAATCAAGCTGGCGATGAAGACGACGGCGATGAGGAGTGTGGCGCAACCGCAGAATGGCACACTACACCGACAGGCTCTCGACAGGCTGGACGACGCGCTGCTTCACTCGAGGAAGTGCCGCTTTACGAAGGACGATCGACGGGCCGTGTCCGAGGCATACGTCCGCTTGGCAGCGGCAGCGCCACCATCAACCGAGGCCGACGCAAAGAAGAATGGCAGATGTAGCAACAAATTTGGCAGGTTGTGTCGGCAGCAGGAAGCCACGCCAAGTGCCGAGCCCGTGCTGGTAGTGGCAACGGGTTCAAGCTGAACCCTTCTACTTGATGTGCAAACCGGGAATGTAGAATAAAGAAGTATGCAAACAGGCATCGACCACAATAGCAAACACCATCCGTGTGATTTTCGTGCCGCCAGCGAACGACCGACAAGGCATTGGTTGCAAGTGTCAGCAGGTGACGTAGCGACGACTCGAAAGCAAATTGGAAGCACCACTTGTAATCGAAGACAAGGAAAGCAAGTCGGGCATGTCACGTCGGGCATGTGAGGGGTGCGCGTCGGTACGGAGGGACTCGGGGAGCAGGTGGGCTCATTGCCAGCGGAAACGAACGATCCGAAACACCACGTGAGCAACTGCCCAGGGCATGACGACGTATGATGCGTGCAATGTGCAATGGCCATGAAGGGCAATGTGGTGGTGGTGGTTCGACCATGGCCGACTCCTGAGCGTAGTTACCCGGCAATTGGCCGAGGAAAGGCTAGAGGCTGCAAGTTGGGGCGGCGGCCCTGCCCCTGCAGGCACCGGCACAGGCACAGGCACGCACCAAAACTCCAGAACCGTCGACACCCCCGCCTGCCTGGCCCTGGGCCCTGGTGGCGACGGGCCATCTCGGGCCAAGTGGTTGCGTGATCTCTCTGTGCCAGATGGACCACGGGCATCGCGCTACACACATCACCAACTGACCCTGACCCTCCCGAGTCCCGAGTCCTGAGTCCTGATGCGTCGCCACTGTCGTCGTCCCCGAAAGGTGCACCGAGTACACGTGGACACTTTGCCATTTCCCCCCCTCACCAAGCCGACTCCATCGCCCGGCCGTGCCTCTTCTCTGTCCATCGACGGCCGATGCACGTCGCAACCTCCCCAATGTCTGTGAGCCCCGTCAGCGCCCCCGGAGACGCCCGGAAACGCCGCGAGCAGTTTCACGAAGCCGACGCCGTCGTCGTCGGCGCGGGTGTCTTTGGATGCGCCATTGCCTTTGCCCTCGCCAGCCAGGGTCGCTCAGTCCTGCTGCTCGAGCGGCGGCTGGCCGAGCCCGATCGCATCGTCGGAGAGCTGCTGCAGCCCGGCGGTATCGCCGCCCTGAAGCAGTTGGGTCTGGGACACTGCGTCGAGGGCATCGATGCCATCCCCTGCAAGGGCTACAATGTCATCTTCAACCACATCCCCTCGCTGATCCCGTACCCGACCATCGACGACAGCGGCAACGTCATATACGCCTGGGGCGGGTCGGGAAAGGAGGGAAAACGACCCGAGGGCAGATCGTTCCACCACGGAAAGTTCATCACCAAGCTGCGAGAGTCTTGTCTCGCCCACGAGAACATAACCGTCGTCGAGACCGAGGTCGTCCGGACCCTTCGCGGCGAATGTACGGACCAGGTTCTGGGCGTCGAGTCGCGGACCGAGAATCACGAGACGGGCGACAAGAAGTCCGACTACTTCTTTGGTCAGCTGACCGTCATCGCCGACGGCTACAACTCCAAATTCCGCAAGGATGCCATTGGGGACAAAAAGGCCACCGTCAAGAGCAAGTTCTACGCCCTCGAACTGATCGATACCGTGCTGCCCCAGGAAAACTACGGCCACGTCATCATCGGAAAAGACACGTTCCCCACGCTGCTGTACCAAATCGGCACGCACGAGACCCGTGCCCTCTTTGACGTCCCCATGGGCATTCCGGAGGCCTCGCCCGCGGCTGGCGGCGTGCGCGGCTACATCAAGAACGTGGCCATTCCTGCCCTCCCGCCTTCTGTCCAGCCTGCTGCCCTCGCGGCTCTCGAAGAAGGCGGCAACATCCCGCGCAGCATGCCCAACAGCTGGCTGCCACCGACGAGGCAGACTGCCAAGGGACTCCTGCTCCTCGGCGACGCATTCAACATGCGCCACCCCCTTACCGGCGGCGGCATGACTGTCGCCTTCAGCGACGCCCTCCTTCTCTCGCAGCTTCTCGACCCGGCAAGGGTTCCCAATTTCGAAGACTCCAAAGCCATCAGCGCCGCCGTCAACGTCTTCTACTGGCGCCGCAAAAACGTCACGTCCAGCATCAACGTCCTCGCCCAAGCCCTGTACACGCTCTTCGCCGCCAACGACCGCCAGCTGCAGGCCCTCCAGCTAGGCTGCTTCGAGTACTTCCAGCGCGGCATGACGGACGGGCCGTGTGGTCTCCTCGCCGGCATTATCCAGCGCCCCGCCGTCCTGGCATATCACTTCTTCTCCGTCGCCTTCCTGTCCCTGTGGCTGAACGCCCTCGCCATTTGCGCCGGGCCCTTTGGTGTCTTCAAGGCTCCCCTGGCACTGATAGACGCAGTTCTTATCCTTTGGAAGGCCAGCTGCGTCTTTTTGCCGCTAATATGGCGCGAGGGCTTCCAGTAACGGCTCGTGTTTGCGGTACACGTGGTAATAATCCAGGAGGCGGCCAAGCAAAAGCACAAGATGTCAACACGGGAAGGCGTTTTTTTTCTTCTTTTTTTTGTTTCGTCACCAAACACGATGTCCATGTTCCACTAGTCAAAGTTTAATCTTGTCCAAGACGCCCTGGTACATGTACATATACACATCAGAGACGCGCGAGGCCATGAGTACTTGTACTTGTACACGGGGACTGGAATAGACGAGGCAGCAGACATGCCTGCCTCCCACGAGCCACGATACTTGCAGCAGCTAAATAATTATAATGGTTCAATTTATGCGTGGCCCAGACTGTGCGAGTATTTTGTGCGCCTGCACGAGATTCCGCTTGGAAAAGAGACGGGGAGGGAAAAAAAAACAACTCAACCAAGCGCCGCAGCTCACGTAGACGCAGTCGAGCAAAGCTTGCTCGCTCGCTTCCACGTCACCCCTGGACCGCGGCGCGCGGCTGTCCCGTCGGCGCCCAAGCTACGAGGGGCCCGTCGCGCAGCCGGCGAGCTAGCTGATGCCCGTCGTGCTCTGCTCCCCATGGCGATGATGGTGGTGAAGCGGTGATGGCGTTGGCGCGCTCGTCTTGGAGCCTAGCCCCTGCACCGAGCACCAAGAAGCACCGAGTATAAGAACCGCCCCCTCCTCTGCCTCCCGCCTCCCGCCTCCCGCTCCTCGGCTCCCGTGCGCATCCTACCGAGGTCGAGACCGAGACCGAAGCCCGCCAGACGAAGTGACCTCCTCGAGATGCGGCTCCTCCAGCGTCTCATGGTCATCTTGGCCGCCGGCACCGGCGCGCTGTGCGACCCGTCCACGTCCGTCATGGTAACTAGTCCCTCCTCTTCCCTGCGCCCTCCCTCCGCGCGCCAAGATCAAGAGAGACACGAGCTCACCGGGCCGCCAGGGCGTCGCCTACCGCCACGGCGGCCTGTGCTCCGGCAGCGCGCAGCCCCGGGGCGCGCAGGCCATCATCATCAGCGAGAAGTGCTTCAACACCAGCAACGTAGAGTGCGTCGTTCCCTCGTTCCCTCGCTCCCTCGCTCCCTCGTTCCCTCGCTCCCTCGTTCCTCGACCCCCCGTCGAGCGGCAGAGGCCGGCACGGGAGACATCTGCTGACGAGCGTAGAGCGCTGTACCTCGGTTCCGCGGCAGGCTCGTGCTGGGGATATAGGTAGGTTGAGCGGCGTTGCCCCCCTCTCGTCCCGGTCCAGGCGCACGGCTGATGTGCGTGGCTGTAGGATGCACGACTGCGGCGGGTACAAGCGGCCGATCAACATCACCAAGGGCTGCAACAGCCTTGTGCGTCTCAGGAACGTCCCCATGTCTGCCATGTGTCGCTTGCCGGTTGTGTAGGTGCGTGCGTTGGAACGTGGGCTGTTGGTGCTGCGAGTCGACGGGCTTGCCTGGGGAGGAGGACGCTTGGGTCGAGTGAGCGGGTTGGTCATACTACATGGTCAGTCGGGTTTGAATTTTCTTGATTCGTGGGCGGCGAGCGTGGCGGTGGTGTAGGGGACGACTTTTCGTTTACTGCCATGTCGTGCTGCTCTTTATGATGGTGTTTGCAACGGGAAGAGGAAAGGAAAAGAGGAAAGCTTGTTGGTCTATATGCTTGTGCGTAAAACATGCAGAGTGTTTCTATGTTAATCGTCTTCGGTAGACGCCCATCATCCAGCTCGCTCGCAAGACGGCCAGTCCGATGGCCATTTTGATGCTGTCCTGGATCACGTTCAGTTTGCTGCCACCCACTTCATGCCACTCGATGGGCATCTCGGCAACCTTGATCCCGGGACTCGTGCCAATAACACTGCCGTCACTACCGAGGACGGGGGTGGCGGGTGCCGACTCGGCAAGCATCAGCATCTCAATGTCGAAGATCCAGCCCTCGGTGTGCATGTACGGTACGATGTGGGGGAGGGACTCGCGCGAGAACAGCTTGAAGCCACACTGGGTATCGCGGATCCGTGAGGTTGCAGGCGGAGTAAGGATCGTGAGGACCAGGTGGAAAGATCGCATGAGAAAGTTGCGCAGGGCCGAGCGCTGTGGATTGACTGTTTAGCACACGGTGCGATGATGCAATAGGGAGATGCGGGAGCAATTACCTTGACCACCGCTTCGCTGCCAACCAGGTGAGCGCGGCTACCAATGGCAACACCTCGCAGGGAACCATCCATGACCTCTTCGCAGCCCTCGATCAGCTTGCCCACGTCGCTAAACCTGGAGGCGCCATCGGCATCGGCAAACAAGACGTATTCGCCTCTCACATGGCGTAGACCGTGGGTGACGCCCCCGCCCTTGCCCCTATTCTTAACCAGGGTCACGACGCGAAGCATGTCATGGAGGCCATGCTTATGAGCAAAGTCGAGTGCCACCTCCACAGTCTTGTCCTTGCTCCCATCGTTGACGACCAGAATCTCGTAGCCTCCCAGCGCCGTGTCCGACTTGGAAGCATTCGAATGTCCGCGCTGATGGCGCCGGCTGGCGGGGCTGAATGGCTCTTTGGTGGCGGTGTTTCGCCCGATGTGCTTGTCCAAATACTCTACAGCTTCTTCCAACGTGGGCAAAATTCGATCCTCCTCGTTGTATGCAGGGAACACGACGCTCAGTCGCAATTCGGCGGGCTCAATGCTGCCGGAACTCGGCGTTGGATACGCTTCTCGCGGGCGAACATGGTTTTGCTCCTGGAGGCGACGTTCGGCTAGCCAGCGGTCGTACCAGCATGGCAGCCGTCGAGCTGTGGTTGGCTTACCCGAGGGGCTGGATGTAATGTATGTCTTCTCGGACGGCAGGACGCGTCGGGGCCTCGGCGCTACAAGGTGAAGAAGGACGAAAAGCTGGAGGCCGCAATAGTTGGTTAGCTGCGACGGGGCTTGTTTTCTTCTGTGCACCTGAGAGGAAACCTTACACAGGAAAAGCCGAGCAGAAAGAGCAACATGAAACCGACAACGAGGACATGAACGGGGGCCGCTTCGATCCATGCCAACAGTGACCGCACGAAGCGAGCCACAGGCTCCATGAGGGTCATTGCCCTCAATTACCAAACAAACGGCACGTGCGAATCGTTTGCGAGACGGGGCGTTTGAGCTGTGAGCCCGGACGAGCTCCAGGCACAACAGCAGCCTACTGCGGGAGTATGGTGGGTTGAAAGTCACGGACCGTCATTACTTAGGAAAGGCGAGAAAAAAGGCCACGATAACCAGTTTTGCAGCTCGCAGTAGGATGAGCAATGGGAGCGGAGCGTACGACAGGTGCCAAGTATTGCTGCCAGCTGACTACACGATGTCATGTGCAGTTTGGCACCTCGCGCCACGCCACGCTGCAGCTGAGGGGCTGTGGCCTTGTCAACGTGTTCACTTTGCAGGGACCCTGATGTGGCGCATGCCGTCAGGGCCAGTACGTACTTGTTGGGCCCAGGTACTCCGTACCTACTTGAACCTAGGCACTTAACCCAACTACGTACGTGTCGTGATGGTCCGCACCATGGGTTGTATTACGGGGCCAAGTCTGAGCCATCCCGATCTTGCGGGGCTGTCAACTTTGCCGTTGCCCGAGTCCGTCCGTCATCTCTGTCTTTCGTCTCCATGGTCCGTGATCAGAACAAAGGTTTTCGGTCGGTGGGGTCAATCCTGAGACTAGACAGAAACATGAACCCGTGCTCCGTCTAATTGAGTACTTACGCATCACTTTCTATCGATTAGTACTTAACTTCCAGGGTTCCTAGGAGCTAATGAGTGCTAGGCACCGCCTACGGAGTACCTCCAAGTGAGGTAAGCTACTTAAGTAGGTACTTAAAGTGGGTAGGTGGGTATCAAGACAGACCCGTCGGAATCAGATCAAGTACCGATTACTCGGCAGCTAGAATACTTCCATCCCAAGTCAATTCAGCGGGGGCTCAAAAGTAAATTACATTTTTTGAGGTCCAGATTGTTGAGGCGATGCGATGCTGCCATGTATGCCTGACAACTTCCTCCTCCACACACATGGTTGATATCATATCGCATCGACAGAAATGGCGCTCAGTGATTAAACGTAACGTGCAAGTTCAGCACACACGAGAATAGCCGATACTGGAATTCCCTCGCCTGAGCCTGCCCCTTGCTTCGTGTCCAGAGTTGAGCTCCAATTCAAATGAATACCTGATCCATACCACACGCACTTATTCCTACTACATATTTTCCAGCCATCCCGCTTGGCCAAGTCATTTGCCCGCTACATGATAAAAAAAAAGGCTAAATACGGTGGCAATATGCCAGAAGTAAGATTCCCAAACACCGTTCTTCTATGCCAAATAATCATGAATTCGTTAAACAATGGCCAAAGAATACTGGTCTCGCGAAACTCCAAAGGCGGTTTGCCCTCCTCCCTTCAGTAAGTGAAGCACAACCCAACTGAACTCCCATGCTTTCTGATAGTTCCAAGACCAAACCTCGGCGCCAATTTTCCCCTGTTCCATTAAAAGTCCTCACGGTGGCGGGAGGGCTATACTGCATTTTAGACCGCAACAACCGATACCTTCGAAGTGGACCATCGATTCTTCTTGACGAGTCTCCCGCCGTCTGTCTTGGATAACTTCTTGGTCTTTCCATTTTTTGCCGGTGCTGCCTCCAGTCCTGCTTGCTCAGGAAACACGTTGACGAGGTCTTCATGAGACAATGGAGGCGGAAGACGGCCACGATCAAACCGCTGATGGTCAGAGGTAGAAGCCTGGGGCCGCCCGGAATGCTGCCGCATATCGTCCGCGTCTTGGGATACGTTTATCGGCCCAGTATGGCGGTTAATGGAATTAGCTCGAGGCGGATTGTTATTGGCCGCTCCCGAGGATGACGTCAGAGATCCCGAGTCAATACCAGACATTGACAGACGGTTCAGAGGGTACTCAGTCTTGGAAGCACTGGCTACTGAGGGCGTCGTTGAAGCTGTCTGCCTCGCTGGCATAGCGGAGAGGCCAGATAGTGATGCAGATGAACTCCGCCGAGATGTAGGGGTGGGCGAGATTGAGGGCGATGCGCTGTTATTCCTATGAGCAGAGATATTTCCAGGGAGAATCCCAATGCTCGTCGGCTGCATGGCTGCGACGGCAGGAATCGAGCCGAAGCCCCTCATCGAAGGGGGTGGGCGAGAATCTCGGATGTAACTAGAAGCATTAATTCTGCTAGCACTGGACAAGTTGTGCTGATTCATCGAAACGTCTAATGCCCGTCTCGCCCGGCCAGGATGAAGGCGATGGGGTATGGTGCCATCACCGGTTTGAGTCGTGGCCGCCGTAGAAGACTTCATTTCCAGCTCGTCTTGAGAACTTGTTGACACGCTGGAACTTTCAACAGGAGAAGGGTCGCCTGCTGCCAGAAATTAGTGTCAAGGCTCAAGAAACACGATCCCAGGTATGCAGAAAGTGCTGGCTCCATGACAAACCTTTACTTGACGCTGGGCTGATGCGCTGAGAGTCGTAGAGCCGCGACACTTCCTTTCCCTTGAGCGGCCCTGGATGGAGATATGCCATGTCTGGCGCTGCGTACACTACCTCCCGACTGTCACGAAGACCCGGCAACGGGGATGTGCCAACGTAGCTGTATGGTCTGGGCATACCCATCATTGCCGCGACATCTTGTCCAGGATAAGACACATGGGAGAGGCTGCTTCCGACTCGGGGTACGCCAGGCATATTCATGTTGAACCCACTAGCAGCCATGGCACTGCGTCTGCGATTCTGCTCAATAATTCGAGAACGATCCGCCTCCCTCCAGCTCGGTGGCGCGCTGGCAAATGCATCGGTTGCCGCATGAGTAGGAACATGCTTATATGGAAGTTGAGCTGATTCTTTCCTCTTTTGATCGGCTAGCTTGGCATTGTGCTCTTTGGCCTGTTGGCGGCTTTTCCTAATGTGAGAGAGGATGGACATATCGATGGAGTGTTATCAGAGCGCAGCGACAGGCTCAGCAGAGCCCCTCCGACACTCTGAGAACGCCAGACGTATGCAGAGGCGATGGCACAAAGACTGCCCACGATCAAGTCGATTCCCGTGTTGGCAAAAATAGGGGAACGAAAAGGCCGGCAGAGAAAGGGTCGAAAGGCGGGCGGTTGTGTCACAGGGCCGGGCTTGACGACAGTATATATTCCAATTGTGGTGGCCCTAGTAGGACATCCCACCGGCTATTTTAAGTAGTACGCCTAGCGTGACAGGGGTTGACGAAAAGTGAACCGGCGTTGACTGAGAAGGAGAGCATCCGGGCGTCGGGCTCTAGTGGGAAAAAGCAAAGGGCCCGCGTATTCTAGTAAGTCTTTGGGTGGGCTGCGACACCTTTAGGGGACCAGATTTCCTCCACGATTCGGATCCCTTATTCCTTGCGGGCACTAGACAGGTAGGTGGATGGGTCGGTACGAGCTTGCGACTCTGCGAGGGGGGATGGCGGCAGCAGGGAGTTGCTTCAGGAGTGAGACAATGGTGGAGAAGCCACCTCCCGTGTCCAAGTCGCCCAGAAGGGTTCGAACGTCCGCGAGTCCGAGAGACCCTATGAACGCCAAGCGCAGCTGCAGGGGCTGGTCTAGATTTGTGTTGCGTCGCCTGGACGTTGTTATTTATGCTCAGCACCAGCACCTTGGGCGGTTCGCTCTGTGGCTGTGGCCTTGATGCGCAAGTACCCAGTGAACGAGTTTCAAGTGTAAATAGAGCCAAAGTGCATCAGGCAGTGACTGGCTCGCAGAGCCAACAGGCTTGATGTGAGATGTGGGACGTGAGACGAATGGATATCGGGGCTGACGTGCACGTCGTATGGGCTGGCTTTTATGGTGCACTTGCTCGTTCTAGAATAGTCAGGCAAGAGAAAGAGAAGGTTGTAATACAGCAGAACGAGGTGAGCTGGAGGCTAGCTGGACTGATGCCCGGCGTGTCATCACGCAATGATGCACGGCTGCGGTTTCTCTGCAGCTATACCCACGTCCAGACAATGTACCAGATGGCAGGACCGGAAGTCGTTGCAAGCAGAGCTGGTTGGACATTGATCGAGTGGCCGAACAGATTGGACGGCAGGTCGGTTCTCTGGTTACCTGCGGAAGGCAAACATAAGCCTTCGCCTCCAAGTTGCTCGGTTGGTCTAGATGGGAGGGGTTGTGGTGGTGGTTGGTGGCAACCAACTGATAATTCGCACGAATTCAGACGCACGATATTGGTGATCCCTGCAGCCGGCAAAGAACAACTCCGAAGTAGGGCCACGTCAGACCCAAGGACCCCGTAGAACGTAGAATAAACAGAAAACGACCTGCAGAGCAAGCCAACGACGTTCAAAGAAGACAAAGAGAAAAATGACTGGGAAAAGCATACAAGAAGATGCGGTCCACAAGAACGAGCCGACACCGGCAGGGACAAGGCAGGAACGTGATACGAGCTCGAGAGGGCTGACCAGGTAGTCCGTGGTACGGAGTACTCCGTACTGTTATTTTCTTTGGAGGAAGGAGCGTCGCACGCAGGCTCCGGCTGCCAGTCCAGAGCACAGATTACGTACTTCCTAGGTACGGAGTACGGGGTACGGAGTACTCCGTACCGAGCGGCAGTACGTACATACACGAGGCGGCATGGATTTTTGGTCCCGTACAGGGCCGGTGGCAGGGAGGCTGCAAAACTGCCATCAAAAAGGGCAAGCACTTTCGCTAGATTCCACGCCACTGATAATGAGGATTCTTCATGGATGGAGTCCTTCGTCGGCGCACTTGGCATGTCGGCGCTCTGTCGCCAGCCCGACATGCCAGCTTTCGGTAGATCCAAGGCAAACCACGCCACGGACCGCCGACTCCACGATGCTTCATGGGATGACCCGGCTGCGCATCACCAACCAACCCGTCGTCCAGCTACTGCATCGAGCCGGCGCGGTGGCCCCCAGCTTACCCAGGGCATCAGCTCAGAACAAAGCCCAACAGCCAACGTGGACGGCAGCCAGTTGGTGGTTATCGACAGAAGACGACAATCTGGCATCTGGCGTGCGAATCTGAGCCAATCGATGCATCACGACCTCTGTTCACAACACCAACCCGTGTGTCACCTGACCGCTGAAGATACCACCATCTGGAGGAATTGCGATTTCGCTGCGGCCCCAACGGAACCGTCTCTCCGCCGAACACAATGCGCCAGTCTCCGCATGAAACTTTGCCCATCTGTTATCGACTGCAGGCTCAGCTTCCATTGGGGCCAAAGGATGAGATTATTGGTAGCTGCTGCTGCACGCCAGGATTGATGACCGTTCCACCAGGCCGCATCTCTCGGATGGAGCACAGCCATTGGCAACAAAAATAAAATAGGCGTTGCCACCGAAGGTGAGCTCCACTTTTGGACACCATGACACGAGGAGGAGGGTTTTTCTTGGGCATGGCTGAGCATTTTTCCTTCTAGCGAGCCTTGACATTGAGATATCAGAATCGCACTCATGCTCCACGCCCGTCACCGCCGGCTGTTGAGACATTGGGCACGTTTCTAATTCAAAGAGCCTTGACACGTCACTTTGATTCGTTAGTGGGCCAGCCTGTGCCACGCCAATCTTTTTCTGATATTGTTTAGCCGCCGGCTCCCGTGCCAGGTGTGACATCACCAGGCACCAAGGCGATACAACTAATAGTACGGAGTACTACATACAGGAATGAACTAGCTCAAGAGGCCTCTCAGCTCCAACATCCCCAGCCGCGCCAAGCCTCAGAACCAGAGTGCGACTCCGTGTGTACGTGACAAGGCCATGCCGCGTATCAAACGGCCTGTGGCTGGAAATTATCCTGGGAATGGAAGGCACTTTGCTCGAGGCGATAACGTGAGCTATCACGCCAATTCGTCACTCCAGCAGAGGACACCCGGTAGAGACCCAATCGCAGTACCGGGCGAGGCTTGACCCAACGAAACGCATTCATTCTCCGGGCCGCTTTCGACGTCCGAGATGCTTCTTTTCTCAGCCTCACATAGCAAGTGCGGGCTGCGACAAGCTTGGGGGTGGGAGTTGCGTTGAAATAGTGGAACTTGAGCAATATTTAGCTAACCCGCGTGCTGTTTTGACAGGGACCCTTGATACACAACTGTCATCTTGTGACCTACATACTTGTACAGCTATATCAGGCAGCTGTCCCAGGCCCTTGGTACGCGAAGCGGGCTGGAAGCCACAACGGTTTGGCAATGCCTGTGATTTTTTATTCCGATCACGGAGTAACCACTCTTGAATATTGCGCAACCTTGCGCCTTTTATTTATTTATTTGTTTTTTGTCATTTCTTGGGAACAAGAGAAACCCCGGGCGACAGGCTTGTTGACAGGTTCAGACCAGAAGTCCTGCCTCACCAAGATTCATGTCTGAGTTTTTGGGACAGCAAGTCCTAACGTATGCGGTGGGACGTTGAGCGTGTCTCATAAAGTGCTACTTTCCGCGAGCGGCCCTGCAGAGGCTTGTCGCAGATCAAGTAAGTATACTCCGTCCAATCGCGGGATTCCGTCGACGCATCCGTTTTGAGACATGATGGGATTGCCGAGGGGCCCATGGAGCGAAGGATGGCTTTTCTGTGCAACTCGTGAACACATGAGCTAGTGAAGTGACGGTCGCTACCGCAACATGTGTCTGCAACCTTCGCTCATGCGTGAGCCTTTGAAGGTCAGACCGCATTTACATTGCTTAATCGTGCATTTCAAAAGGCTATGCCAAAGGAATCAACAATGCGGACAAGGCTTCAGGGAACGTTTTTACCAAGAGGCTCGATAGCATCATGTCCCCACTCTACCGGCGCTTGATGTCTTTACACCAAGCAAGCTCAAATACATGCCCCGCTGGCGGCAAGTCTCAGCGGACACGTAGGTAGTTCGTCCTCGGTTGTATCACAGGAAGGGTACAAAAGATGGTTTCTTCAGGAGTCCTTTCACCGCACTTACCTACTTGCTTGCCAGACCCAGATCATGAGCTCAACGAGGGAACCAAAAGATCCCTGTAGGAAGTGATTCGTTACACCCAGTGTAGTGTCACGGCAGAGAGGACACAGCTTGTTCATATGATTCATACGGCCCACTAGTTTAGCAACGGCAAGTATAGGCACAGAAGCACCTTTGTGCACCACCCGCTGCAATATTGATCGGCCAGAGATAACCTGTGAGGGATGGAAACACCACCTAGAACACTCCCGGCCCATAGAGCCGTGATATCTGCGGTCGAACAGAAGAAGACGCCGATTGGGTGTATTCGACCGCCAGCAAACGCCTATCTCAACAACGCCCAAGTTTGATGCCACCCATCGGAGAGACCGTGGTCAATGTCAACCAAGTATATTCGCTTCTAATGGTCCCGAGCTGCAAATGAGGAGCGTTGTATGGATCGCCGTGGGCCGCGGGCACGCCGTGCACATGGATGTCGGGATAAATGTGGGGCCGCATCGGGGCGAGGTTCCGGGCCACAAGTCCGCCGGCTTCATTGGCCAATTCATCGTCACAGCCCTTCTCAATGACGACAAGGGCTCTCACCCGGTCACGCGGTCATTCTAACTGATATCGTGGAGCCCCCAACTCCCGAGGGAGTCATGTTTCCGGGCAGAGCAATGCCCGTCAAGATGCACCGCTCACGGACTCTCCCGCCACTGTGGATGTAGATTTGGACGCTGCTCGTCTTTCATGCCATCATGTCATTTTGTACCAGGCAAATATTCAAGCCTGCCAGGTGCTGTAAAGTGCAGTCCTGTCCTTTGCTTCATGTGAGCTCAACGCTGACTTGCCTGGCACGAGGGTCAATTCGACGCCCTCCTCGACACCCTCCGCAACCGTGTTCTGCTGTGCAAACAAGCTTCGCATGCATTCACTCGCCTGGGTCTCATGACAGCCTTGTTCTACGGCTTCTCAATATCTCTAGGAGACCTGGTGAGCCTACGGCTGCTGCCTCAACAACTGTTGTCCGGCATGGTTCGCGAACCAATGCGCGGTCTTGTTGCGTGTACTGCTTCCCTCAAGGGCAGCGGCTTTGGACACTGGCTATGTTCGCCAGCCCTCGCGGACAGTACTTTCCATGCGCTGACTCGACAGAGAGATGTAATCTTGTCTTAAGTGCGTTCGAGATGGGTGTGGTGTGCAGGGTACGATGGATTTCTTGGTTCACTTACTTTGTGCGCACTATTGTCCTGGACATGCCACGATTTCAAGTGCTCTTGGCAAATACCCCGTGGCGCACCAGTTTAAAGGATTCTAAAGGGTCCCAACGGAAAATCATGTCCCCCAGCTGGTCCCATCTATGCAAGCCATGTGTCTGTCCATAGACCATTTCACCATTCCGGCTGTCCCATTCGATCCTCCCGTGTCAGCTTCAGAAACAATGCCATTGTCTTGTCAGTACCCCACGAGCTGTTTCGTTTCCGCCATGTTTTCCCCCTTTCCGTACCGGCTCATGCCAATCACGAAGCCACCTCGAGGCCATATAGGTCAGCGGGCTCGCTTGAGGATTTTCGCGGACTGCGCGTGGTCCATGTGTACGCCGACGTGCTTCTACCGCAAACTGGACGAGCAGGCCGCCGCCGAATTCCACGGCACAGGGGAATGGATAGCAGACGTTCGGCCATGCAGACGACGTGGTTGCCACCGCTTGAGATAACCTCCTTGTTGAACATCTTTGCGGGGTGTGAAGATGCGCAAAAAAATGACCGATTACGTGTCGAATCTACAGCCTCTTGATTACTGGATCAGAATGCTGCAAGTAAATTGCAATATACTTGGACGTCGATCATGTGCGGTGTGACGGCTGACGTTGCGAGAGCGGACACTACACCCAAGGCGCTGCGCCATGCCGACGAAATCAACCCATGAGCGCTCTGCATCTTGACCTTTTGGACCCTGAGGGACGAAAAGGAGGATCGTCACCTCGCCGCGCATTTATGAATGCTTGGCCGGCGAGCGTCCTGGTCCCCGCGGACTGGTGAGGATGCCCGGCGAGCCAGCACGGCCTTGTCTGTCCCCGCGTCTGCTGGGGCCTTTTTCAAGTGCATCAGAGCCATGATTTTCGCAACTTAGTGGAAAGCGGTGGATTTTGGGGCTCCTAGAGCTGAAGTCCCGGCCGTTGGTCAGGCAAGCCCGGCTCGTGAAGGATGGTGATGCTCTTGGCAAACCCGCAATGAGCCCGCGTGGCGGCCGGCACATTGTCTCTGATTCCAACTACGTACTCGACTTGAGCCAAGCGGGCTTTGAGTTCCTTCAGCCCTATCTGGTCTGGAACAAGGTAGCGGAGGACGGCACGCTTGGTGGTATACATGTGGGGAAGGACGGGGGATGGGCGCAAACGAACGGTTCACTTGGGGTCTTGACTTTATTGTTGACAGAAGCGGATCCTGCTGATCCCGAGTCCCTTTTTGGGATCAGCAGTTGACTTGAGACATGCGAACTAGGCCTTTTGGTGCCTTGGAATAGACGTGGTGTCCGGGGGTGCAGTGAATTGGGCCCTGGGGTTCCCCCTTCCAACAGGTGAATACGGCCGCGGCAAGAACGTGAAATGTACCGTTGCTGTGCATGGCGTCACAGACGAGGCTCGAGCCGAGGGCGCGTATGAACGAGGCGTCAAGTTTGTCCAGTCGGACGATTCCGGTCGGCGTTCGGGCGGGGGCCGACGACGGATGGCCGAACCAGTAGTTTCGATCCCGGCGCGGCGTTTGGCTGTCGGACTCGGCAACTACTGTCCCCAGTTGTAGTACCATAACTATACTTCTAGATGCCCAGTCTGAACTGTTGGATTTGGATGGATGGCTCTGCCCACATAGTGTCCGGACCAGGAAGCTTTCTCGCTGCACCCAAGTGTTACCATGACTAGCCTCTCGGCACCTAGCTGCCGTTGTCCTCAAACAACCACCTCCCAATCCGTGGGCATGCTGATGCTGGCATTTTGGAGTTTGGAGGCACCGACGTCCAAGAATTGTACCTCCTTGATTACCTGAGAGTCTGGCCCCGAAGACACGTCAGCTGTCTGTGCTAGGTCACGTCAATCCTAGGCGAACTGGCTTCTGCTCTTGCGACACTTGTCTCACCAGGGACAAAATCGTGGCAGCCCTGGACGACTTATGCATGGGAGATTCTACCCTCAATGCTCATCCTTGGTGGTGAGTGCCACAGTCAGCTTGACGAAGAACGAAGCCTGAGCTAGCCAAGCATGGCATGCCAGACCCAAGGTATCGTCGATTGGCGAGTAGTCGTAGGTTTTCGCAAGTACCACATGTACACTGATACAGATGCTGGTTTTGATGAACCGTGCGGCCTAGAACCCTCGTCTCATGCCGTTTTGAGCACCAAGTCCGGCAATTTTCATGCGCATTCTCGTCTGGTTCTCCGGGTGGCTCTGCTGGGAGTAGCTTGGCGTCTTGAACAGCAGTGTTTCCATACAGGCGCTTGACAAAGTGCATTCTCTGCAAATACTTAGGGCATGGCGGCGTGTATCATCGTGGCAACATGTCTCGCGCGTAGTCTCATATCCATCCCTCATCCCTCTCCTCTGACCTCATCCCTCTCCTCTGATGGCTGAAGGAGAGTCGTTCCCGAGTACTCCGCACCTCGATGCTAATACGCGATTGGACGAGGTCGCCGTCACGTGACTGTGCGCGATGAAAGAGTTTTCACTAGCCACATCGATCGCCCCGGCGCCGTTTTCGCGGGCTTCAGCTGGCCAGCCGTAAATTGATTCGTCTGCACCGGTCCGTGGGCGTGGGAGCCCTCGGCTGGCCCAGGTGTTCGGCTCCTGTGGCCCCCCCATTAGCCCGTCGGCCCCATTGTGAGGCAGGAGCGATGGACTGGACAACCAAGGGCCCAAGCCTGTCGTCGCCGGTCACGCGCTTTGCCCACTTCGACGTTCAACCATCGGCTTTGGCGCTGGCCTGGGCATTGTCTTTTTGTCTCCGTCCCTGTCCCTGCACCGAGCCCGCCCTCGCCTCATCGTCATCCGCTCGCAACTCCCATTCTCCGCAGCTTGATCGCCGCACGCGACGCGCCGCGCCTCGCCTCGCTGTCTGCCATCTCCTGCCCTGCGCTGCGGTTCCGCTCGCTCCTGCCTTTGTGCTGTCGGCAGCCCAACCCGACCCGAGCCCCGACCGGTGGTCGTCTGCGGCCGCATTTGCGTGGCGCAAGCACGCATCGCACCGAATGCTCGTGGCGGTCAACTCGTCAATTCCATCCGACATCACCACCTCGCGACCTCGCGACCTCGTCGCCGTCATCAGGTCCTGCTCCAGCGCCCGCCCGCCATCCGTCATCTCTCGTCGGCTTTTCGACCCAGCGGCTCGCCACCCTTCTCCCCCCAACAACCTGCCCCTCCTCCTCCCGTCGCCGTAGTTGCGCGTGCGCCCAGTCTTCCAGGCGCAACAGAATAGAATCGTGGCGGCACTTACGATCCTGAGCCACGGGACGCCGCTTCCCGAACTTTCCCTCCAGCAGCATCTCGAGATTGCCCCGGACTTGGCTGCCGCCTATAGGCCGCTCGCCACGGAGGCGGACTCCGAGCCGGTGATGATGGCACAGCAGGTGCCTCATCAGGCGACGGACAAGAAGCGCGTCAAGGTTTATGAACTGCGTGACAATGACTGGTTTGATCGCGGGACAGGCTTTTGCACCGCAGCCTTTACGATGGTATGTAAAGATCCTCTTGGTTCCGCCCCGTTGCGAATCCGGGCAACTGTCGCGGCTGCTGTGACGGAGCGAGATGAGCTGACCATCTACTCTTGCCACACAGACCGAAGATGGGCAGAAAGACCCACGAGTCATTGTCGAGTCTGAGGACCAGCCAAACAGACTGCTCCTGGAGACGAAAATTCAAAAGGAGGATGGATTTCAAAAGCAGCAAGGTTTGTTGGACAGCTACCGAGGTCACCGTCACGGACGCAGTGCTAATATGACCCCAATCGCATTAGAAACCCTGATCGTGTGGCAAGATCCCGGTAGTGGGGTGGATATGGCCCTCAGCTTCCAGGAGGCTGAAGGATGTGCCATGATTTGGTTCGACAAACCCGGCCTGGCCCTTTGTCAGTCGCCCTTACTTTTTCGAACTCGTGACTGACTTTGCCCAGGCGATTTGTTAGCGATGTGCAGCAAACCTTCCACAGCACGATTCCCGGCGACGACGGGCTTTCGGACGACTTGGCCCTCGAGGTTCCCGCGGCAATCAACCTACCTGCCGCGGAGCTCGGCAACCTGCCCGAAATCGAATCCAGCATGCGTATCATGAGTTCAAGTGCCAATGGCCGCGACGCGCTTGCCAAGTTTATCATGGCGGACGACTACATCGGCAAACTGATTCCCTTGGTTGAAATGGCCGAAGACCTCGAGAGTCTGCCCGACCTCCACCGACTCTGCAACCTTATGAAGACAATCATCCTCTTGAACGACACGACCATCATTGAGCACGCTGTGTCAGACGAATGTGTGCTCGGTGTGGTCGGTGCATTGGAATACGATCCAGATTTCCCGAGCCACAAAGCCAACCATCGACACTGGCTCGATAACCAGGGCCGATACAAGGAGGTGGTCCGCATTGAGGACGAGCAGACGCGGCAGAAGATTCACCAGACCTACCGACTCCAGTACCTGAAAGATGTTGTTCTTGCACGAATTCTCGACGACCCAACCTTTTCGGTCCTCAACTCGTTGATTTTCTTCAATCAGGTTGACATCCTTCAACACTTGCAGTCAAATTCCGAATTCTTGAGCGACCTATTTGCCGTATTTAGCGCACGACGACATGACCCAAAGAAAAGGAAGGACGCCGTCTTGTTCATCCAGCAATGCTGTGCTATTGCCAAGAACATTCAGCCTCCAGCGAGACAGTCTCTGTATAATAATTTCATTGCTCACGGCCTGCTCCAAGTTATACACTTCGGGTTGAAGCACCGAGACGTTGCGGTTCGAGTGGGCGCCACCGACATCTTGGTCTGCATTATCGATCATGACCCGCAAATGATTCGACAGACAATTTATCGCCAAATGAGCGAAAATGCACCCTCGCTAGTCGACTCGTTGATTGAACTGCTTCTCGTCGAGGTTGACCTGGGCGTCAAATCCCAAATCTCGGAAGCTCTCAAAGTCCTGATGGACCAGGGAGTGCCTTCTCAAGGGCCAGAGTTTGCTCGTGTCAATGGTGAATTTCCTGGCAGGCCCCGGCCTCAAGCTCCGGCGGATCCTCAACAGGAACTCTTCCTCACCCGGTTCTATGAAGGGTCTGCGCTGAAGCTTTTCAAGCCGCTATTGGAGCTTGAGGGCAGATCTAATCTGAAACTCCCAGTGCAAGAAGCCTCCATGTACACGTACCTCGTCGAGATTGCCACCTTCTTCACTCAACAGCATCACCGATTCAGCAGATATTTCGTCATGAATCATTGCATCATTCAGCGTGTTTCACAGCTTCTCAAAAACCCTGAGAAGTACTTGCGAATAGGTAAGATGTTTTGCGTGGGTGCATATTTTTGCAGCACAGAATGCGGAACTAACATGCATAGTTGCCATTCGCTTCTTGCGTAAGCTCATTGAACTGAAGGAAGAGTTCTACATTAAGCAAGTAGTTGAGAAGCAGGCCTTAGGTCCTGTGTTGGAAGTACTTGCGGAGACCATGCCGAGAGACAACCTGCTGAGCTCGGCATGCCTGGAGCTGTTCGAATACATCAAGAAGGAGAATCTCAAGGCCTTGATGAAATATCTGGTTGCCAACCACAGGGAGCTCATGACCAGCCTGAGTTACCTGGCGACTTTCAAGGATATAATCCAGCGCTACGACCAGACCCAAGGATACACCGCCAGCATGGACTACTTCCTGGAAGACAATGAAGAAATGACCCGGAAACCCCCGCCCCATACCAGGCTGATGGAGCACATCACCGTGGATCCAAGCGAAGAGGAGTACTGGAACACTTCGGACCCTGAAGATGATGATGAGGACCGCCGCCCAGACTTACGCGACAAGATTTTGCCGAGCAACGGACCACTTACACCCTCCAAGCCTCTCGTCGACTACCCGTCGGACGAAGAGAGCGATGAAAACGTCAACACGGAAGCTGAGACTGATACAAGAGCCAACAACGGCTCCGGGAAGTCGGCAGCCGCCGGGAAACCTGGCCTTGCGTCTGTCGCATCGCCGCCCGAACGATTGTCCGAAAAACGCCGCCGCGAAGAAGATGAAGAGGATGAGATTGGGAAGCTCATGCACAACAAGCGGCGAAACAGCAGTTCTTCCGAGTCGAATTCAGCCATGGGCTCAAGGATGACTCCGAGACGGAAATCATTTGGGGCTGGCTCTGGAACCGGCAAGATTGCCATAAGCCTATCGACGGCAGTGAGGACGGGCGGGGGACCAAGGTCAGACGAGGAGTCATAGGTGTCCAACGGCGTATCAGTCCAGGTGTTTCTCGGGTTTTTTCCCTTTTCGGCGACGGCGTACGGTACAATTTACTTTGCCTTCTCTGTCTTATCTCGCCTGCATGGAAGAGTGAACCGGCATGACCGAATCAGCGAGGTCGGCAACGGTAATGATGAGAGGTCACGCGGCGTTGTAAAATTTCCACCTTGGCCCATGCGTATGCGTATGCGTATGCGTATGCTTCCACGCCTGTCGCGAGGCTCGTTGGAATTCTCCATGGCAGAGGTGACGCTTGCAAGTGCGGAACCTCTGGCGTCTAGATTGAGTTTTGCTAGGACCTAGACGTAGTGCAAATGGTGGCACGGACTAGAAGCGAGGAACAGGGGTTTTTCATTTCCGTCTTCGTTTTCCGTCTTCGTTTTCTTCTCCCTTGCTCCCTCCCCTCTTCCCTCCTCTTTCTCAGCATACATCCGGAACGGTTGGTGCGAGGTGCCTGCAGTAGCAGCAGGTAGCATTCACACAAATCACCGGGGGAGGCGGGGATGAAGCTCCAAGACATTTGGCATATATGTTGCAGCTCCTAATGTATCATACATAATGAGGGGGCTGGCTAAGATGGGCAGTGCAAAGAACATGCTGAGAGGGGGAAACGAATGAATACCTATTCTCGGCCTGGATGAATGACCACAAGCAATGGACAAGTCCAGTGTTTATGATGGCGTTGACTGTTTCACGGGGAATCAACGTGATTTGTATAAGGAGAACAAGGGGGCGATCTTCCACCAGTGACCAAACTGCACAAAAACTGGACAGCTAGGCTCAAGTGTAAAATTTGCCTTGTCCTCACGCCCCAACATGCAATTCTGCCAAGCCGGCTAGGCCGTTAGGCATGAAGACCTCGCGGTCCGTTCTGCGTGAGCGCCTTCTTTTTCTAAAAAAAAAACCCTTCCCCCGTCATCTACCTGGGTCTAAACTGCCTTGACCAATTCTCATAACCTTTAATCATGGAACTCGTGATATTCCTAGGCGTCCTCTCTATGGCGACCGTCAAGTCGTCCATGCCAATCTCCAGCGAGGCCTTGCCACTCTCGTCATTGTCGAAGCGATCCAACGCCGCGATCCCGGCTTCTTGACAAATGGCCTTGATCTCAGCGCCCGAGTACCCGTTCGTCAACCTCGCCGCCTCCGTTACGTCAACGTCGTCTGCCACCGCCAGCCCCTTGAGATGGACGTTAAAGACGGCCTCGCGAGCAGCCTGGTCGGGCGGGCCGACGTAGAGGACCTGGTCGAAGCGGCCGGGCCGCATGAGAGCCGGGTCAATCGCCTCGGGGCGGTTGGTGGCGGCGAGGACGAAGACACCCTTGAGCGACTCGAAGCCGTCCATCTCGGTGAGCAGCGTGGTGAGCATGTTGACGGCGCCGGAGCCGCCCGATGACGAGGAGCCGGGGCCCTGGCCGCGCTGGCCGCCGATGGAGTCGATCTCGTCGAAGAAGATGATGGACGGGGAGGCGGCTCGCGCCCGTTCAAACAGCGTACGGATGGCGCGCTCCGACTCGCCCACGTACATGTTGAGGAGCTCAGCGCCCTTGACGGCGAAGAAGTTGAAACCGGATTCCGTGGCCATGGCCTGCGCGGAGAGCGTTTTGGAACAACCTGGCGGACCGTAGAGGAGTAGACCCTTTGGAGGGCTGCGGAGGACGCGTCGGGCTAAGTGGTCGGTGTTCTGTAGAACGGGTGGTTTGGTTAAAGGGTAGTGGTGTGTGGTGAAGGGAGACAACGACGGACCTTTGTGATGCTAATCATGCGGGACAACACCTTCTTGAGACTTTCTTGGCCACCTACATCCCGCCAATGAATAGTCGGCGGCTGGAGGTTGATATCATGCATGGCCGTGGGCTTCGTGGTTATCAACGCTTGCTCCATGTCCTCCTTGGAGAGGAACTGTTCGCCTGCCGTAAGGGGATCAAGACCCTCATCGAAGAGTCTGTTGCCGAGAATCTTCTTGGCCTTGAATACCAAGTTTGTCAAATCGTCGCCGTTGTAAGCGTGCGTCTGTTGCGCCACGCTATCCAGACACGCCTTCTTCTCGGCGGGGTGAAGCGGCGGGTCCAGGTAGTTGAGAATCTCAAGACGTTCGCTGGCTCTAGGGATGGGGAGTGCAATGTTCTCCATCAAGCGGGAGCGCTTCTGCAGCTTGACGGGCACGTCGGCCATGTAGTCCAGACATGTGGCGATGACGACCACCATGGGGAGGGCATTGCGGGCTTTGGCTTCGGCAGACAGAGCGTCGAGTTCCTCGCCAATGGCATCGATGACGGAGTACCGGTTCGATAAATCCCTTGGAATGAGGTCTTCTAGACCGTCGATGAGAATGATGCTCGGCTGGAGCGTGCGCGCCTGCTTGAACGTCTCCCGAATGGCGGCCAGCTTGTCGGTGGGCTTGATCCAGAACGGCCGTCCCCATCTCGTGTCCGCAATCTTTTGCAGGAGAAATGTCTTGCCCGTGCCGTGTCCGCCGTGTATGACGAAGCCGCACGACTCGTTCTCGCCCCTGATAAAGAAGGGTCGGGTGAAGGCGTTGAGGAAGCGGTTGATGGTGCCGATTTGTGCCGTGAGGCCGGGCACGCCCGTGACGACCAGCTCACCGCCCGACAAGGCCTCCGACTCTGCCGAAGCGGCGTCTTCCTCTGACGAGATGCGAACCATGGACGAGGACATGTGGAACTTGGCAATGTTGTTGGTGTATGAGTTAACCGAGACGACCTTGAAGGAGCGCCGCAGCCTGTTGATATTGACGCCTTCAAAGACCATGCCTGGAAATATCAGATCCGCACGTTCTGCATCGGACGTTCCACGTCACATTAGCCAACATGGGTCAACTGAACGACTGGAGAAGAAAGAAACCAACCCATAGACAGACTCAAGGCAAACTCCCAACAGGCAGGATGCCGAGTGCGATCCCCGTCCCTGTCCTTGGCGTGCTGCTGCTCCTCGCTGACGTCTTGCACAACGACTTCTTGGACGTCGGGCATGCTCTCGAGCAGCGAAATGCGCACCTGGTCGCCAATCTTGAAGGCGGTGGCCTCCTGAAACGCCCTTGTCATCATGACGACGTTGGGGCTGAGGTTCTTCTCGGGCAGAATCCACAGCGAGGCTTCCCTTCTGGCCAGACTCGGGGGCTGGTCGTCCAGCTTCTCGACAACACATGGCTTGCCACTTTCCAGGCCGTTTGTGAGAGCAATGAGAGACTCCTTGCTGACGTAGAGGCGGGCGGCGCCGAGGAGGCTCGCCTTTTCGAGGGCCGGATTGGCGAGAGGACGCACTCTTGCGTCGATGCTTTTTTTCACCATGGCGAGGCGGAGGCGGAATCGAGCCGATGTGAGCGTGGAGGAAGATTGGAGACTGTCCAGCCGAGGAGAGCAAAGACTTGCAGCGTCCTTTTCAGATATTGCCAAGGGGACGAGAAATGGAGAAGAAGACCGGTTTATACATTCCCCCCCCCCTCTCTCGGGGTAAGTATCTTGTGGTGGGAAGGTGTGCCCGCCTGCCGCACCTGCCTGTGCTGCACCTTGCGTTGATACACAAAGCCGGCAGCGCCGTCTTACGAAGTCATGATGGGGGATGCAAAGCAGTTGAATAGTTGACAAATTATTTGCGTTCGTGTTGTTTGCATTTTGCCATTTCCACGGCTGGCCCAAGTTAGACCCCTACGGTCGAATGAAAAATAAAAAAGTGACTGCGATTGATTGGCGTGGCCCGCGACCAACTTTTTGTCCAGACTCCATACATACCCTATACTTACATCTCGTGACAGCCATTAGAGCCCCACCCACTGACGCAGCTGAGCTGATCATGTCTCGACTCTAAATGCTCGCTCCCTCGAGCCTCGCAACCAAGTCCTCGCAACCCCCGACCCCCAATGATACGGCCCCAACGGCTTCGTCGCGTCGCGACGGCCGTCCCGCGCTCACGCACACGCACCCCCTCGTCCGGCCCCGAATGCGAATGGCCTCTCCTCAAGAAACGAGCCAGACCCCCAACCCAAGACGACACCATCCACAGCGGCGGCACGTCCCTCATCGCGAGCCTCAAAAGCCGACAACCACAGGCGCCCACGACAGCCCTCTCGCCCTCGCCCGTCCCCGAGCCAGACCCCCGTGTCATGCTCATCCTCCACGGGCTCAGTCCCAACCTCAACGCCAGCGACTTCTACCGGCTCGCGCCCAGCCATCTCTCCTCCTGGCAGAGCGTCATCAAAAAAGGTACCCAGACCAGAACGCGGACGAGACGTCCCAACACCCAAAACAAGGAAGACTAAAGCGCTCCAGTCCAACAACAACGGCATCCGACGACCCTCGAGCCCCTGGGCCGCTACCACATATCCTTCTCCACTGCCGCGGCGGCAGTATCCTACCGCGACCACCTCCTCCGGCTGCACAGTCTCGCCCACCACAAGATCCGCTGCCCCGGCGGCCTCTGGGAAAGCTCTGCACCGACACACCTGAGGTCGCCGACGGGCGAGGACCCGGCCTCGGAGCTGGCCGCGTACACAGCCACGTCCGGGACGCAGCGCAGCGTGGACTCCCAGCGCCGGCGCGTCTCGGCCAACAAGTGGGCGCAGAGGCTGAGCAGCGCCGTCAAGAAGTTCGACCTCGGCGACCGGCCGGCCGCGGTCTTGGTCCACGCCTACCCGCCGACGCTGACGGCTGGCGCTCTGGCCAAGCACATTGCCGGGGACGCGCTGTCGAGGGGCTGCGAGTGGAAAGTCTGTCCGCCGCAGGGGTTGTCGCAGGCCATGCGACCCGAACGAGCCGAGCGAGCCGCGGGTAGGGAACACGACACCGACACGCGGGACAAGCTGGGGGGTCGATTTGTCGTCGTCTGCGCCGACGACGCCGAGGCACGGCGGTTTCATCGCCACTGGAACCAGAGAATCCTGACGGCTGGCCCGGGGGACCCAGAGGCCGTGACAACAAGTAACGTACTTCATGCTTCGATAATAAACTGGTAGCCGCCCGTACTATTTATTCACTAAGCTCTCCCCACCTCGCCTTGCTCTCTCTCCCGTCTGTATCCTCCCATGTGCTTTGCTTCGTATCCTCTCTGCCCGCCGTCTTCCCCCTCCTTGTTTAGAATTACTGGCTCGCCTGCAACATTTAGCAGTCCGCCTGGGCAGCACTAGCATGCGGCCAGCCACTGTACTGGGAATCACTCCTCGCGTATTCACCACCCACGGCAAATCCTCGGACATAGGTATCAAGAATTCCCCTAAGCGACACCATGAAACGACGGCGCGATGGCAAGACCTCATAGCAGAACCCAGATGGATGAAAACAAAATAAAAATAAACATAAAAAATGCAAAATAAAACAAAGACCAATAGAAACTCCTGACCACATTTACTCTTCTAAAAAGACAGTCGGTGGGAACAGCAAAACACAGAGACGAGGCTCTAGAAATCGTATCGTATAGCCCACCGCCTCAAAAGCATATCCTCGTCTCTGTCTCATGCACGCGTATCGTCCGGGTTTCGATAATGGATGCGTCTCGGTTTCAGTCTTCAAAAAAACTCGTCCAAGGGGCCGGAGCCGGGGTTGTTGAGTAGTATCTGTTTGTGTCTGCGCCTGTACTCGCGCCCCCCGCTCAAAACACATACAAGACAGTCTTGTCAGTCGTGCGGCGACGACTAACAACACTTGCTGCCACCTGCATCGTTCTTGTCACCGACAGTGACGCCGGTGCCGGTCGCCTGGTCGTTCTTGGAGCTATCGATGAGTCGCTTCTTGATATCGGCGGCCAGGCTGTAGAAAGCCTTGTCGATGTTGATGTTGCTCTTGGCCGAGACCTCGAGGAATGGAATGCCGAGCTCGTCGGCCAAAGCCTGGCCTTGCTCCGTTGAGACGACTCGCTTATCTTCCCAGTCGCACTTGTTACCAATCAAGATCCTGTTGACGCCCTCGGTGGCGTGCTGTTCGACATTCTGAAACCAGGTTCGTATATCTGAAGGAACCCAGTGGTCAGCTTCGTACTTGGGTTAGGCTGCGCAGCCCTGGCTAGCGTGTGGGTCAAGCCTGGTCATTTGGACAAGATTGAACCTCAAAACCATCAGGGCTCTCAGGTGCCAGCTCAGCACTGCAGGTAGAGGCGGACCCAACAAAACGAATCAGAGAGGGGAGGGGGCGCATACTGTTGAATGATCTCTCGTCGGTCACATCGTAGACTAGCAGGATGCCCATGGCACCACGGTAGTAGGCAGTGGTAATGGTGCGGAATCGCTCTTGGCCGGCGGTATCCCAAATCTGTAGCTTGACGCGCTTGCCATCGAGCTCGATAGTTCGGATCTTGAAATCGATGCCGATGGTGGTGATGAATGAGGGGGTGAAGGAGTCCTCGCTGAAGCGCAGCAAACAGCAGGACTTGCCGACGCCGGAGTCGCCTATTAGCAACAGCTTAATCTAAGCGGGAAAGCATGTCAGTACGCATCCGTGGTGACAGGTCACGGTAGAATGAGAGAACCGCCCAAGCCGCGCCGGGTTGAAGACTGCAGCACGGCAACATGTACCGGCCGACGACGCGTTTTGGCGGCTGACAACACATGCTGCAGACCGAGGCTTAGTGTTGACGGGCTTAGAGGACGACGATGGCGTACCAGGAAGTCGTAGTTACGATTGTTCACCATGGTGACGGAAGAGCGCGACGAAGCGTATCGCGAGGAGATTTAGGCAGGGACGGTGACGAGGGAGACGTGCGTGCGAGGGGTGGCGGACGTGGGCTGTTTGTGTAGAGGCTGCGGGCTGCGGGCTGCGGGCTGCGGGCTGTAGCGGCCAGCCAGAGAGTACGGTGTGGCGAGCGAGATGCAAAGTGGTGATCTGGAGTTGCGAGATGCTCGGCTGGAGGAGGAAAGGGGAACGGCCAGCCGAGACGAGGCAGCGGCGTTTAGTGGCGGTGATGTGGTTCAAGCGGTTTGGCGTGGCGGCGGCGGCTTCGACGACTACAACAAGTCGACATTTGAGCGTTGGGGGCAGGTAAGTTGCCTGGTTACTTGGGTACTTGTCATTGGGTGCACGTGGCCAGTGGACACGCGGGTCAACACTACCAGACCAGACGGCCGGGCTGAGTACCCGGGGAGTAGTTACGGAGCAAGTTGCTAGGCATGAATTGCAGGGGGGCACCAAAAACGTCAATGGTGTCTGTCAATCGCGAGACGGAAGGACAGCAGGGGTCTTTTCACGCACATGTGGGTCGAGAAACAAAGAGGGTTCGACTGCAGCTGCCAGCGACAGAAGGAAAAGGAAACGGAAGAATGCTTTCCAGCGTGAAGAAAGGCGCGTCAACAAGGGGTCGAGACATCGGCACTGTCTCATTGTTGCCGTCTTGGCTGGGCCGCAGCTCGCATCCAACATTGAAGCGAAGACAAAGGCCTTGGTTGGGCGCTTTGGCGTTGGGGTTGCAACAGATCGACGTCAGCATTGTGATGACTCATCAGTCAAAGCGCTCAGACGTCAACCCGTCCGGTTCAATGATGCTTAGGTAATCGGACGAATTGCTGGAATAACTCTAGGTACTAATGATGGCATCGTTCATGCTATGAGGTGTGCCAACAAGTTGCTCGCCCTACGGCATTCCTCCATCACCATGCGGTTTGTGTCGTCACGGCGCTCAGCCCAGTTGCTAAACCCCCTAGCGTACCCTCAGGCTGACTGAATAGCATATGATTGCGGACTCACTCTATCCAACACAGTGTTCGAGCTTTCGGACATTTCATAACGTGTCCAGCCCGTGTGCTTCAACTCCAAGGCCCTATCGAGTCCGAGAACCTCGTCCCGGGGGGGGAGGGGTGTAATGGGTCATGTTCGCCGCATGCTACAAAGCAGGTCACCTGCTCACTTCACTTGGTTCGAGGACAAACGCAGCAAAAAGATGATGGATAGTCGGATTGCCCAGGAGGCGGTACATCTAACGACTTATCAAGAGAAGTATGTCCGTTTCCTCCATGACATGCTCCATGACATGGTTACATAACGTCACGGACCCGAGAAGCTCTTCTCGGCAGTGGATATGATACAACGTCCAAGGCCAGTCAAGGTCTGAGCGAGCAGTGAAACATTCATCAAATACTTGTGACAGGCGACTACTCTCGCCGCGGCGAGTCATATGTACATGATTAATTCAACGGCTCAAGAGCCTCGGCTGGCAAATCTTTCATGGTGTTCTTGGCCTCGAACTCAACAGGCCCGCTGACATCGTTGCCCGAGCCGCACTGCTGCTCGAGCCCCTTGCAATAATCCTCCCACGCCTGGCAGTTGACGCCGCCGCTGGGGGGAGAAGAGTTCCAGCACGCTTTGCTCTGGCTCCAGCAGTCCTTGACAGACTCCCAGCAGCCCTCTTTTGTCGTGAAGCCCGCCAGGGGCTTGGCGCACCAATTTGCATTCTTGACGACGCAGCTGTCGGGGATGAGGCCTTGGGTTTGCTTCTTGTCACATGACGGCGACGGCTCGCCCTCTGGGACGTAGACTTTGGGCCCCGGAATAGGATACTCCCTCTGCGACTTGTCGTATATGTTGAAGGTGGGGCCAGGTGTGTCGGGGGACACGTGCCCCGGTATCGAGACGCTGAACTCGGCCGGCACGCGCAGAGGGCCACTGGGTCCGCGCTGGACAAAGATCTGAGCGCAGCCAAGATAGAACTGAGGATCCCCCTTGACGGCGTTATGGAGGGCCAAGATCTCAGGACGGACAAGGTAATAGCCTGCGGGCAACGTGGGCGGTAGGCGGACCGAGAGAAAACCCTTCCTCTTGATGAGCTTGTCGACGCACCACTCCCCCGAGGAAGCGTCGTAGCCGCTCTCCCAGATCTTGACCCAGCCTGGCCCGGCGGCGTTGTTGGCACCCATGTCGTCGACCTTCTTGACGTACACCGAACAGGGACCCTTGTGTTCTGGTGCAATAAAGCCCTCGCGGGAGCCGTCGGTCCACTCGCGCATCTGAAGCGTCAGAGTGGCGCCCTGCGGCACGGGACAAGTGAAGGCAACGGGATTGCCACCGTCGCGGCCTGCACACGCACCATGGCATTAGAACCGAGGGGGTCTCAGGGGCTCATGTCGAACCAAACCTACCGCAAGCCATGTCGTCTCCCGTGATGGGATATATGGGTCCGTTGGCCGTGACATGGTCGGACGGCATGCGCACACATGTCCCGTCACCCTGATTTTTGCCGTTGATAAAGAGCGTAGTAAAGAGCGTGTGAGCACTCGCCACCGGGGCGAGCACCAAGGTGCCGAGCTTCATACTGGGATTGCGTGGTGATTTCGAAGAAGTAAATTATAATAATATGAAAAAAACCGGAAAGGAACAAAGGAACGAATGGACGCTGTGGACGAGCGCGCGCACGCGGCGAAGCATATCGAGACATGTCAGACGGTGGGCGAAGAATGGCAACTTATACTCGGCACGGCCTCCAGCTGCCAGAGACCTACCTACTTACTCTGGTAGTACTCGGTATGCACGTACAGCACTCCGTACCCAGACATACAAAGTCGCTCCCGTGTGCAGACGCAGACGGGAACAAAGTCGTCATGGACGGGACAAGCTCTCGCCCGAGTGGCATCGAAATCGGACAGCCGCCGTGACTCCAGGCCTCCAGGCCGCGGCAGACCAATCACCAGCGGTCTGTGCCTTTGGAACCGAAACTGTAAAACACACTATCCAAGGAAGGAAGCGAGCGGGAGGGGCGCCAATCGGGGATGACCCTGGTCTCGAGGCGCACAGCTGCCGAGTATTGAATTTTAAATAAACTTGGCAGCCCCTTGTGGATCGTCTGTTTCTTTCCGGAGACAAAACATTTGCGGCCTGTTCTCGATGGATCTTCCTGCGCATGATTAATTAGTCATATCCATCTCTACCAAGATGCCTCTGACCCCGGGCGGCCCGCCACCGGACGTGCGGTTCAAACACGACAAAGCCTGGCCCTCAACCACATGACTTCTGCGACGCACAAAGGTCGCGGCCATGACGATAGCCTCAGCGGCCGCCCGCGGGCCCGGGCATCCAGGCACAAAGGGGCCAACCAGAGCCCCCCTGATACCCTGTTCGTCATCTCGGCTGCGCTCACACACAGGCCATCTTGTTGTAGTTGCTACATATTGCGGCCCTCGCTGGCCGGGGTCCTTCAGGCTCCAGATGAGGAATCAAGGAGGTGAGAACTACACCACGTTGGGATGTGAAATTTGTTTTCTTTCTCCTTGGCTCCTTCCCCACCTCAGCCCGGCATTCAACTCTAAACCCTCTTCTCCGCGCTGTGCTGTGCTGCGCTGGCATCTTTGACGGACGGTGCTCCGGAATTAAGTGCTTACTTGCTCGACTCACTCAAGTAGCAAGTACTCCCGGTCCGTGCAGGTTCCGACCAGCCCAACTGCCCACGGCAAGTACCTGGGTACGTGCCTCAACTGCGCGTGCATCCCCTCAACGCCCGCGCCAAATCACCTCCTCCACCTTTGGTGTTTCCAGCCGGCATCGTGACGCTTTCTCGGGCGGCCGCCTCAGCTCCTGCAAGCCCCCCCGACTCTTGTTCCGGTTCGAACCCACCGGGCTAAAACAAGCCACGCTCGACCGAGTGAGGGCGATTCGCCGCGCACAGTCACGCAGCTCAGCTTCATGCCGCTTGCCTGCAATTCTGAACCTTTAGCCTTGGCCGCGACCATGTCACGCATGTGTGCACTCCGTGCCGACTGTGTGTGAAAGTGAGCACGTTTGATGTTTGCTTCTTCTGTGCCCAGTTGGAATCCTGGCACGCCCCGCACGAGACCAGACGAGGCACCGGCCGGGGTGCAGGCTTGGCGCCGCACGCGCCAGGCCCAGGGCCCAAGGCTCTTCAAAATGCCCCCTCACCAGCCACCAGCCACCAGCCATTAGCCACCAGCCGCCTGCCGCCACGGCACCACGGCACCACGACGACGCCCTCTCCTCGCGCGCCGAGCTGAAACCGCCAGCCCTACCTCGTCAACCAGCACAAGACGGCCGCGTCCAACTCCCTGTCCGTCGTCCGTCGTCCTCTCCAGCTCATCAGTCCGCCCGTCCCTTCCACCAGTTGGCCGGGGACGCTGCACCCTAACCATGCTCGACCGCCCGCCCGCCGCCCGCCTCCCGCCTAGAATAGCTTCCGCACACGACGACGCCAAACCTCCTTGCTTGCTTGCTAGCTTGCTTGCCGCGCAGCGCAGCCGTGCCATGCCACGACGAGCCGTCAGCCCGGCAGGCCACCTCCATCCCCAATGTAATGTCCCCGACACACCCAGACGCCCGCTCAGGAAGGCAAGCGCCCGTCCGCCAGCGCATCGACCAACCCTGCCAACGAGCAAGTAAAGGGGTCAAAGTCGAGAAGACAGAAAACACGACCCCTACTCCGTACCTTGTACCCCAAACCATTGCATCCCGTCCGGTGTCGCGTACCGGACAACTTCGCGGTGTCGCCCTTCCGCCCGCCCATCCCATCCCATTCCATTCCATTCCCGCGGTCCACGCCGTCCTTGTAAATCCTCACGAGCCATCCTTTCCTGCGTGCCCTGATGTGTCTGGGACGCCCACGCCCTACCCCGTGCCCTGCAGTAAATCGTGCTAGCCCGTCAAGACCGACGGCTGTTTGTGACCGCCAGCTTTCCTGCGTCACGCACCCGTGTGTGCCGGAATGCCCCCCCCGACTCGCTCAAGGTGTCAAATGGATGCAAAAGGGGGAACCCATAGAGATTCATACACGTACACGTCATTATTCATGTCTAGTCGGCTCTATTGGGGAGGGGGAAGAAGAAGAAGGACCAGAAAATCAAAACTGCCGCCAACACCAAACCACCACCACAACCACTGTGCGGTCCCCATTGTACGAGCACGCTACCGTCTGACCCGCTGACAGTGCTAAAGGGGGCAAGGAAAAAAAAAGTGACAACAGCTCAGCACTCTAGCATGTTTGCCAGCTTACACCTGGACGAAGCCGAAGCCGAAACCGAACCTCGTTCAATCTCAAACAGCTGAGGCACAAGATCGCCTAGACAGTCCTCCAGTCCTCTCCATTTCAGCCCAAGCACTCTCTCCGTGTCGCTTACGTCGACCCCGAAATGGGTATGGCTCTCTCGCTTGCCGGGCTCGCCGACTGGAATCTTGTCCAAATATCTCGAAGTCACCTTGCGGCTAACGTCGGCAAGCTCCTGGTTGCAATAGACGCTCTGGCAAAGCATGTAGCGGCCGCCGCCTGCTTCGGGAACAAGGAGTGCTTTCACATGGGCTTCGGCTACATCTCGCACGTCGACCCAGCATGGGCCTTTTGTGGGAGGGACAGGTCGGTTGTTGCCAGCAGAGACGACGGACCAAACCATGAGGTTGCTCGTGTTGACATCCTCGATGGTGTTCGGCTTTGATCCAGGCAGGAAAGGACCAAAGACCATGGTGGGACAGAGGCTCACCAGATCGAAGGCAGGTTTCCTCTCCGACATGAAATCCCACGCAGCTTTTTCGGCAGCTGCCTTGCTGGCTCGGTAGGCGGTGGGAGCGTTGGAGGCGTTGACGCCGTCTTCGTAGGTGAGCGGACTCCAGTCTTTAGAAGTGTATGTCTTTTCTGGAGAGGGTCCAGCAGCAGCGTCGTATATGCAGGCGAAGCTGTTCGTGTGGACGACCCGCCTGATGCTCTTGATTCGAGTTGCGGCCTCGAGGATTGCTGTCGAACCAAGTACGGCGGGGATCATAAGTTCGGTTTCGAAGTTGGTGGCGCTGTAATGGAATGGCGCGGCAAGATGAAGAATCGCACTCGGCGCCGAGTTGCCCAGAGCCCCGAGGTAACATTCTGACGAAGTGATGTCGTCGACAACGACTAGTTGCAGGTTGGGGTGTGACTTGTGTGCTTTCTTTACCGGGTCGATTTTGCTTGCCGACCTGACGGTTCCAACAACGTTGTGTCCATGGTTGAGCAATGCTGCAATGCAGTGTTGAGCTATGAAGCCATTGGCTCCAGTTACAACAACTGTCTCGGGCGGCCTAATAGCCGAGGCCATTCTGGAAGGCATGTTTGATTGTTGTCGCTGGTTAAGTAAGTTTCTTGGTTTGATAACGGCACCTTGCTTGGGAAGGCCTCTTGCCGGGGTATCGCACCAGACCCCCATACTTGGAAAGGATAGGCAGGCCTTTAAGTGCGAGGTAGAACGACCAGATGCCGGACAGCAGTTAAACGGCAATAAGCGATGACCTCGAGCCCGGCGCTGGGGAGTCGAGCGATATACATCTTTCGCAATAAAAATGAGCGTGAGACTCTCTTAGCTCCAGTCCGGCGGGTACTCACTCGCTCGGCTGGGGCCAAAGCGCGGCGTCTTTGCTGTTGTCAACTGGTCCGTTCCCAGGACAGTGACTAATAACTATTGTAAGAAAAGGGTCAACGGGTGCTATTACCAACATCAACCCTGGCTATAGGGCGGCAATCGCTGTGTTTGGCGGAATGGGCAACAACCAAGCCGCTGGCTATCAATCTGTTTAGACTGTTCGCCCAGTTAGTACTCCGTACGCATAGCAATAGTGCCCGGGCGCTTAATGCCTGGCTGCAGCCGTCGCAATGGCAACGGCGTCGCTGCGTGATTGACGAAGTTTTGGCACCAGTTGACCCGTTTCTGCACTCCCGTATTCGCCGTCGCGGAGCCACCAAGGCGGCGCATGAATCCAGTAGTCATGCTGGCGCGGTCCAACTTGTCGTGGGTCATTTCGGATACTGGTTAGGCACTTGGCCATGCCCGTCGCGACGGTTCACGCTCCTGACTCCGGAGCACGTATGCGTCTAGACGGCGGGCGCTGTGGCGCCGCGCCGTTGGGTCACGCTTCTTCTTCCGACGGAAAGCACAGGACGAGCATCTGCAGGACAGTGCGGAGCAAGCAGCCATTGTTGCTCCTCTCATCAACCAGCCAGCCAGCCTTTGCCGCCTCCACCTCCACGGACGAACACGAGCACGCAAGCTTGAAGGCGACACCAACACCCGACGCAGTCGAAGCGGAATAGCGACTTGTCGAGCTCGGCAATCAGCCGTTGGCGAGAATCGTGTCGACCCGGCCAAGTTCCGACAGGCACCACGCAATGAGGCACTCACAGACTTGGCAGCCAAGGACGTAAGAGGAGCGCAATGTTTGACTCGGAGCACGTGTTGAATTCGCAGCCGGCGGACGGAGCGCGTCGCAACACACTGCCTGCCCAATTGATGCCGCCATCGGCTGGTGACGACTGGAGGGAGATGAACTTCTGTGATGATGCACGGGGGCCAAGGGCCGTCGTTGTCGACGGGCGTCTCACAGAGTCCACGTCGATGCAAAGGCGGTCAGACAAACGGTGAAAACTGTCTGCTCGACGGTGTGAGCAGGAGGACAATGGACACGGTCATGGTGTCGCGCCTGCCCGTCCTGTACTCCTGGCCGCCCACAACCAAGCGTGGTCCAACGTCAAGCGAGGCCGCGGAAGGCGGGCGTCGGCGCTCCTGCCCCGTCGCAAAGCCGGCCCCGCGCACCCGCGCTCGCTGGGCTGAGCTTGCCAAGGCCCAAGGCTCCATCCGTGTCACCAAGTTGACGTTGACGTGTGCAGTGTGCGCAGCTCCATTAACTGACATGACGTCTCTCCACCGCTGGCCGTGTTTTGATTTTGATTCTGATTGCCACTTGCAACTTGATGCCCTCACGCTTCAGCATGCACCCCAGCCCTCACCACCTGGCCATGACACAAGCCACCTCGGTATTCCGTATTGCCAGGCAATATCAGTCCACAGCCTGACCTGCCGTCACACGGTGCTGTCACGCTGTGCCTGTTGCAACCGGGTCCCAGATCCCACGTCACCAACCACTTCAGACACAGTCGGGGTCTGGCACCGCGCGGGCAATCGGATTGTCATGATTCGTGACACGCCTTGCGACACCGACGGAGTACAACCGTCTGGTATTACCGACGGACGCTACTTGTGACGCACGGCTCCCGGAAGAGCGATGCCATGGCCGGCGCACAGAGCTGGGCTGTGGAAGGGCCTTTCCCGACCGCTACGTATGTCCATACATACCCTGCTTCCCCGTGACGTCTGCTCTTTCGCAGACAACTGACGCCTTGGCAAAGCTCATGCGGCACCGGACCCTCCATTCACAGACTCGCACAGATGTGATGATCCAACGGCGACGGTAATATCACTGGGAAATCCGCCTTTTCCATCGATTATCTTGGAACCATTCTAGGCAGTGGCCCCCCCCTGTTTCTTACTACACGTGACATCACACCGCGCTCGCCCCATCCTTCATTTCTTCCTCCCAAACACCAGCATGGACCTCTCTCCGCCTCCGTGTTGTGTCCGGAAAGTAAACTCGGCAGAAATGTGTGTACAATCATGGCACCTCGGCATACCCCAAACAGGGTGATCTTGGCTGGAGGATACAAAGACGCATTCTCCACGTGCAACGTCCGCAGCCGCATGATATTTGTCATGGAAAAGCCAGTAGCGACGGCGGCATTCGTGGTCGCTTTCCTTGTGTAGCCACGCGTGTTGACACCAATGACTATGTAGACGAGGACCAAACGGGCGATATCAGCGTTGATGAGATGGACTCTTGCAAGGGCTCCCTCCCGCCTGGGCCGTGCGAGGACGACGACACAAGTCCCGCTCCAATCAGAGTCGGCAGTCGGCACAAGGAGCAAGAAAGATAAATGGCCAGCCGACGGCGGAAGTTGTACAGAAGGGCAAACATCCCCGTGAGCGTCGCAAAGTCTGATACGGCCCTCGAAGGCATGTGGACGAGGGCCACCGTCTTTGGCTTATACGCGAACCTGGTGGTCAGCGTCGCTGAAAGAGCGGTCATGATGCCCAGTGGAAAACGGCGAGGATTGTGTTCACTGTTGAGGCATCCATACTTGCAAGTTGGTCGCCGCCTCAAGTACACCCCGAGCCCGGGATACTTTCTTGCCACGGCCAGACTGATCGCCATCTCTCGTCGGGGCTTCTTGGACCAGTTCTTTTCCAGCCCTGCGGGTGATGCGAGTACTAGTTAGTAGTTCCGACGCCACAGCCACCCCGACAGTCAGGCTAGATGCCCCGACAGAGACAAACATGATGCGCCAAATTTCAAACAACGACGGGGTAGGGCCCGTGTTACGCGGCCCAAGACGCACAAGGCCGCCCACATGACCAACTCCCAGCCCACAGTACCGGATTCCCGCCCGTGGAGTAGTGGAGTAGCCTGCTGCTCCGTCCATCGCTGTAGTGACGATGGTAAGAGCCGGGGTGACGACGGCTTCGAACATGCCGAGGAGCATGCACACGGCTGTCGCCCAGGAGAGTTCTGCGTAGCACATTGTCACGCCCCTCAGAACAATGTCTGATCCTGAGGACATTGTTCGCGGGGGTGCCTTGGACCAGATAGCCCTGGGGGACTAGGGCAAGTCGTTGCCGTCCTCGACCGCAGCCCGGCTAAAGGCTGCTGCTGGACTCCTTGCCCAGGTGGTGGTGTTGTCCACGACCACAATGATGATGCTAGGGGTGCTGTGGCTCTGCAACCACGTATGGTTGTTCATTGATCGTTTCCCCCCGTCGGCCGCTGCTGCTCGGCGTTGACCAAGAACAACCCCCCAAGCGCCGGCAATACCAAGCCCAACCCATCCTGGAAGACCAAGACGACACCATATACAGACAAATACGGGGGCCGGATGTGCATCTCGTCTTCCCTCTCCACACCAGACAGCCGACTATGAATTCTCCCCCTTGGCAACACATCCTCCCCGTCACTTCAATCCAAGACGGCGGTTGCGTCCTCGATGGTGGTTCATGGTTCGACCTGATTCGACATGAAAAAGGCTCTGTCCACGGCTCAATTACGGCCACTTCGGAGCACGGCGCTGATGAAGCTTCTTGGACGCAAAGATTAGCCGGCGGCCAGGTCATGGGCCATGGCGTTATTCGGAAAGGATACTCGTCCTACGCCCCACGGCAACGTATATTTTCGACTGGAACCCCTTGAACATCATCTCTCCTGTCTTGTCGTCCCGCCAAGTCGCCGTCGCATCGCCAGTTTGTTTCCGTCTCGATGCTGACTCCCGTGGGGTGGCGTGGCGCTACTCCGAACTCCGGAATTTCCCATCATGTCATGAATGCTTGTGGCTTTCCCCCCTTTCTCCTACCACCGGTTTCAGAACCGAGGTCGTCTTCCATGCCCCAAAATTTCCTTTGTGAGGGGACCGTCTTCCAGGTCGGTACCGAGGGACATCTCGTCGTTCCCGCACTTGTCCCATCCCTTTCTTTTCTTCATTGTTGCACGAGAACGGCCTCTTTGTACGATTTATCGAGATGAAAATGTTTTACATCCTTGTTGCAATCAAGCCCAACATGTTTCAAAGTCTTTTCTTCCACGCATCAAGTCAAGAAACGTTCCATATCCGATTCCCACACTAAACACCAACGTACGTTGCAGTTGCCGTAACAAACGCAAACTCCTCTACGGAGTAGCAGGAGCCATAATAACTGATCTTGTATGAACACGACAGGAAAACGCCACAAAAGCAAAAGCAAACGCAAAGCCGTCCCTCCGCCTCGCAGCAGCCGTGCTGAGCTCCGTTGACTCCACTTACGACCCCTTGATGACATTACCGTTTTGGCTTCGCATTGGGAGGCCCATCTACAGCCGTTGCTTTGCGACGAACAGGACACGATATCACCGTCTATGAGCGACATGGCTTCGGCGGTGACGTCGGTGCCTCGCTCTCCTGTGCATCCGGTGCATCTCCATGTCTTCGAGGTTGGGAGGTGGATGTCGCCGAAGCCGGACCCGCTCTTTATACTCGGGGGCATCGTTCGGCATGGCTGGAAGACGGGCCAGCGATGGGAACATCCTCCCCCCAAGACTGTCGCGGCCGTTGAAGAGCACATCATATCAACTTCCGCCGCGTTCATCTTCACCGGCATTTAAAGCACATGGCTACAACTGAAGGTGGCAAAGCAATCCCTGCGCAACTCAAGGTCTGGCACAAGGCGGTAGATTTGAACCCCGTGGCTGGAAAAACCACTCTCGACGACGATGTGGCTGTCACGCGGGATCTTTCTGTGTGTGCCCACGGTATGCGAAGCCTTACGTGGGAGGCACTCACGCCGTCGGCTTCCTGTTTCCTCCAATGCATCATTCATGTCGGCGGGCTTCTAGAGCTCGGCCTTTGGAAGTTTGCTGAGAATAGTGCCAATGATTTCTGGAGAGGCAACGGCATTGACAAGATGGTCGTGAGTGCCTATTCCGACCATGACGTCGTCAGGTGTTACTGCTTCTACCCTGCAAAGAAGAATGACCTCAAGGAGGATGGGTGGAACATGGCAACAACAGGAGAGAATCTGGCGGCAGCCTTTGCTGAACTGGTCTGAAGACTGCTCTCCGCAAGGCCGAGGACAATCGAAATATGGCGTTTGTACGATCACCACCAGTACCCTCATCGGGTAGAGGAAGATGCTGTCTCTTGGGCGACGGGGCGCATCCCATGATGCCAGACCAGCCTCGAGGCGCTTGTGTGACCATTCAAGGCGCTGGAGCTCTTGGGATTCTATTCGCGCCCACGCATGCCGATTTGAGCGTGGCTGAGAAGCTTCGCCTATGTGAGCTCCAACGAAAGCCTCGCGCGACTCGAGTCCAGATAGCGGCCGGCGAGCAGGAACTGGCCTCACAGAGCGCGTTGGCTGCAGCAGTGCCAACGACAGGCAGGCCTGGCACGTCAACGCTTGAAAAAAGTGTGGCTACGGTGTGCATGCTCATGTGGCCGAGCCGAGCCGGTTAGCAGGACCACGACCACAGCAGCCGCCTGCGTGCGAGAGCCGATGGTGAAGTTGCGGTTCGTTCCATGCATGTTGTCGTCAAATCTCGCGACGAATCGCAAACAGCGTCAGCCGGCAAATAGGCGATGATGCTCGTTAGAAAACGACTAAACCGTGCATCTCGTAATAGCGGATTCGCGCCCAGTTTACAATCGCCCCTGTGCCTTCTGATTGATCCCGCCTTGACCAAACACGCTCGACCAGGTCTCTGGCATTATAAACGTAGCCAAACCCGCACGTTCGTTCCATGACCAGAAGTCGGTCCTGGATTATCAGACGGTGCTCTAGCTTCCAACACGATCCGCCAGCCATGACCAGAGGGAAGAGAATGCAGGATTCAAGGGGACTACCGTAGCGAATTTTTTGCACGCATTCAATAATACCATCAACATACTTGCCGACTTTTGGATCGGTCAGTTCGTAGCCTTCGACAATCTGGTGAAGTCGCAGGCGAATGGCGTACTCAAAGGCGAGAGTAGCGTGCAACACGTCCTCCGTAGCCGGTGTGAGCGAGGAAACCGCCCTCGACATGCCACCGTACTCGTAGGACCAATTTTCGATCCGACGCTCAATTTCGCTGGCATGTCGCCGGAACGCGGTTTCAGAAGCTTGGTCTACCCTGGTGCCTCGGAGCTCGGCCAACGTGTTGATGCGGTCCACCAGATGGAACAGTTCTTTGGGGATTCCGTAGACCGCAGAGTCCTCTTCATCAGGCGTCGAGGACCAGGTATCAAGGGCTTGCGCCTCGGCAGCCTCGGCTCCTATCAGGGGTGGCCTACATGTTGAAGTCGTGGCAGCAGAGTCGAGGAATCTCGCCAGGCGAAGCAGGAACTTGTAGTGCCCTGTGAGGATGTCGCCCTGTTGCTTCCGCAACGCGACCAACAAGCGCTTCGCGCCCCTGAGGTGGAGCTTCCAACCCTCACTGGTACCGTCGAACAACTCCGTCATGCACAGCAGCAGACTACTCACCAGCGCGATGTCCGCGCTGGTTGTGTCGACGTGTGGTAGGAGCCCTGCCAGGGCTTGAGTCGCTTTGCTCTTGTGCAGAAGACCGCGATCACCCATGGAAGGTTGGAGCTTCCGCCAGTGATTTGCGGAGAGCGCCAAAATACAATGAAGGACCAGATCGTTCGACTGAGCCATGGGCAACAGATAACCATTATACGGATTTTCTGAAGAGGCCCGGCGAGAGAGTATGGAGGACACGATGGTGGAGTAGTGATTCAGTAGAGCCTTGTCCTGAGGCGCGCTCAGTTGAGGCATGAGCTGTGGTACGTAAATCGACAGCAACTGCGAAGGAGGCGCCGACTCTATCGAAGTCGTCGGGCTACCATTGCTGACAGGCGTGCTGGAGTCTAGCCAGACCGGAGACGATGCCGACACATCCCAGGACAGTCTGTCGAGGGACATGTCCGGGGTGAGTTCCCCAATGATCCCCGACGTGATGGGCATTGCGGAGGAGGATTGCATGGCCACGGATGTCGTGGCCGCCGTCATGATGGGCGTGTGCTCGACCGGCCGGTTGAAGTCGGCGTAGTTTGAATAGGCCATCTGGGAGCTGTGACTTGCATGGCTGTACTGACTTTGGTTGTCGAAGCTGCCGTGTCTCCCGCTGTTTGAACTCGACGCGCTGGGGCTTTTTCGAACAGGCATGTCCCGAAATACGACTTCAGGAAGCCGTCGGACTATTTCTGAAGACGAGACGGGCGCAACGGCCTCGTCGTCGTCACGGTCGACATGCCCCTTGACGGCCTCATCCGCGGACCCGGACCCAAGCCTGGGCTTGCCATGTCGTTCTGGCGGCCAAGCGCAATCGAGACAGAGACGGCGGCAGTCGCCGCAGCGCGGCTTGGTCTCGTCGCACTTCTTCTTGCGGCGCTTGCACATCAGGCAGCCAGTCTGCACTCTCTTGATCCTAGCCTTGGGCACGTCGCCGTTGTGAGTGTCATCGATGGTGGTGCCGGCGGCGTTTCGTGGGCGGCATGGCAAGCTGAGCCGGACGCATCGCGCGCAAGGCAGGTTGCCATCGCAGGCTTGCTTGATCTGCGCGCAACGGTGGCATACAGGACGGCCATCGGAGCCCATGATGGAGTATGCTGAGGCGGTCCTCGTGGCGCGGCGAGAGACGGTTGGCAGAGCTCGCTGCGGTCGTGGTCGTGGTCGTGGGAGTAAATTTCTGTGCGGTCGAGAACGGGGTGATGTCGGCTAATCTGTTGCAGCGAAACCCGAGCGAGGTGCGGGCTTGGACACCCGCAACGGAGGCCGCGAGCTGTGCTCGGTTGGGGAGATCAGATGCACCGAGGCTGAGATGCACACGCAGACTCGGCCAGGACTTGGACTTGGCAACGAAGCAGGGAAACGGAGAAGCGAGAGATGAGATGCAATCTAGCGTCGTGGGACATGCCCATGATTGGGAGGGGCAGCAGCGTGGTCGATTTGGGTGGAGCGACGACACCTCCCTCCGAGGATCACGGACCAGACAGACCAGGATTGAGAGGCACACAAAATGAGGGGGCCAAGACTCGTCACCAAATCCGATCTGGGGACGCGAGGCGGGAGCACCTGATCGCCGCTCTCCGGGCTCCGGGCGAGACCACCAGGACCTGGTGGTTGGGTGTTGGGTCGTTGCAGACTTGACAACGGACCACAGGGGCTGTGTGTGACGATGTCGATCAATTTTAGTCGGATGGCCAAGACACCGCCGTTCCCTGCAACGGCATCGACCCTCGGCTAAGTGCTGCTGCTGCTGCGGCGCTGCTCTGGTTGATCGGCTCTTTCCATCCCCGCGCTAACAAGCTTCTCGGCGGAATGTAGCTTGCCGAGCCGGAATTCTGCCGTGCTGCTCCGTGCGCAGAACACGGCGTGGCCAGAGGCCCCCCCTTGCCTTGCCCTGCGTGTTATTGCCAGTGCCTCTATAGTTATTTCCCGTCACAAGGGTCGCCCCATGGGCCACAGGCCGGGGTAGACCAGACAGACGCCCTGCCGACTCCGGGCTCCGTACTCCGTGCGCCCTGCTCAGACCAACCCGTCGCCGACTTTTGTCTTTCCTCTCTCCATGCTCTCCCCCGCGATGCCTCGCAGTGCGCACCAGCATGTGTTCGTCGCGGCACACGACGCCGCGGTGTGAGGTTGCCGCCGCCAGAGTCCCTCGAGACGAGAGCGTCTCTGGTCTTTGCACCGCGGATCATTCACGGGCCCTGTGCAAGGCACCGGCCACGCTTGACTGGTTCGTGGGTCATAGTACTGCACAGTTAAGAGACTGGGTTTACTTATCTTTGCGACACCGGGGTTTTGGATTGGAGCACGTGGCGCGACGCTAGTCGCTTTGTCAACATGAAGCCGTGCCAGAGTTGTTCATGCAGCCTGGCGCCTGGCATGATACGGAGCATGTTGTCGAGCTAAGCTCCGTGGCATCCAGAAACTATTTGCTACGCACACGAGCTAGGTTGATTCCCAGCTCAGCCACGGCAACATGGCAAGGGCAACATGGTAAGGGGAGCAAGGATTCGACACGGGGAAAGACACGGCAGGCGAGAGGTGAAAAGGTATAACAAACAGTCGTCAGCTGCCCAGGCGTCGCGTATATGCTTGGTCCAGCAGCGGGTTAGCAAGGCAACTCTGCGTTCATGTATCCATATATTCATACGTCCATACGTCCACACGTCCCTTCATCCACACGTCCGCATATCCGTTCATCCATACATCCACATCCATACATTCATCCGCCAATACATCCGTACACACATATCCATACGTCCATACATCCACACACGCGTCTGCGTCTTCCTCGGGAACCCGCGAGCCCGTCCCGAAGCCGCCGCCGCCGCCGCCATGAAAGCCGGCGCCGTGATGCTCCTTCTGTCCGCCGCGGGGGCCTACTGCGGGACTGACGTTGTTTACAATCCCACGATTCAGGCGTACCTCGACGGCATCGACACGACAAACTTCACAACCGACGCAGACGAGCCGCCTTCCTTTGCCACGGCCGGGTCGGCGGAACCCACCTGCTTCGTGTACTTCAGGCGCTGCAACCCCGTGTACTTTTACCAAAACTGGTTCCTGGATCGGGCCAGCAACATCACGCTCGGCGCCAAGTTCTTCGCCGACGCCGAGCTGATCGTCCAAGACGACAAGCCCGTGGACGGGATGCTTCCCAGCGTCCAGACAATCACCTCCACGGCGGTCACGGACGCCACCACCAAGGGCTGGAAGGTTGGGGGCAGGCTCGGCGGCGAGGTCGGGGCAGAGGGCGCCAAGGGCGTCCTCGAGTTCACCGGCGAGTACGGCGAGCAGTGGAGCAAGTCGACCACGGAGACGACGCAGCTCGCCGTCACCGCGCCCTGCCCCGGAAACACTCGCTGCACCATCGAGACGGTGACGTTCTACGCCACCTTTCGTGGCCGCTGCCGGGCCCGTCCCGTCATCAACTGCGGCGGCGAGATGGACGCGTGCCGGGCCGACGCCTGGGGGTGCAGCCAGTTCGAGTCCTACAGGGCGAAGTCGTGCGGCGGCGACCTCGAGGACCTGCCGTGCAGCTTTACGACGCCCATCATAGGGACAAACGGCAAGCCGGTCGCGAAGAACATTATCCGGCGGACGCCGCTCGCGGGGCGCCCAGACACCCTGCGCAGGAGGGGCGTGGTTGGGGATGACGTGGACTCCGAGGTTGAGTTTATCAGTGTCTGAACTTTGAAGGGTCCGAAGGGTCTGAAGGCGGGAAAAGAGGAGACACCCACCCCCGTCAGGTCGGTCAACTGGTAACACTGAACTTTAAGTACACATGTTACGTAGCACCAGACCCGTTGACCATGTACAACATCAACAGTGAACATTTGCGGGGGTCCTCGTACGGTAGTCGGCTTGGATGAGGCCAATGTCACGGTGCACAGGTGATACAGCACGCCGAAAGCCGCATGTAAGCAAGTCGTTCTATTGCGATCGACGTGTAGTTAGTTATGGGGTAGTAACTGGAGGCTCCTCGTTGCAACTGCATTCTGGTCCGCCACCGGATTCTCTTCGGTAGCAGACATCTGGAGTCAAGTTGAGTTGTTTTTACTGCCCGTGCCAATGCAGCTGCGGCCCTGCCAGCCCACGGACAACATCACCGTGACCCAATGCTTGCCATGAGCCGCTGATACTTGTCACGGACTCATGGGCCGTGGCTGGCGCAAACTCGTGCATTCGTCTCAAACAATGCCAGCGCCGCCATTGGGTGTGCCTGTTTCCCTTCGTCCCCGACCCGATGCCGTACCGTTGCCGCGAGGCCCCTTTCTCTCAGTCACGAAGTGCCAATCGAATCTCTCTGGCCGTCCTGTCGATGAACTGCCTGGCTTGCCATAGATCCTTGTCCATGTGCATAAACGGGTGTGGCACGCCGGGGAATCGCTTCAGAGTGACCTCGACACCATTCTCCGCCAGCATGTGTGCGTAACGCTCGCCTTCGTCGCGCAACGGATCGGCTCCGGCAGTGTAGATGACCGTCTTGGCCAGGCCCTTGAGGTTGGGGGCGTCCAGCAGATTGGCAAACCACCCAATCTTTTCCCGCGCGGCCTTGTGCTCCTCCGGGTCGGTGGGAAGAGACGACCACTTGAGCTTGTCGAACCACGCCAAGCGGCCCCAGTTGAGCGTGGGTGCCATCTCGTTCTCCCGCATGGAGGGGAATGGGGACTCGGCGGCCGATGCGTATCGTGAAAGATCGTCAATCACGGGCGTTCCCGCAACCACAAGCTTCAGCGGAATGCTATCGGGCCTAGTGTCCCGCGCGAGGTGCGCGACGGCGAGGGCGATAAAAGCGCCTGCCGAGACACCCCCCAGCGAGATGCTGTCGGGGATGATGTTGAAAACCCGGGCACCACGGGCGTGTACGTACCTCAGGGCGGCAAGGCCGTCGGTGATGCCGACAGGAAAGGGGTGCTCTGGGACAAGACGATAGGCAACGTCGACGACGACGACCTTGGCCTTGTTGCAGATGTGTCTGCAGATGTGAGCCTCGGTGTCGAGGTCTCCGAGGGCCCAGCCACCGCCATGGTAGTCGATGTGAACGGGCCACGGGCCTTTGGTGTCTGGTTCGTAGACTCGAACGTCGATGCTGGCGCCGGAACCGTCGTCGAGGGGAATTTGATGCTCGTATATGCGACCGACCTCCGGGGCTGGACCGGTGCCGTAGCTGTGCAGCACCGAGTACTTGGACCGCAGCACCCCGAGGTCAATTGGCCTCGAGGGGGTATTGGCGACGTTTTCGTTGTACAGCTTTTCAAACACCGGGTCCAGTTTGCCCGCCATGGAGGGGTGAATTGGCTGCAGGGCCTCGTGTTTGCCGTCCGCGCTCGACATGTCGGGGGGAAGCAGCGGCGATGCCTGTCCGTCTGCGATGCTCTGATCTTGCGGATTGCCAGACAGTCCACCAACTGCCGAGGTATTCGAGCACGCTCTGTGCCTGTGCTGGGATGCAGAGTTGATCAGAATTGTGGCGTCTGGCACATGTAAATGAATGCTCGGTCAAGGCGGCCAAGTCGACATCAAAATGGACGTCCTTCGCCTGGTCAAAAGTTCAAGCCTGCGGTTTATCAGATGACACGATCTGGACAGCCGGCACTTGGTCTGTGGGGCCGCGCGGCTGTTTCTAGCACCGTCCGTCGCTAAATTATCCGCGGCGGCCATCCGCATGCCGCATGCCGCATGCCGCTTGTCAGCTGGTCACTCGAGTTGCGACGGTGCCGGCCCGTTCCTGACAATGTGGATTTTGCTCCCGCAAAGCTAATATTCCTCATAGATATTCGCTTGCGGTGACTATGCGGTGCCTCAGATATGATGGAACTGCAAGGCGCTCCCGTGGGTTTGCTCTACACGGGAAGCGCAGAGATTCGCATGGAGGTGGAGTAAAATACGTCGTGAGAGGTATTCTGCAAAGCTGGATGGAAACAAATTGTGTATCGGAGGCGGGGTTGAGGTGGGTTTTGCGATGTCAAGTGTTGTCGCTCGGCTCTTGTACTCGATGCGATTATGAATTGATTGGCAGGGGTATGATCGCCGCGATCGTATCCCTGGTGTCGGGTACGTGGGACCTCTTTTGAACAAGCAAGACGCCAGACTTGGTGGTGACAGTTTTACGTCCTGAATCCATAGTCACTATTGTCCAACACTCGAGGTTGGGACGCCGTGAAACGCAGAATAACAGACTCTGCATGTCGTGAGTCGCGACCTGATCCGGGAAGGAAGGCGAGGGCGAGTGATGTGGTTCTTTCCTTCCCTTTTTGCATCGGTCAAATCGCCGCCACCATCAGGAACTAGGCATCCAGACAGAGTCGTGTCAAGCTCGCGCATATTTGTTCGCTTTCATCCTGGGTTGAACAACTTTTGTCACTGAGAAGGAACCGACCAAGCATCGACAACATCGTTGTGACTTATCATCGTGCACGCTGGCGTTTTGCCTCGGACCGTCGTGGCCAACGGTGGACTACCTTTCGGCCGTTGGCTGCAACTTGCAGTGCAGTCCTCGTTGGTTGAGGCGGCCTGCGAGTCCTACAGTCAGAAATGACAGCAGAATCGGCACCGTCAGCCTCGACCAACAAGCCGAAGACTGATTTTGTCCTCCGTAAGATGATGGCACAGGGATTCAAAGTGGCTAGCCGATTGCTGGCGTTGGCAGGCAAAGCCGCGCAAACTGTCTTCTTCGAGGCATCTGGCTCCCCTCACGGCAGAGCTGACAACAGCAGTCATTCGGCTTGGTGCAGGCGCGTATCCCTTCAGGATACCGACCGACCCTGTCTCATTTTTAGACCCAGCCTTCGCCTGCTAAGGAGTGAGAGCCATGCCTGCCGTGTCTTCCGTCCAACTCATGAGCCGGATTGCCAGCGAGGCCTGTGCCGAACAACCGAGCAACACCTCTGCCAGAACTGAAACGATTCAAATCCAACTCAGCCTGGAATAGAAGTTGTCTGCCTGGCCTGTATCTGGCCAATATGGACCAGGCTCTCGCATCTTGTAAGTGGCCTCTGCATACGAAAGCAAGTCAAGCACTGCCACTCCCCGTCTTGGAAGTCACTTGGAATTTTAATCTTGCTTGACAGATACTACGTCCTCGTAGCCGCATGTGTCGTCACACGCAAGTCAGAATGGGTTCGGAATGCGTGTAATGCGGCAACTTCGCTGTCGCCCGCTGTGGCTGCCCTTCATGGCATTATACTGGCAGCATTTCACCGAGATGGTACGTAGCTGCCTCTTCTTGATCTGCGAAAGTGTGTCTGTGTCCCAAACGGTCTCTACTAGCCGTTCTGATCATAAACAGCCTAGGTCTTCGGCTGACACTCGATTGTACTTCATCAGCTGCCGTTGATATGGACATCTATGGTGCTTCCCATTTTTGCGCAATTGGCATTTTGGCAGCCCCCGTCACTGTCAGATTGGCAAGGACCTATCTTTGGCACGGGCCGGAATATTATCTTTTTATGGGCAGGACTTATTTCATCCGGTAAGCTTTTTCGAGCCTAGCTTTTGTTCATACTGTGATAATTTCGAAATTGAACGTGGGAGCTAATGAGTTCTGTCTTTATTCCGGATTGTTAAGCCTAGCTGTCGAGTCTTATAGAGCTAAGCATATCATTTGCTCCGGAGTGCGTAATGGAATTCCAATCCCAGCAAGTGCCGAGAACTTTCCGTGTGAACAGCAGCCTCAATGAGGACATCCACGATGGACAAGATCTTGGAGATTAATCTCAGGTCGAGATTCGCCTTTAGGTTCGATGCCAATTTCTGCCTCGACGAGGCCGCTCAAGACACCGATGGAGCCACCAAGAGCAGGATGAAGAGAGTTAATGAGACCATCCGACTTTTTCATAAGCGTGGCAGTAGTGCCTTTCTTTGCCTGTGCCGGACTGACAGTTCTAATTATCGGAGAAGCAAACTTTTCCAGCCGTCAAGTGAGGTACGAGAATGAACCAATGGCAAGTATTGGTGGGAATCAACCTCCATGGGAGCTTCGTAGCCCAAAGATACAAACCTCCCACTAACCGTTTTTCATGTCTGAATAGGTCAGTGGGCGCCAATTGCCGGTACAGGGGTGTAATTTTCCCCATCGGCCCTTGCCGGAATCTGGGATTCTGAGTCCAAAAGGCCAGGCTCCAGATAACGCAGTCCTCAAAACACTCTTAAGATTGTGGATTATTCGACGCTGCCAGCAATGGAAGGTCTCCAAGGAGCACACCATCATCAGTCACGGATATCCAGTTCTGGAGTTTTGTGGAAGGTTGTCGCCGAGTCGCGGCAACACAAATGTTGCCACTATTTCTTGCCATTATAAGGAAATTCGACTAAATGACCAGCCTCAAACAGGACGTGTGCTCTCTTTTATACTCTCGCTTTTTTTTCTCGTTCCGCTGCAGTGTTCGTCCTTGCAGCGACAGAGACGACGTCTCTGATTTCCCTGGTGGGCGGGATTCGAGAGCGCGCGGTTAGCAAGTCACTACGCCGGTTTTTTCCACATGGAGTTGGCATGTTCCCCACCGACGCCTTGATTCATTCCAAGCTACTATTTCTGTTTCGCCCAGTTCTTCTATCCTACATCGCATGCAAGCCATGGATGACGGCATATCACTAGATACGGACCAGATCCGCAACTGGCGATCCATTGTGACGCTCATCGTCTTTATTCTGACCAGTATGTACATGGCGTGAAGCAAGTGCATTTTGCGCGAGACCTCGCCTTTGCTCCATCTGACTCGACGCTTTCTAGATATTAATGTGCTCTTCCCGTTTCACGTCCCTATTTTTGTACCCAGAAGGGCTTGGAACGCGCTACTAGATGGTTTGAGCCATGTCAGGATCATAGCACCAAGGAACACTACTTTGCCCCATCACGCAGATGACGATAATGATGAGGGACACATTAAGCAATACCTACGGTTCGATTTCCCCATGAATCTCGTCACCGCGCCGCTACTGGCAGATCTTTTCCTGCTCGCTATTCTGGCCATTGGCCGCAAAGAGGTGCACGACGGGACCTTGGGGGCGGACAATATCTCGCCCGTTGATATCATGGCCTTCTTCATCACCTTGGCATACATTGCTATATCTATCGATGCATCGGGCTTAATTAGGTTCCTTGCTTTCAAAATCTTGCAATGGGGAGGCAAACTTGGCCACCGACTCTTCTTCTTCCTCTACACCTTCTTCTTTCTTCTCGGCAGCTTCATCGGCAATGACCCCATCATTCTCTCCGGCACTCCCTTTCTCGCCTACATGACAAAGGTTTCTAGCAATATTGTTCACCCTCGGGCTTGGATTCACACACAATTTTCTGTTGCGAATATTGCTTCAGCCGTTCTCGTGTCGTCGAACCCCACAAACCTAGTCCTTGCGGGAGCCTTTGAGATCAGGTTCATCAACTACACAGCAAATGTGATTGTTCCTGTGTTGGTGACTGCTGTTGTTCTCTTCCCCTGTCTTGTCTATATCGTTTTTGCAAGCGAAGCTTTAGTTCCACATTCCATCACGATGCACGAGCTACCGCAAGAGGTTAAAGAAAAGAAACCCGTCAACCCCAACATTCCGCACGCACGTGGTCAACTGAACGAGGGAGAAAATAGTTTTTGCAATGACGAACAGTCAAAGCTCTTATCCCTCGAGCAGATTATGAATCCATTCTTGGACAAGGGCGGTGCGGCATTCGGAGCTGTTATTATGGCCGCTACACTTATCACTGTCCTGGTCATCAATGCTGTAAGCGCCGGCAACGAAGCTCATCCTGTTTTCTGGGTGACATTACCAGCAGCCTTCGTAATGTTTTGCTGGGACGTTGGGTTTGGTTGGTTTCATCGGGCAGAGACTAGACAAATCGCCCGCAGAGGCCAGCTGGAAGTTGAGAATGCACGAATCGAACGAGCTCTGCGAGAGAGGGACCAACCAAGGTCCTCGGAGACAGACTCGGCTACTGACGGCGCACATGCAAATGAGCTGCAAGAGCACCCTTCGGAAGCTCAAGATGTGGTGGACGCGGGGGGTCGAAACCCGACATTGCCCTCACCTCCCGCGATCCTGGTGTCCCGAAACGCGGATGAAATAGCAATTGCGGCCAGTTCCTCCTCCGGATCTGTTACTTCGTCGCCGACCCCGTTGGCTGAGGATGCTACGAAGAAACATACCGCATATGACGAAAAGACAGCTGCGTACCAGAACGCTGAATCCGACCCCACGAAATGTGCATCCCGGACCCCCAACTTACTCGTCTCATCATCAAACAGGCAAGGTAACGAACGAGGACGAGACGCAAACGATCTGCCATTTCAAAAAGAAATCGGCCCTGCAACGTTGACGTCCCTTTTGAAGGATGCGTTTAGGTGGTGCCGGGAAACATTCCCTACAGCGACAGCTGTCATTCTGCATTTGCCTTTTGCTCTGGTCCCTTTCGCATTCTCAATGTTTGTGCTTGTTCAAGCACTTGTCACCAAGGGCTGGATTCCCGTCTTTGCGTACGGTTGGGATCAATGGGTGAAAAAGACGGGAACTGTTGGTGCCATTGGCGGCATGGGTTTTCTGTCTGTGTTGCTATGCAATGTAGGTTTTTCCCCCCACGTTTCCGCGGGATCCTTTGTTGATCTGCCACTGATGTTGCGTAGTTTGCTGGGACGAATATCGGCACTACCATACTGTTATCCCGAGTCATTCAGACATGGCAAAAGATCAATATTGAGAGCCAGACCGACATCAGCGATCGCACATTTTGGGCCACAGTGTACAGCATGGCAATTGGAGTAAACTACGGCGCGTTTAGCACTGCATTCAGCGCATCTCTCGCTGGACTTCTCTGGAGAGATATTTTGTCTCGCAAGCATATTCACGTTCAAGGACTGGAATTCGCCCGCGTCAATCTTCCAATCATTGCAATTACCATGGCTGTCGGCTGCACAGTTCTTACAGGGCAAGTATACATTGTGCGGAGCGACAAACCGTACAATAAATAATACTTGGACGAGGATATGTGCAGAGACTTTCGCAGCATCATCAGAGCACTAGAAGGACCTCCAGGCCGCACTTTTGATGAGGAACCGGAGATGAGTGGACAAAAGAACCACACACGACGTCGGTGCAGCAAAATCATGTGTCCGTTTTGACGTGCATTGTGTGACGTCATGGGCGCTATAGCAATAGATATAGGATTTACAATGAGTCACGACGAGAAATGTGAGGTGTGGTCCGCATGGCATTTCAGCAGTCATTCACTTGAGCCATATGTCATTTGGACTCATTGGCTGGCGCGAGTCACAGCAAAACGAATGACTTGACGACGAAACATGTCCACGTCTCTCGCAACAAAAGTCGAGTGGACTCGATGCATTGCTGCCCGATATTTGCTGGCCTGTGCTCAAAGGGACCAAGCGGTGTTTGCTGCAGTGGGGGAGGTGCGGTGGTGGTGAGGATGTAAGTTAAAATCGCTCGCACACACGTCTCGATGTTCCCAAATCCACCAGCCTCCAATTCCTTTGCGAATCACTCCAACCCTTCAGGAAGTTATACGCAGAAGGAATTGCGATATAAGGCTTCACCATGGACAACGTACGAGTGGTGTTGAACGCACGTCCTGCGGACAAGATCATCCCGGGAGAGACGTTTCGCAAAGAAACCGGTCTCGCCCCCTGCCCAAAAGACCTGGAGGATGGCCAGATTCTCTTCGAGGTTCTGCTCATCTCGCTGGAGCCAGCGATGCGAGGATGGCTGAGCGGTACGTCTCCCTCGAGAACGGCACGCGGTCGGTCCCCTTGTGGACAAGGAAGCGATTCGCAATGGAAGATGACGCGGTGCTGACAGAGGCACTCACTCCTCGTGCTCATTCAGAAAAGAGATCATATCTCCCTCCAGTTCAAATTGGAGAAACCATGCGCAGCTTTTCGGCAGCCCGCGTTCTTGCGACCAGGAGCAAGCAGGCCGAAATTGGCGACGTCGTGGTCGCCGCGAGCGGCTGGGCTCGGTATGCCATTGTGCGCGAGGGATTGTTTGAGCCGGCTTCAACTCTGCCCGAGGTGGCCGAGACTCACGAGCTCTTGTCCACGTACGGCCTGACGGGGATGACGGCGTGGGTGGGAATGACAGTCATCGGGGAGCCGAAACCGGGCGAGACGGTAGTCGTATCCGCCGCAGCTGGTGCGACGGGCAGCATGGCGGGACAGATGGCCAAGATTAAAGGAGCCAGGGTGATTGGTATCTGCGGCGGCGAGGAAAAGTGCAACCACGTCCGCGAGGTCCTCGGGTTCGACGTGGCGCTCGATTACAAGGCGCCTGACTTCAAGGATAAGTTCATGGAGGCTACAGGGGACTTTATCGATGTGTATTTCGACAACGGTAAGTGTCGATGCCTGTGCGGATGCAGAAACATGGGAATGCTAAGCAAGGGCCAAACTAGTCGGTGGTGAGATTCTGGACATGGCCCTCGGCCAGGCTAAAAAGGGGGCTCGCCTCGTTCAATGCGGCTTGATCTCGCAGTACAACCGGGAGCGCGAGCAGCCGAGCCTGAAAAACTACTTCAACGTCATTTCGATGCGCGTCAAGATCCAGGGGTTTATCGTGACGGATCACATGGACTTGTGGCCGCAGGCTCGGCAGGAAATTGCCCAGTGGGTTGGGCAAGGCAAGCTCACGAGTGCAGTGAGCATTGTTGAAGGAGGGCTGGATGTGGTCGACAAGACTCTTGCGAGTTTGTACAATGGCAGTAACACGGGAAAGTTGCTCGTCAAGGTCAAGGATGTGTCTGATCCTCCTGCAGAGCTCTGAGGGATTCCGGGCCACGGCCTTTTTTCCGTGACCGGAAGGCGGTTCCCAGACAGAATAAGAAACGAAACGAGCATGTTGGTTGTCCATTCGAGAAGACACAATTTGGATGCTACGCAAACTATTGGCTGGTACGTGGCAGGTGCCATGGTTCAGCGATTATTGGACGCGGGGAAGCTGCAAGCACGTCGCAGCGTCGTATCGAAGAGCGGGTTGGACGGCATCGCGGGAGGCGTGCAAGGCTTGGCTGCGGCAGAGGTTTCGGGCCTCGCAGGAAGCCGATTGTTCCTGACGGACGAGGCCTGAGGGGGGGGGAACCGCAGCACGGCGTGGCCGAGGTACGGACTCCGGGGAAGCAATCCGACTCCCGTATGAACGTCCCGACGGTTTTCTGGATCCGTCCTTGGCTGCAGCGTGGCTGCGTGCCGACGGCCCACCGGGTGAGGTTCCGCCCCGCTCGCCGCCCCGCCGTGGGTCCCGGAGCATCCACCGGCCGGTGGCTCGGTTCTCACTTCCTGTCTAGGCCCTTGTGCCCCTGATAGACTGGCCCCTCGGTGTGTCCTCCGCGGACTCATCTGCAGCCCGCGGGGGGGTTCACTTTGCGATGGATGGATCGAGACGGAAAGGTGCGCACAGAAGTCCTCTGCCCAGGCGCATCGTGCTCCTCGACTAACATAGCCGGATTTCTATCTGTCCAGGCTCTCTATCCTCTCCGGCTTCCAATCATCTAGTACACCGACTCCAAGGCAACGAGGAATCTGATGTCCCGTGGTGGACTTGTTGAGCAGCGACACCTTGCAAGGTGGCGGCGATTTGATTCAGAGTTGGTCCAAACTCTTATTGACTCTTGCCGCCGCCGACGGTGTCTTCCATGGCGTCTCCAGGTTCGGCTGTAATACGGTTTCAGTTCTACTTCTTGCCCTCACCATTGCAACCTTGACGCACTCTTTTCCTGTTACTCGCTGCTTCGTGTCCACGTTTCTGTACATCCCATGCTGTATTTACTCTCGGTACGGAGTGCAGTCCCCGGGCAAGGGTCACTTTGGAGCTTCCACGCAGTGCTATTCGCTCGGCCGCCTCTCATTCGGCCGACGCCCAGTCAACCAGACTTGGACGAGTAAGTGGAAAGATCCCCCTCGTCTACTCCCGTCTCCGTGGGAGTAAATCCTCCTGGTCGCCGAAAGAGACGCGAGGCCAGGGTACGTCGACGCGGGCCGTCGATTGTGTATCCCGAGCACATGGTTCATGCGGCTGACTGCCATGATATGCGTCCAAGTGGGACGTAAAGGAGAAGCCACCCACTGGTTGTTTCCTGGCCGTCGTCTTGTATCTGCCGTCTGTTCTCTGTTCCGATCCGTCCGACCGTCTTCGGATGACGAGAGATTCATGGTGCCCACCGAAAAGGCGGCAGATGCTCTGTCGGCCCCGGTCACGCGACGACTGGGACAAACGACTCCGTCGAACCAATTCGCGCGCTCCCAGCCGAGGCGGCCCAGGTCGAACTAGACCAGCCCGGAGCAGATTTACCGTTTGGCATGGCTCTATCAAGGGCCGCCGCTTTTGCGCGTCGTACCTGTGTTCTTCTGGGCCAGGCCCATCTCGGCAGCAGCCGCAGACCCCGGAGCAGTTGCCGACTTCACATGTTCGAGTCCGCGACTGTAGAGCTCCTATCCCGCCGCCGGAGCTTTCTGGCCTTACGGTTTGGCAACTGCAGCGTTGGCGAATGGAACTGACTCGAGTGACCAGCTGTCGGGTTGGCATTGCCTGAAGTCTTTTGGGGCCTTGAGAACGAGGGCAACCCTTGTCCCGGTGACCCGACGCGAAACTGCCCGAGTGAGGTGTATGGAATCGGGATGACTTCCCAGGTCTCACGCTCATGACACAAAAGGCCGGTGCGTATATATCCGGCAACTAAGCTTGACGAACCGCCTGCATCAGTAGTCCTCGGAGACAACCAGGTTTACGTGCTGCGAGCCTATTCGCCTGCTGCAACGCAGCCGGTGAACGAGCACGGCTGCAATGGTATCCAGTCCTTTTTGCTTGCTTGCTCGCTGAACCAAGCAAGTCACGGCATGTGGCTGGAAGACAACGTCCGCGGCAGTCTCACGCAGGACGTGTGTTGACTATTTAATTCGTGCTCTTCCGTGCGATTTCGTGTGCCGTCTTGATCCCCCCGCGTCATCCATCGTCTTCCACGGGCCAAAGGATCTCGTCTCGCTAGATCGCACCACCACGATGCTTGTTGCCCGGTGTTTGGCGCTCCTCGCCTCCCTGGCCTGCGCCAGCGCGGTGCCTCTGGCGGAGAGATCAGGCCCCCTGCCCCCGAGCCAAGACGCATGGTATCAAGTGCCCCGGGACATCGACGCCATGGAGCACGGCGCCATCCTGAAGCACAGAAAGCCGCCGGCCCCCATTGCCGCCTTTGGGGTCAGGCCGGTCAACCTCCAGGACGCCCACCAAATCATGTACAAGACCACCAACAGCCTCAACGGCTCAACGGCGGCCGTCACGACCGTCCTGGTGCCGCACAACGCGGACATGGCCAAGGTGCTGTCGTACCAGTCCATCGTCGACTCGGCGTGCGTGGACTGCGCACCGTCCTACGCCCTCCAGCTGGGCGCCAAGTCCAGCGTCGTCTTGGGCACCTTCATGACCCAGGCCGAGCTGTTCCTCATCGCGACGCTGCTGGACAGGGGCTGGGTGGTGGTCATGTCCGACTACCTGGGCCCCAACTCGGCCTTCCTTGCCAACGTGCTCGCCGGGCACGCCGTGCTGGACGGCATCCGGGCCGTCACGCAGTCCACCGCCCTCACCGGCGTCCACAAGGACGCCAAGGTCGCCCTATGGGGGTACTCGGGCGGCAGCGTCGCGACCGGATGGGCGGCCGAGCTGCACGCCTCGTACGCGCCCGAGCTCAACCTCGTCGGCGCCGCGCTGGGCGGCGTCGTGCCCAGCATCCCCGCCGTCATCAAGGCCCTCAACAAGAGCTACGCCGCCGGCCTGCTGGCCTCGGGCTTCCTCGGCCTGGCCACCGAGTACCCCCAGTTCGGCGACATCGTGCAGGAGCAGGTCCTGCCGCAGCACAGGCCGGCCTTTGAAAAGGTCAGGAAGCAGTGCCTCGTCGCCGACCTCGAGGAGTTCCCGTTCCAGGACGTCGTCGCCATGCTCCGGGACCCGGGGCTGCTCACGTCGGGCCCCCTGTTCGACGTCTTCGCCCGCGTCTCGCTCGGCAAGGCGGCCCCCCGGATCCCGCTGTACGTCTACAAGCCGGTCCACGACGAGATCAGCCCCGTCGCCGACAGCGACGCCCTCGTCGCCTTCTACTGCGCCCGCGGGACGCCGGTCCAGTACGAGAGGGACTGGGTGTCTCTGCACGGCACGCTGCTCGTCACGGGCGCGGCCAAGGCCCTCTCGTGGCTGGTCGACATCGTCGACGGCGGCAGCCCGCCCCCCGCGGCCTGCTCCACCAGCAACGTCGTCTCCTCGCTGTTTGACCTTGAGGCTGTCAAGGTTTTCCCGACGGCCGTTCTGGACGCCCTGCTGGCGCTGCTGGGCCGGCCTATCGGGCCGCTTCTTTGATGGCAGTCCTTGCGCCTCTGGTCCTGGACTGGATGGAGCCTTTCTCGGTCGGCCCTTGCTTGCTGGGTGGGCGCGTTCTCTGGCGGGCTTTTGTCTTGTGTCGTCATTGGTAGAGAGAGTACATAGTAATTGTCAGTTTTTAGCCCGTCGCTCTTTACCATGTGCATCCATCTCTCTCTGTCTCTCTCTCTCTCTCTCTCTTCTATCCGCAGTAACCCCGACGTACCACCTGCCTACGTGGTCTACATTTCCCCGTGAAAACCCTCTTCACGCTGCGAAAAAGAGAGAAAAGGAGCGATTGCTAGAAGACAGACAGACACCCTGCAGAATAGTGTAACAAACAATCCATGTATTTATGTAATTCGGAAGAATAAAAAAAGACACCCGTAACGGGCGGCGTGCGGGGCAAAAAGACACACGTCAGGTCCGGCCGGGATTCGAACCCGGATCGCCAGATAACGCCCAAACAGGCCAACGCCTGATCAAAGTCTAGAATGCTAGCCTTTACACCACCGGACCAACGGTGGACCTTGCAATCGATGGCCTTTATTACACCCTTTATATCCTGCACGAGACCGAGACATGGACCGCCGTCCACGGCAGCGCCTGCAGGGCCGTCTACGTCACCACTGCCCGGCGCTGGCAAACACTTCACACGTGCACTGGCTTTTCAAGGCAAATTTGCCGTGTATCAGTAAAGGAACAAAAGTAGGGGCATGTCTGGAACACGGTGGCTGTGTGTCTTCTCATACGCCTTGACAAAGGTATCTTGTTGCAAAAATATTTCACTCCCACTCCCACAGCCTGGCTGCGTTGCGTGGTGGCGTGCGCGGCCGCGGCTGGAATGCTTCAACTCCAACAAACAAATCAAAACCAATCTCCGTCATCCAATGCCAGTCCTGCGCAGCGTCGAGTTCTGTAGTTTCCGGTCTCTGCCGTCACACACACGCGCGCGCGCGCGCCGCCCCATCCAACTTCCTCATACGTAATCATTCTGGAGTCGCCCCGCCGCCCATTCCAAAGCTTCGTGGGATTGCCACCTTGCCTCGTCAACGCCCCGTCGTTGACATGTTGCTCGGCATGCGGGTCGCTCTCTCCTCGGCGGCGCAGTGGAAAGCTCATAAATACCGTCCTCTGCCCGTCTCGCCTGGCCGCCTGGCGTCTCTTTCCCTGCGACGGGTCCATCATCGAGAGCGCATCTTCGCCCCGACCCACGACGTTTCGGGGTCCATCACCATGCGTGCAAAGCATCGTTCGTCATGCTCCGGCGTCAGCCTGACCATCCCAGCATCTCCAGGGTGCCCCTGGCTTCCGACGGCGTCAATCCGGCTACGCCCAGGTGCCGGACCTGCGTCCCGCCGCGCAGACGTTGCAGCCCAAACGCGAGCTTCCAGCTTTCCGTCTCGTTCATGACAAACACGTATCTCTTGCCTTCTTGATCACGTACCGAGGCGCGAAGGACGTGTAAGCCCTTGGCCTTCCATGCCCCGGTCTGACCGGTCGAGGACGCAACGTTAGTATTCTTCAGTGTCCGCTCGCACAGACCAAGACGGCAGCAGCCCTTGCAGGCGCGCAGCATCTCGGCAAGGTAGGCATCGGCTTCGTCGCCATTGAAGACCTTTTGGCTGTCGCGTTCTGCGTTTCTCCGGGCCGTTGCCATCTTGTAAAGCAAATGGGGGGCGCTCTTGGGTCCGGACGGGGTGCTGGGGGTGGCGGGAGCAGAGCCGTTCAAGCAGTGCGGGGGACACCATACCTCGACAAGTTTGAGCGTCCACGCCTTGACGTCCCACTCACGTTGGGGAACGCCGCGGACGTCGTCGTCGATGAAGAGACCCTCGGTCGTTATTCGCAGGATGAGCCCGTCCGTGACGGATCCCACGCCAGAGACGAGCTGACTGGCTGGGGTCTTGGAGTACTGGCTCATAAAGAGATACACGGCCTGGATGACAATCTTGTCAGGGTCCTTGGTGGTATACGGACCGCGGACCGACGGCGGCGGCGACGTCCGCGCCGTCGTGTGAGACTGCGCCCATGACGCGTCGGAGCCGGTAAAGGAGGAAATGGACGGCCGCCGACTCTTTCGGTCTTGTTGATCGTACGGCCGGTACGAGTACCCGTCGTCGTCGGGCGTCGTGACACATGTCCTTGCCGTCGGGGCGGGTGGCTTCTTTTCGGGACTGGGTGGGTTTTTGGTCGGCGGTGGTCTTGCTGAAGCCGTCGACGGCGGAACGGGTGGCCTGCCATTCGGCCACATGCTCGTCTTCTCTCCGCCCCCTGACAAGGCATACGTGCTTCCTACCCGCGTGGCTCCCTCTGCGGCGGCAGCCTCCTTCTTCTTTTGCTCCTCCTTCTCCTTCTCACGTTGCCTCTCCTTCTCTTTTTCCTTTTCTTCCTTTTCTCTCCTGAGTCTTTCGGCAAGCTCCTTGCGCCGCTGCTCGGCTTCCTCCTTGAGCTTCTTGTCCTTGACGTCTTTTTCCTTTCGCTCTCTTTCCCTCTCCCGCTCTTGTCTCTCCCTCGCTTCCTTTGCCCTGAGTTCCGCAAGCCGGTTTGCAGCCTCTTCTCGGCGCTTTTGTTCTGCTTCCTTCACTTTTCGTTCTTCTTCCTTCTTCCTCGTTTCCTCACGGGCCTTTTCCCAAGTCCCCCTTGGTGTCTGCGGCTGAGGCGTGCTGGGCTGGGGCGGATTGGGCCGGGGCGGACTGGACCGGGACAGCGGCCGTTGCCATGATGCTTTCGGCGTCTCTGGCTCTGGAGGGGGGGGCGGCGACTGCGCTCGAGATTGCGGTGATGGTCCTTCGCCTCCAGGAGGTGGCGGCGGCGGACTGCTGTGAGGCGGAGGCGGCGGCGGTGCTCCTCCGTGTCCCCTGGCATGAGCTCCTCCACTGGGAGATGCGCCTGGACTTGACGCGCCGAAACCACCAGGTGCGGTACCCGATGCGCTTCCACCTCCGCTGCTGTACGAACTTTGATAATGGTAGTTGGAGCGTGGCGTGTCCTTTTGCGTACGGCCCAAGGCCCAAGCACCAAAACCGACGCCGAGTATCAGGAGCGTTATGCCCATGTTGCCCAGGCCTTGGAAAGTCTCCCACCATGCACGAAACGCCGGCGCCATGCTTTGGAACAAGGCCACTAGTATCAGGGCAGAGGCAAAGCCCGCGAAGAAGCTGTTGACGCTGGGCTTTAGTGACGGCAGATACAGGAAACCGGCGCCGGCAGAATGCTCCGGGATGACAAATATGTCATATTTGCCTGGCGGCAGGCCAGACGACCTGGGCACCTCGCCATGCGGCGGGGGCGGAGGCGGCGCACTCATGTTCTTCACTCAATATCCAAGGATGGTCGATTGCCGGCCGGTCTGCGGGTACGACGAGGCGTCGACGGAGGAAAAATTGCCGGTCAATTCTGAGCATGAGACCTTACGAGGGAAATGCTGTCAAAATTAGCAACTGCCAGGGCCGGAGAAGAGGGCGTTGGCGGGAGTATCAGGCTCCAAGACATCTGACGGGCTCGTCGCGGTCAAATGCCACTCACCGAAGAAATCAGGGCCAAGAAAAGAAACAAACGCCAGGCTCCAAAAGAGATATGCAGATGATGGGGCCAGAAACGAAGATGCAAGCCGCTCGCAATGCCGGAAGGGAACAGTGGAAAGAGAATAAAAGAGAAAATCACCCAACGGGGTATCCCTGCCCTGTAGACGATTAGCAGAGGCAAACGACGATGCAAGGAGAAGAAGATCAACTCACCCGAGGCTGGCTGGCAGCGAGGCGTGATTTCTGCAGCTCGGAGCTTTGACTTGGGTCGACTGGTTGAGGTTGGCTGGTTTGGTTGTGGGTTGTCTCGCATTGTTTACGTCGATTGACATGACCAGCTCCATTTTCCTGGCCGGGCCTTGGCACACTTTGCTCGAGCTCCGGCGCCAATTGATTGGATCAGGGTGACGAGGCGTGGCGGGGCGGGGCGCAGGGACTCGAGTGCACAGCAAACGCCGCAGCGATGCTACACAGGTGAGGTCCAGCACTGCGGTGGGTGTACGTAGCGGGTGCATGTGCCCCCGTGCCCCTGTACCCTGTGCCGTACGCCAACAGCCAGGCCATCACCACGGTTGGCCCCGCATGCCGCTAGTCCGCGAACCTCCTCCGCGACACTCACCCCAGGCAGCGGCAGCGTGCACCAGAGAAAAGAACAGGGGAACGAGGGGAAAAAAAAGAAAAGGGGGGGGGGGACAAGAAGCGTCGCCGACTAGGTCATGTAGCCAGCCCTTCCATGTTGCTCTATTGCTTCGACATGGCAAGCAGCCACGAAGCAAGGTGCATGTGGGCAGCGGGGTGCATGTCGTGCAACGTGGCCAAAACCACTCAGCTCTCGACTTGAGCGCTTCCCCATCTGCAGCCAGCCATCCTTGCTTGACATGGAAGCGTCAACAACAATCGACACGGGCCATGATGAATTATTGCACATGGTCCAACAAGCTTGCAGAGCTGCAGAGCTGCAGAGCTGCAGAGCTGCGGAACTGCGGCAACTGCGGAATTGCAGGAATGCTAGCTCTCAATGGCTGCTGGGTCTGCATCCATGGACATGGTCAATATCTCCGGTTCTTCACATCCAACAAGGCGCCTTGATGTCCCTTCAACGTTGAACCATGCTGCAGACTTTTTCTTTCCCTGTCGTCGCATCATGCCCATGGAGCTCTCTGCAATAGTACTCCAGACAGAGATGGGGGTACACGAGGCGAAGGGACCCTGTCGCCACAGGGGGCCTAATCATTGCCGAGCAGTACTCCCGGCACCCATCCCGAGTAAGTAGACACGCAGTCCGCTTCGTTTTTTTTAGATCAGTACGGAGTACGGCGTACCAGTCGAAACCATGCCGCCCGCCACAAGAGAGTCATGAGCACAGGGCAGCAGCGCAAAGGACAAGAGCCACCGACCAAAAGCAATACAAGGGGAAACAGGAGAGGAGGAGAAGAAGCAAAAAAAGAAGAAGAAAAAAGCCGCCAAGCCCGCTAGCCTCCGTGATTCGTGACAAGAAGAAACGTAGGATTGCATCAAGCACGGCATGAGTTGACGGGGCCAAGTAACATCAACCTGCCAGCCAGCCTTGGTTGGTTCCACCCTCGTTGTAAAATTGCTCACCGTGTCGTGTCATCCATGATCCCATCCATTCAGGATCCGGTTGAACCGCGAGGGGGCTGTTGCCCAGCAACCAAAGTCGCGACGCGTTGGTCAGGTGACGTGACCTCTGTGGCCGGCGGAGGGTACCACCCGGCACCCACCGCCTGGCGAGACGTGCCGCGGGGCCTCGGCCTCGTTTCGTCTCGTTTACAACCTTCCTCAAGTTTGATCGTGTCGCACGAGTACGCGCATACACGCTGATTTAGGTTTTCAGAGCCGACGTCTCAGAGAATGCCAGTTCGCCGCACAGCACGTGGTGCTCGTGAACGCCCGACGACCGTTTCTGCAGGGCGGACAAGAAACCTTGTCCCCTAGCCCTGTCCCGTATGCTCGATCCGGAGCATAGCCAGTTGCCAGGCCACGCAGGCAGCGTAGCGTGTCTTCTCCCTCAGGTTCCATCTACACTGCTACGGTTGGAGGCTTCGATTTGTACCCGTCGTCAGGGCTATGGATTCCCCTCGACCAGACAAACCAGGTGAATGACATAATGTTCATGTTGCTGCTCTGTTGTAATGCTACGCACGCAAATGCGTCGAATCTGCCCGGGCACGGCGCAGCGCACAATCGCTCACCACCCGCAGATGCAGGCGCTCGCCGTCAATGGGACCAAGAGCCTCGACAACGACGAAACCGCACACACCTCACCAACCGTCTAGCCCAGTCCCAAAATGTGCAGCAGCACGTCGACAGCCCATCCAAGCCCCTCGGACAAGTTGTCCCCCATCCACGCCGCCCAGACGACCAGCTCCAGCGTTCCCATGACAATCTTGACCGCCACCATCAGCAGGGCTAGTCACAGTTTCTTGATCCGGTTCCGAGCCACGCCCAGCTTATCATTCACCCTGTCTACGTCGCTGTCCAACGCTGCCAGCATCTCGGACTGCGCATCGACCTCGTTCTTGATCTGGATGCCCATTGCCTTTTGGCGCCGGATAATGTCGGCCAGTTTGTCGACGGCCTCGTCCTGGGCGGCCATTTCTCGCTTCTGCAGCTGGAGGACCCCCTCGTTGTCGAGCTCCCTCGTTTGCGCGGTTTCGGGCAGCGGTGCGCCGAGGACGCGGCCCGTCGCCGGGCGGGCGCTCCTGAAAGAGGTTGCTTTCTCGGCGGCAGCTGTGTTGACGGTGGGACTGCCACGGGGGTGGCTGCCCGACGACGACGCGATGAATAGGGTGGTGGACAGTTTCTCAAGGGCGTCGCGCTCCATTCGCGCGTTGGACACGAGGTCTCGGCGACGGCGGAGCTCGCCCTCGCCCAGCCTGTTGGATTCTTGGATTTTGCGGAGGCCATCCGATAAGCTGGTGACGGTGGTGCCGGCTTTGAGGAGCACCCTGCCTGCTGCTGCGCCCGCCTCTGCCGCCGCCTTGCTGTTGCCCGTGTCCGATGCCGCGTCTCTCCGTGACAGGCACTGCCTCGCCTCGTTCAGGTGCTGCTTCAACTCCCTGTACATGTCCAGCCATGTCTGGGGATCTGCCGCCCCCGTCGCCGCCGGCCTCACCATCCCCGCCGCCGACACTGCTGAGCTGGTGGTGCTGGCGCTGGGCAGGTTCAGAAACGCCCGCCAGGCGGAGGTGTCTCTCCATCGTCGGTCAGGCGTCTCCGCAATCGTCCGGAGATACTTCTCCAGAGCAATCTGTCGGTCCCTCGCGAGGTCAGGTGAGCGCACGGTAGATTTCAGCCAGTGCTTGCCCGGGAGGGGCTCCGGCGGCGGCACGCCGACTTGTTGGACGAGCGTGTTGTGAAGCTTTGCAAAGTCCGAGTAGCGCTTCTGGACGACAAACGACCGTAGGGGTAGCCGGAGTGTGATGTTGTACAGCGTGTACGGTTTGGAACCGACGTCTTCGGAGACACTGGTGGACGGGATGGCAATCTCTGGTGGCGGGGCCATGGCCGCCAATCTGTGTGTTTGTCGGGACTGCTCTCGCGGTGCAGGTCTATCCTATAATGTGCCGTAGACTCAAAAGAAAACGACTTGCGTGGCCTTGCCGTCGCCAAGTCCGGTTTCGAGACGGCAGGAAATGTTGATGGTTGATGTTCTTTCCCGGGTCTCGAGCTGCGTCACCCTTCCGATCGAGGGTATAAGTTGGATGAGTCGACGGAGAGGAATTGCGGGCTTGCAGTCCAGGTGCTCTACGTGAATTCAGAAAGAGGAGAGGGGAACGTCATCCGTGACCGGGCTCAAATCCCGCTGCCTGCAAGGGTATCGGTATGAAGACATGAAGCTGGGTGGACTTGAGCGAGCGGCGATGATGAAAGCAATTGCCTCAGGGTGGAGAAGCGCCATTAGCCTCTGGTGACTGATTGGCTAGCCAGCCGTCCGGGTGTGGCTGCTACCCCGTACTCCTACACATGCCAGCCACATCCGGTCAAACATTAGGATATGGACCAACCAAATTTGGCAGAATGGTCAGGTCGCTAAGCAGGAGTCAGGAGGAGAAAAAGGCCCTTCTGGCCCATGCCATTGCCAAACCAGGAGCCGGGAAATCACGACGCCGATTTCGTATTTACCGCACCCCATGTCACATCAAATAAACGCATTGTCCCACATAACGTTACTCCCCAGAGCTCATGGAGAACAATACTGTCGTCGTGTGCTCCGCCGTACCCCAACTCCAATCTCCGCTCATCAGTACCTGTCCAACATCATTCATTGCTTTGATCTATTTGGGCAGTCTGGTAACATCTTCCAGAGAAGGTAGGTAAACCGTAAATCCAGCCCCCTTCGTTGACTCATAATACCAGTCATCAAGCATCACCACCACGGCATAATCGCATCGCCATTCCCCCGTTTCATCTAAGTCCACAGCCCTGTATGTCACTCCTTCGCATGCTGACCTTGACCCCTCTTTTCAAACAACATGAGCCCGCATTATCTAGCGGCGCCTAGAATGTCTCCTGGTCGTCAAGCGGCTCGGCCTCTTCAGGAATTTCGAACCCTTCTTCCGTCGAGTACAAAATAAGCTGAAATTGCTTGACCAGTCCATCCTCTGCCTTGTCAAGCTCAGGGTCCTCCTCGACAGCCTGCTGAATTAGGAGCTCAATATCGCGAAGCTTGCTAAAGTAAAAGTCTCGCTCACGCTCCAGGCCCGCGACAGTTTCCTTGAGCGTGGCATTCTCTGCCTGTAGAGCAGCCATGTTATGGCCACCAGCAGCAGCGGTCCTAGCAACCCGGGGGGCAGCAGCGCCCCTCCGGGCAGCGCCAGTCGAGACGGGAGCTCTGCCCGCCGCAGAATTGCTACTGGGCAGAGCCCCTCCCTTTCTCCGCGCGACGGCATCGTAGTCGTGATCGGGGAATTTAAGGTCCCAGTACTTCTTGGCCCACTGCAGGAACTCCAAGTTATCCTGCATTTTGCACTTGGTAAGCGCCTCGACGGGAATCACCTTGTCAATTTGGTGTTTCATAAATGAGTCTGATGCAGGCCGTCAGCACGTGTAGTAGCAGAACGGATGCATATGAGCACTTTATGCGGGGTGACGCATTCGTATGGTGTTCATACTTTGCAAGATCTTAAAATTCTGCACATACGCCCATTCTCCATTGGCGTTGAATTTGACCCTGGACATAGGTATGTCCATATATATGCTGTCGAAAATCTGGCAAAATGCAGCACTATTCGCGTAAAAATCTTGGTCAGAACGTCTTCCGTTTTAATCTGCATCGTCTTCGGTCTGCCGGTATCGTCGTGCGCCTCCATGCCCTTGTTTGCATCATGCAGTGGGAGAGGGATAACATTGAGCCGTCAGACTCACCCAGTGCCGCATTGCTCGACCTTGGTTATGTTGAGCTGGAGAAGGCTGTTCAGCCACTGGATAAGTTCTTGTCTGAAAGCATTATACGATTAGTGAGCGGCTGCTCGTATGCAGCGGAATCGGGCGCGAACCGCTACCAACCTGGATTCAGACATGTCGACTGTCTGTTTGTGGACACGGGCTTGTTTGGCTGTGCGAGGATTCGGCGAATGAGCAAGTCCGGGAACTTGAGCAGCTCGGTCGCAACACGGAAGCCGCTGACAGGGGAAAGCAGCAGGTGTCGAGAAAGCGTAAACAATAAATAAATAGACGAACAAGATGCGGTTGTGCCAGGGGAGGCAATGCACAAGGCAGCGATAAGGGGACTTGGAGAAATAAATCGTTTACTAAAAGTTGTCAGTCTGGGACAGGCAAGCGTCGTCCAATCAACCGAGACTTGCTTGGGGGCGTTCACTGTGGGAACTTGGACCCCAGCACGCGAAAGAGTCGTGTTGGCGGTCGGGAAAACAACGGGTGTCTTTCCAGTACCTGTTGTTCCTGAAAGTGCTGCCCAACCAGGCAATTCCCACTCACCGCTAAAATTTTTCGAAAGCTCAAACCCGGCAGAAAATCCTTGGGCGAGCTACCTGCGGTTCTACGACCCTAGGACCGGCCGACAGGGGAGTTTTTGCTTCCCGCCAGAGGTAAAAAAGTGCCAGAGTTGGTTGAGAACTGGGTTCTAAACAATCAGGATCCTCCCAAATTATATCACTGTATAGGAGGCTCCGGTGACATAAAAATGGCGCCGCAGAAACGAAAACCAATCGACGATGCTTTTATCACGACGCTTTCCGACAACGACGAAGATCTTTGCCAAGAAGAACTGCCAGTGCTTCCAGCCAAGAAGAAGACCAAAACCAGCAAAAATTCGAAAAAGCACAGTAAAGTCGACGAGGCATCTGATGAAGACAAACCTCAGGGTATCTGGGGCCCTAAGGATGATGACGATGGCGCCATGGACTCTGACTTTGAGTTTGTCGCAGATGATGCGGGGGAGTTTGGCGATGAAGAATTCGAAGGCTGGGGATTCGAAGGGGCTAAGAAGAAAATGACTGAGAAGAAGGGTGTTGATCTGGAAGAGATCATTCGCCGACGAAGAGAGAAGAAAACTGGAAAGACCGATAAGTCTTTGGAAAGCGCTGATGAAGCGGTCGAGGCTGAGAACAACCTGGACATGACCCTGGATGATGGTGATGATGAAGTGCTTGCCGATGATGCCTTCGGAATGAATGTCGACTCTGAGACTGAAGAGCAGGAGGAAGAAGCAGAAGCAGATGACGGAAAAGACACGGATGCCTCGGACAAGGCTGATGCCAATGACGATGACCACGACGACGAGCCCGCTTCCGACAATGACTCCGTGGCTACACCAGAGGCTCACCCCGACGATGCGGCTTCTGACGCCAGCGACGGTGAGGAAGATGCCGAGGAGGAAGCGAAACGGGCCGCCTTCTTTGCCCCCGAGGAGGGACACAAGTCGGGCAAGACAATAGACCTTTCTTCGTTCCAAGGCATGTCGTTATCTCGACCTATCCTGCGTGGCCTGGCCGCCGTTGGCTTCACCAAGCCCACGCCTATCCAAGCCAAGACTATTCCTATTGCTCTCATGGGAAAGGATCTTGTTGGTGGAGCCGTGACTGGTTCTGGCAAAACTGGTGCCTTTTTCGTTCCCATCCTAGAACGACTACTGTTTCGCCCTAAAAAGATCCCGACCACTCGCGTCGTTGTTCTCACGCCGACCCGTGAATTGGCCATGCAGTGTTGCGATGTGGGCACAAAGCTGGCTCGCTATACTGATATCAAGTTTTCCTTGGCTGTCGGCGGTCTCAGCCTAAAGGCACAGGAGGTCGAGCTTCGTCTACGGCCTGATGTCATTGTTGCCACGCCGGGTAGATTTATTGACCACATGAGGAACTCGGCCAGTTTCAACGTCGACACTGTCGAGATCTTGGTTCTTGATGAAGCCGATCGCATGCTGGAGGATGGATTCGCAGACGAACTCAATGAAATTCTCACGACATTGCCCAAATCAAGACAGACCATGCTGTTTTCGGCCACCATGACCTCAACCGTGGATCGTCTGATTCGAGTTGGACTGACCAAGCCTGTGCGGCTCATGGTTGATTCACAAAAGAGGACTGTGACCACATTGGTACAAGAGTTTGTTCGACTACGACCAGGGAGAGAAGACAAGCGGATGGGATATCTTGTACATCTTTGCAAGGCATTTTATCAGGAGAGGGTTATTATTTTCTTCCGTCAGAAGAAGGAAGCTCACAGGGCGCGCATTATTTTCGGCTTGCTAGGCCTATCGTGTGCCGAATTACACGGTAGCATGAACCAGTCACAGGTTAGTAGAAGCCACTTTCAAGCGCACATGGTCAAGGTACTGAACTGCTCCTCTACAGCGTATTTCCAGCGTTGAAGCATTCAGAGACGGCAAAGTTTCGTATCTACTGGCCACAGATCTTGCTTCGCGTGGTCTGGATATCAAAGGCGTCGACACAGTTATCAACTACGAAGCACCTCAGTCCCTCGAAATTTACGTTCATCGTGTCGGCCGCACGGCTCGCGCGGGGCGGAAGGGCACAGCGGTGACTCTGGCGGCCGAGGGCGACCGCAAGGTTGTCAAGGCTGCCGTCAAGGCTGGAAGGACACAAGGTGCAAAGATTACGAGCAGAGTCATTGCCCCCGCAGATGCAGATAAGCTGCAAGAAGAAATTGACGGCATGGAGGATGAAATTAACGAAATCATCCAGGAAGAAAAGGAGGAGAGGCAACTGGCACAAGCAGAGATGCAAGTAAAGAAGGGCGAAAATTTGATTGAGCACGAGGCGGAGATCAAGTCAAGACCGAAGAGGACTTGGTTTGAGACGCAGCACGACAAGAAGAAGGCTAAGCAAGCCGGCAAGGACGAACTCAATGGCTTGCGTGAGTCGCTGAAGAAGAAAGGCAGCGGAAAGTTGAGCAACAAGGACAAGAAGACGCTTGACGCTAAAGCCATGCGATCGGGGGGGAGGTTATGGAAGAAGGGCAAAGGGGACGCGGAGGCGCACAAGGGCAAGGGCCCGGGGAAGGCGAAGGGAAAGGCAAAGGGTAGAACCAAAGGCAAGCGGTAGCGTAGAGAAGTGGACTTGGACGTGAAGACGAACATGGCATTGCATGTATGGAGTACTCCGTACTGTGTGGATTGACACGACGATGTAACCCTGTGCGCAGATGAAGTTGGGCGTGATAATTACCGACCTAGGTCTAAGTTCCGAGTACGGAGTACGGACTCCGGGTAGACAGACAAGTCGACATTGGTAGATTACAGATTACATCAGCGCCTCAGCCACACAGACGGAAACAGTGGCGCGGTGGGCCAGTGGCACATGTGCTCGAGCGGAGAAGCCACTTGACGCTCTCACGTCTCACCCAGCAAATGCAGTCACGAGCTTGAGCTCTCCGCTGTCCTTGGCCAGCTTCCGCCACGTCGCATCAGCAGCATCGCTCCGTTCATCCAGTTCTCGTACGCTGTGCTCCGAGGACCCAGTCGGCTGGACCAGACCACGCACCGCACCAAGCCGCCGTGCCGTGACCACGGGCACCGCATCCTGACGCGGCCGATCAGGTGCTCCCATCACCATCCACCGCCTCTTGTTCCATATTATCGTCGTCGTCGAGGACGGACATGCATGTGCCCCAACTTGAGCATTCGACCCCTCTTCGCCACTCGGCCAACAGGACGGACGGCTTGTATAAATAAAGCTCTTGGACTCTGTGCCACCAGGTTCTGGGTTCTGTCAACCGGCCGGATACCAATTCCAGGGGCGCAAATCATCTTAGGACCAACCGCTGACTCATAGTTGTGTGAACTTGTGGCAAACTGGCGCCGTCACGGTTCCCGTTCTTTGGTCGTCTTCGCCCGCATCCCAGGCATAAGCAGAGCCTTCTTCGATATCTGTCTCCCCAGGCTGTCCGAGATCGGTACCGCCAACGCTTGCTCGACTTCCACCTCGACACGCTCCCGCTCGTCAAGCTCAGGCTTCAGTCCCGTATTTACCGTTACTTGGTCCGTCGCCAAAGTAAACGCGCCGACAAGCCTCGCATTTTGGACTTGGTTGCGAGACATATTCGGAGGATTCTGCTTGGTGCTCGAGATCTCCCCCGTCCCGCCCCTCGCGCTACTGGCTTTGCAAGCAGTCCGCGAAGACGACTGCGGCCGCCATTCAAACATGTCGAGGCGATCACGCCGAAAGCCTTGAACTCAAGCAAGATGCCTACCTTTGCGGGACTGACGGCCAACGGGTATGGCCTCGGCCCAAGTGACGCATCGCGGGATGTTGGGGAGAGAGGGGAAAGAGGTTACAGGCGAAGGAAGCTCGCGGCCATGGCAGGAAACCTTTACCGCAGCGGACAGCAAGCCGTCACGGAACTTCGGGACTCGTATGCGCAATCCAGAGGCAGAGGCGCTGTCGACGACTTTGCCATGGACCAGAGCACACATATTCCCGGCGCATTCCCGGATGTTGCCATTGCCTCTCAGGGAAACGAACAGATGGTGTTGTTTCCCTCCTACGCAAAGAGACACACCAAGGGAGACTGGACACGAATGCCGCGAAATCAGCCTTTGGATCAGCCAGAAATACGAGATGAAGAGTGGTGGCGCCAAGAGTGGGAGAAGCACGAGGACGAGAAGGCGGTTGTCGACGTCGACGTCAGAGGCTGGATATACTCACCTCATGTTGGGCCCATGACGAGGAGGAATCGTATTCTTATCGGTTTGGCACGCCAGCTGAGTGGCATCTCGGCCCCCAAGGTGGAGCAAGCTTACGGATCGGCCAGCGGCGAGGTCAAGACTCAGCACCAGATACAAGACGAGATTCGCGACGAGGAAAAAATTGCTCGGGAGGCGGCCATGATCGAGAAGCGCGGACAGGAGGAGAAGCAAGTCGCGTATGCCGGTGGCTACAGCGAGATCCCACAAGATCCCAACTCACTAGGCGTTGAACCGGCTTCTGGTCTTGGACGACGTGGCAACTACACTCCTGATTCTGCGCCATCAAGCCCCATCATGCCGGCTCGACAGCCATCTAGTCTCGGCGAGCTCACTGACGCCGAGTTGGCCGTCGCAAACGCCAATCTGATGGCCCGCGTGGCTCCGTTCCTGACGAACCCTCTGGTAGCCATGCCCATCACCATTTTCTTCTACAACGAGACCAAGTCCCAATCGAAGACCATCTCGACGGATGACGCCGGCCACTTCAACATTCGCGCAGCGCTCGAGTTCATCCCCACGCATGTCAGAGTGCTCGCAAACGAGAAGCTGTCAACCACGCAACAGGTCAACATCACGGAATCGGCAGGTGTTAGTTTGATTAGCGACATTGACGATACGATTAAACGGTCCAACATCTCTGGCGGCACCCGGGAGATTTTTCGCAACACGTTCGTGCGAGACCTTGGCGACATGACCATCGAGGGGGTCCGGGAGTGGTACGCATACATGCACGAGCTGGGGGTGAGCATGCACTACTGCTCCAACAGCCCATGGCAGTTGTTTCCCGTCTTGGCCAGTTTCTTCAAGGTTGCCGGCCTGCCCCCGGGATCCCTCCACCTGAAGCAGTACAGTGGGATGCTCCAGGGAATATTTGAACCGGTTGCAGAGCGCAAGAAGTCAACACTGAATCGACTTGTCAAGGACTTCCCCCATCGAAAGTTCCTTTTGGTTGGCGACAGCGGCGAGGCGGATCTGGAAGTATATACAGACCTGGCTTTGGCCAACCCGGGCCGTGTTCTGGCCATATTCATCCGAGACGTGACCACGCCAGAGGCAGCCGGATACTTTGATGCCGCGTTTGACTTGAGCCGTAGGAAAATGTCGAGCATGGCGCTGGACGACGGTAGGACAGGAAGCATCAAGTCGGCAAGTCGGCAGAATTCAGCGCCCGGTACCGTGGGCGAATCAAGGGCAGCCTCGGGACCTGTTATGGGAACGCTGATTGACTTTTCTGAGGAGCCAGAGGAGGCGAAGCTGGATGAGGCCGCGGCGCTTGCGCAAGTGAAGATGGACAACTGGGCCGGGGGGCTGACGGCGGCTGGTACGGCCGCGCTCGCTGCCGGACGAAAGCCGGCGCCTCCTCGACCAGCAAAGCCCGCTGCGTTACGAAGCGCGCCAGCGCAAGCCAACGTGTCGAGCGTCACGGCCAAGGCTGATATCCCGCCGCCCAAACCAAAGCGGCCGCCGGGCCTGGGAGGCGCCGGCCTCCCGCCTCTCACGACGATAGCAAGCGCAGGCCAAGACGATGGTGGCCAGACCAGCGACAGCTCGTCAGCACCCGGGTCGCCGAAGCAGGACCCCGCCGCTCCTCGGCTGCCCAGACGTCCATCTGGGCTCAAGGGTCTCAGCCCTCGTCTTTTCGGCAGAGGGGCGCCATCCTCCAATGCAGACGTCGACTTTGAGCCCTTGCCGCCGCCTGCTGCTGCGCCGCCGCCGCCCTCGTTTGGATTCAGCTACTACCGATCAGGGTCGCGGTCGGGATCGACAACGCCATCTGGCTCGCCCACGCTGGGCGCCCAAGGCGTGAACAAGAAGCTCGAGCTGTGGAGGAGAAGACTGGCACGCGCCCACGAGCAGCTGGATAGCCATGGCGTCGCGCTGTATACGTGGCGCACGGGTCACGACGTCGTTGACGAGGCAGTGGGGATAGTCAAGTCGGCGCAGGAGGAGGACACGAAGACGATGCAGAGGGGCTGAGTGAGGAAACGTGTACGACGGGAACTGCGCTTTGGCTAGCATAGCGTTGATATTTTTTTAATCTCTCTACCTTTTGATAGACGGTGGCTCGGCAGATTCGGTGAAGGTGGCTTGCTGGGGAGCTTTAGGAATCATGCCACAGACTACTATCATCGAGGGTGGTCACGTCAGTGGGCTCCGTGGGACGTTGGCGATATTGTCTTGACGAGGTGATGTGTGAAGTCGGTGGCACCGGCATCTAGAGCCACTGCCGCGACGACACGACGCGCCGCCGTTTCGATACCAAGACTCCAAACCAAGCACTGGGTCAGCAGCCACCGCGTACACGGGTGGCGAGGGAACGCGGCCCTCTGTCCACCCGCAAAGCACTAGGCGACTCGTTTCGCAGTCTTGCTCCCGTTCAAGACGTGATACACGGGCAGGAGCACGACGGCGCCCACGACGCACAGGGCCGTGCTGAACAACTGCCACAACAGGCAGAGCCAGGGTCCGACGCGGGGCACGAGGAACTGCGCGCAGTCGTTTGTCTGGTACAGGTCCTCCTGGGAGGAGATGTAATACCTGGCGCGCTCCTGGCCGGGGCCGGAGAGGGCGGCGCGGGAGGCGGGCGACGGGGAGCGCTGCTTCCGGAGGGCCAGGACGGTGAGGAGGCGCACGCGCGCCGCGTACAGGGGGACGAACCAGATGGCAAAGGTCTGGCGGATGCTGACGTAGAGCGTGTCGGTATGGGGGTCGAGCACCGCCGAGTCGACGGTGATGTCGATGTCGGGGCTGAGGGTGCGGTACCAGCGGTAGATGCACAGGATGAGCCAGCGGGAGTTTGTCTCGCGGGCCAGGGGGACGGCGCCCTTGTGGAAGGACGGCACGCGGCAGAAGGGGTGGGAGAAGGACGCGTCGGGGAGGAAGTACTCGGCGAGGGTGTCTTGCTGCTGCTGAGGGGAGCCGGTGGTGAGGGTGGTGATGACGGAGGCGATCTCGGCGACTGGGGAGCTGGCATTAGCGGCGGCTCTGGCTCTGGCTCTGGCTCTGGCTCTGGCTCTGGCTCTGGGAGACGGGCGCGGCGCTCTGTGGGCGCGGGGCGGTCGGTACCTGGATGTTCCATCTTGGAGGCGATCTGGTGCTGTTGAGGATGCGAGTGCGTTCTGGTGGTGGTGGTGGTGATGCTGCGACTGGGCCGAGTTGGCGACGGCCGGGCAGCGACACGTCGAACGGCTCCGACGGGACGGAGGGACGGATGGCGTCGTAACGGCAGTAAGACGGTCTTGATTCCCTTTTTCTTCTCCTCTCTTCCCCTTCTTCTTTGGTCTTTTGCGGGGGACTGGCCGCAACCGTAAACTCCCGAGCACGCGTCGACGTCACCGCGGGCTGCTGTCGGTGATCAGCCTCCGCGTCTCCACGACGTCTTTGGCTCTCGACCCATCATCACAAGCCACCTCCGTTTTGGCTGTCGAGCGTTGAAATGTCGCCGTGGCGGGCCGACGGCCGTGTCTGGCTCCCGCGAGGAGCTCCGGAAAAGCATGTGAAAATGGTGTCATTTTGACGTCACCATCCTGTCACCCTCGACGCCAATTGCGGCCCGTGGCTTTCTCCGCACCCCAAGCACGAACCAGGAACCGAGCAGACGTGCTTTGGTGTTTCTGAGCAGCCTCCCTCGCGGCCGACATAACACAAGACATTCTCAACACGGCCAACATTTCGAGACTCGACCTCGACTGCAAAAGCCCATCATGACGGCCAGGTCGCAGCGTGCCAACCCGCTGCTCAACCCGCTCCTCTTTCTCTACCAGCTCATCCAATGGACCATCAACTACGCCCTCTCGCCCAGCCCGCCCAAGTCGGAGGCCGAGCTGTCGAGGCCCAAGATTGCCGTTGTGGGAGCGGGCATCACGGGCATCACGGCCGCTGCCCACTGCGTCGGCCACGGCTTCGACGTGACCATCTTCGAGGCCGGGCCCAAGGAGCAACTGGGTGGAATTTGGAGCGTGTGTTTCTGTCCCCTTCCTTTCCATCCTCACCGACGACGTCGAGCCTGTGGCTGACCTCGCCGGCGGCAGAGAGTCAACGACACGTCCGCCCTTCAAATCCACTCCGTCATGTATAGATTCCACCCTTCGGTCAAGTGGGAGCGCGGGTACCCCGACCGTGAGCAGATCCTGCAGCAAGCCACGCAGCTCTGGAAGCGATACAACCTCCAGGGCAAGACCAGGTTCGACTTCAGCGTTCGCAAGGCCTACCGGGACGACCGCGCCCGCTGGATCATCAACGACCCGTCCAACGGCCGCTTCGACGGCCTGGTCGCCGCCGTCGGGACCTGCGGCGACGTCAAGATGCCGAACCTGCCCGGCCTGGACTCGTTCCGCGGCGAGGTCTACCACTCTAGCCAGCTGGGCGGGAAAGACGTAAAGGGAAAGAGGCTCGTCGTCGTCGGAGGCGGCGCGTCGGCCGTCGAGGCGCTCGAGTTCGCAGCCAGGGCCGACGCCGCCAGCATCTCCATCCTCTCGCGGTCCGAGAAGTGGATCATCCCGCGAAACATTGTCGTCGACACCCTCCTGTCCTTCAACATCTTTGGCCAGGAGACCTTCCTCTCCTTCATCCCCGAGTTCCTCCTGCGCAGGCTCTTCTACCGCGACCTCGAGGACATTGCGCCCCCGCGCGACAAGGGCCTGTTCATGGACACGCCCATGGTCAACTCGGACATTATGCACAAGCTGCGCGACGGCAGTGCCGCCTGGATCCGCGGCGACATCGACGCCGTCGTCGACAGGGGCGTCCGCGTGAACCGCCGCGCGAGGGGGGTCCCCAAGGGCGGCCCGGGCCACCTCGAGGTCGTCGACGCCGACGTCATCGTCATGGCCACCGGCTTCAAGCGACCCTCGCTGTCCTTCCTCCCGGACGACTGCTTCGCCGACCCCTACCAGCCGCCCCACTGGTACCTCCAGACCTTTCCGCCCGCCCATCCCTCCGTCTCGGCCATCAACTGCACCTACGTCTCGGCCATTGGGTCCGTCGGCAACTGGCACATTGGCATCTACACCCGCATCCTGCTCATGTTCCTCGTCGACCCGCTGACCCGGCCCAGCCCCTTTTGGATGCGCCGCTGGATCGACATGACGCGCCTGCTCAAGAGGTCCAGCCCTACCGGAGCCTTTGACTTCTTCACCTACCTCGAGCTGGTGTGGTGGTTCGTCTTTTGCGTCACCATCAATCCGTTCCGCTGGAAGTGGGCCGTCTTTGTCTTTCTCGGCATCGGCATCGACTTGCCCAAGGCCTTTGTCGAGCGGGAGAAGAAGTTCTTGAATGGCGTCAGGGGATATGAAAACAGAGATGCCGGCAGTAGCTTGTGAGGAAGTGCGGCGGAGTAATGGTGGCGCCAGCAGGACGACACGGTGTAGTGTGCCGGGGGGATTCTGGAAAACGGGTCTTGGTGGCATTCTTATTTGTTTGTCTTGTTCCGGGCATTACTAGTTTGGGACATGGGGACCTTTTGGATCAGGTTGTCTCTCAAAAATGGGGAATCCATGCCAGGGCATCTCCACATGATGTGTTGAACACGGCATGCAGCTATATTCCGTACGTGGAACTCGTCGAACAAAGCGTAGCAGCATCCTGAACTCTGTGATTTCCCTGCCAGGGGCTATAAAAGAAAGAAAAAAAGGGAGGAAAAAAAGAGAGGAAGAGAGAGAAGCCTACAGCTTCAGCTTCTTGTCAGAGTTTCCAAACTCAAAACGTGCCCCTTGGCCGTCTGTCTGCCAGTACTCAAAGTTGTCCTCCCTGTCCACTCTCGTAGATCCTTGGCAAAACACTCTGTAAGCTCTCTTCTTCTCTTCAGCAAACATGTCTTTTGCCCAGTCGTCCCTGGCTCGCACTCACCTGCGAATTTTGCACGGAATAACGAGCCGCTCCTTGTCCGCCTCCACACTCGTCAGGGACAGGGCCAGCCTGTTCTGCTTCGCACTCTTTGCGTAATCAGTACGACAGCTTCATGCTCATCGGCGTGGAAGAACTGCGTTGCGGAGAGCCGTCCGACGCAGCAAGGTTGACCTTGTCTCCTCCCCCCGACGGCCATCGAGTGGTTGAGGATACGACAAGGCTGCCCCCCTCGGATGGCTGCCGACAACTGTTCCCTGTGGAGTAGCACTTGGCACGGCCGCGGCCCTCTTCAGCGACGTCACCGATGGTTCATGCCGAAAACTCGCTGCTGCGGTCTGTGGTTGTTGGCGGCCGCAGCCCAAGTCAATGCAGGGTGATGCATCCCGTGGTCAAGCAGACAGAGTACAGGGTTGGAATGACCAGATCGGCAGGCCAGCCGCAACACCGTCTCGTCGCCCAGCAGCCGAGCGTCGATGTCTACAAGGACTGAATACCTATACCTGCCTAAGTAGGCATTGAGCGATTGCGCGTGCCCTTGGGGCCGGGTCCTGGAGAAACTGTTGAGAACATGCACCAGAGGCCTTCTAACCCTCAGCCCGGCTGCTGATGGCTTCCCCGAGTACGTGGTCAGCTGCGAGGTTCCCAAGGTTTCGTGGAGAAGTGGATGGCGGGTTGACTAACGCCTACCGAGAAGCGGCGAGAATACGTCTCGAGGGTGGCGTTGGGCGACTGGAGACCGGAGCGTTCATGAAAGTTTGAATCTGAAGGTTGTTCCAGACGACCGTGGCGTTTGCTTACGGCAGCAGAATTTCCCCACATCCGACGTCGTTCAAGCTAGTGTCCTGTTGGCAAGTCGGCGAGGCCGCGGGTACCTCGGCACCCGGTGTGTGTGGCGGAGTACGGAGTAACATACTTGGACATGCCAAGCAGCTACTCCAGTCCGTGGTTTGAGCGGTAAACGGAAAGTTTCTCTCAGCAATGTACTCCGTAACCACTCAAGTAGCCAGACATGACGAGTCATTAGTTGATCGATGCGCAGCGAGGTGCAGCTGCTGGTTTGCTGTGTGCTGCGTGCTGCGACGTTTGGCAGGGACTTGGGAGACCCACATCAAAGCATCTGGTCCAAGTTGATGTGTAGTGGGATTTTCACAATTCATTTCATTTCGCCTTGTTGGGCTGCTAGCTGCACGTGGCGTCACTGAAGGACTGGTGACATGTTCTCACTGAATCCATCCCTGATGCGACCGACCGCCCGTCCGCGTCCCTCTCTCCGGCCCCTTGAATTGCCGAACCCCTTCGCTGGGCCCCCTTCGCTAGGCTGAGCCTTTGTCGACCACCGCCACTCGGCCACTCCTGTTTTAAGCCTGGTCGCAAAACCTTGCCAGACCATCCTCCGTGCATTGACGATACCGGCTCGATTCCATTCAACCCAACTCATCTTCCAGCCTTCTCCTGCCCACCTGCTCATCTCCTCCAGCTGGCTGCCATTTCTTCTCTCATTCTGCCACCATCCGTTCTTGCCTTTGCCGTCGGCCCTCATTGCGCAGACACCGTCATTCCATCCCCTTTGAATTTCGAAGCCTCGTCTCGTCGGCACCACCACCACCACCATCCTATCGGCCTTATCGATCACGCTTCGACCTCTCTCGCTGACTCGGTTCTCGTTCGAACCCACATCTCCGATGCAGCTCATGACGCTGGCTTAAAACAAACCATCGCGGGCCGTCCCCCCTCCATTGTCTTGCCCGTCGAATGTGCCTCACCTCATTCCAGCCTCGCTTCCACGTCTCTTCTCTCGCTCCTCCCAACCGCTTTCCCGCACCACGCCGCAGTTTCGCTCCTGACGCCACCAAGACGGAAATTCCCCCCAATTTTCAACACAAACGCTATATGGTCGTCGTTATTCTCTCATCACTGCCGTCGGTGTATGATTAGGTGTGGACGCTGACTGCGCCCGCCCACCTCCTCCTGGTCTGGTCTGGTTGCTCCTCGTCTCTCCACTAAAGAGAGAACCTCTCCTTTCCGTTCGTTGATTTTGCATTGGCGTTCTGAGCGGACTGCTTTGCCCAAGGAACTGTTCTTGCCTTTCTTTATTTTTGGACATTACTTTCCCCATTCAGTGTCGAGGTTCGTATGCCCTTTGCTATTCGACCGACCACTCTCCTTTCCTCCACGCTACCTGCCTCTGATCATCATATGATCGGTTGACTGCCTTCAGAGACCTCGCGCCCTGACCCCCGATGGCCTGGCATCGATTCGGAGTTTGTACAGAAATGGAGGCGCTGACACTGCTCTTATTCGTAGCCTTTGCGAAATTTACTGATTAGCCTCCCCTGGCTGCCGGCACCCGTCTTTCCCTCCGGCAACGGCGGCGGGACCAGCTGCGCCGACGATACTGACAACATGGCCAGACAGTCGATTCCAGTCATGGAATGGGCCCAAGCCCACCACGGCGTTGCGTTCGACGACGACTACGAGCCACGCTACACTGCGCCTCTCCGCCGTGGAGGGTCCGACCAGCGATTTCGAAGTCTAAGTATGTCACTGCCATGGAAGCGGCCCAAGCATTCGCTCTTCAGCCACGATGACGCCCGCGACCCAGCGCAACCCGTGAACGACGCTGCCATTGACGACTCGCATGATGGACCTGAACATCTTCATGGGCCGGCCCATGTTAACCACAGACGGGCTTCAGGGAGCTTCAAGGGCATGATTCGCCGTGCGTCCGTGTCTTTGAAAGGCATCATGCTTCGTCGGCCGTCTATTGCCGCAGCAGATGTAATTTACGAACAAGGCGCTTCAAATGAACGGGCCACGACGTCCCACGGTCCTCGGAACCGTCTGGTTCAAGCGGCCGGCTCGCGTCATGCTCGCCCTTTCTACGAGTTGGACATGTATCGTGATCAAAACAAGCACATTCTTGTTCCTGGCGTAGGGGACGAGCCACCCATCATTCCCCGTCACACGGGAGCGGCGGCCAAGGCCTCGGCGGCCATGCAAAATGAGTATTTTGCCCGGCAACGGTGGCTCAATCCCTCTAGCGATGATGGGATTGACCGCGAGAGTGGCATCAGTATCGTAGTGACCAGCCCATCCTTGGATCTCGACAATGTTGACCAGGACAGCGTTTTGGAACAGGATTCTCGCATTAGTCGTATTGATTTCATTTCTGAGCTGCCCCCAGAGCTTGCTATTCACATCTTGGCCTGCTTGGATGCTTCGGCCCTGGCCAAAGCGAGTGCCGTGTCTCGTCAGTGGCACTGCACCGTTTCAAACCAGCACATTTGGCGTGAGTCGTGCCTCAGAGAAACAACCGGCACTTACGCGACCAGCCGTCCGGTCCAACCCGGCGCTGGCATGGGTGTACCCAAGATTCACCCAGCAAATGACTGGAAGAAGATCTACAAGGTCAAGCTTGAGCTGAACCAGCGATGGAGAGAGGGCAAGGCCCGGCCGGTATACTTGAGTGGGCACACGGATAGTATCTACTGCCTGCAATTTGATGAGTGCGTTCGCCCAACTCGTCCCCTGCCTGCCTCAAGAGGCGACAGGTTTGCTGACTGGATAACAGATTCAAGATCGTGTCGGGCTCTCGCGACAAAACCATCCGGGTCTGGGACATGCACACCATGGAGTGTAAGCTGGTTATTGGACCCCCCGAAGTCGTCAACGGCCCCCATTTGCTTGTGGACGAAGAAGGCAACCCGCGGCACTATGCGGCCGGGTCGGACAATGAGCAGACCGCCTTGTCACTGCCAGACACGGTGTCCTTCGCCGAGCACCACCAGGCCTCGATCTTGTGTTTGCAGTATGACGATGAGATCCTGGTGACGGGCTCATCAGACTCCACATGCATTGTATACGATGTCAAGGCCGGTTACCGACCGATCCGACGGCTTCGACACCACACGGCTGCTGTCTTGGACCTGGCCTTTGACAAGAAGCACATTGTGACGTGCAGCAAAGACATCAGCATCTGTGTTTGGGACAGAGAAACCGGTGTCTTGCTTCGACAGCTTCGAGGTCACACTGGGCCTGTCAACGCGGTCCAGATGCGCGGCAACACGATTGTTTCCTGCTCCGGGGACTTTCGCGTGAAGCTGTGGAACATTGACACCGGCAAGAACATTCGCGAATTCGTCGGCCATACCAAGGGCCTGGCTTGCTCGCAGTTCTCCGAGGACGGCAGATTTGTCGCGTCCGCCGGAAACGACAAGGTGATTCGCATCTGGGATGCCAACACGGGCGAGTGTGTTCGCGAAATGAAGGCGCACGAAAACCTGGTGCGTAGCTTGCACATAGACAGCGTGAGCGGGCGACTGGTCAGCGGCAGCTACGACACCGACATCAAGGTGTGGGACATGGAAACGGGCAACCAGCTCCTCGACTTCCCACGGTGGCATTCCAGCTGGGTTCTCAGCGCGAAGAGCGACTACCGCCGAATCGTCAGCACTGGCCAAGATCCCAAGATTCTCATCATGGACTTTGGCGCCGAAGTCGATGGCATCGAGCAGCTGGAAACGGGCGTTGCACAGGCCACCGGCGATAAGCCTTGATCCATCTGGCCTCGTGACGGTCGAACAGGGGGGAAATAAACCGATTCAAAGGGCGGTGTTTCGGCGCATTAGGTGTGTGTGGTACAGGGCACAGATGCGAAGGGCTCGTCGGCACGCGCTCCCGCAGCGAAACGGGCCGCGCATGCCACATGAAGCTTCTGTCTCGAGGTTAATGACACGACAGAGCTCGGGCGTGTTTGTCATGTTGTCATTTGAAGTCACATGATGGCGTTTGGGGCATCAATAACGCATACATTGGCGAGATGGGCTCGCACCGAAGCCGATGGCATTGGCTGTGGCTTCGTTTCCTTTCTAGACATCATCTTGGACATGGGGGAGTTTTTGCCTTTCTTTTTTCTTTTTTTTGGGTTTTAATTTTGATGGCCTTTAGCATAGACTCGGGTTAGCGGCTCAGACCGTGGTCATGTAGATTTGGTCCATGACCTAATAGACTATAGTGCGTGCATAAGCGGCCCTGTAACAGTCGAGTCTGTGAAACAGTACACAGGGGCGAGACTCCCCGGATTGAGATGCTACATTGGGTTCCGTGAGGTGGGCGATGCTCTTTTCTCTCACTTCCTTTTTCCTCATATTTTTTCTGGTTCCCTGCCTTTTACTTTTCCAGGCCACGCATGTTGCCGCGCAGGTGACGGATGGGGCTCGCGTGGCTTGCGGTGGTGGTTTCCGTTGCACATGATTTTGGCAGGCATGAATGTGGAGGCAGATTTTCCACAGATGACACGTCTCTTTCCGTCTGGTGGGGAGGGCCGGGGGGCGTGATGGGCGCCGGACAGGAGCGTATAGTGTATGTATGGGGCGGCGAGCGGGCGGGCTACTACGCACTACAATGTAGACCGCTCGAGTGCGTAGGAGCGCAGAACTCGAGACGGAGCACATTGTGTGAGTTTCCACGGCAATAGCCATGCTACTCGAGTACTACGTAAGTTATGCTGTTCCGGTGGCGGGACAAATGCGCGCATGCCAAGCGAGGGTTTGGCCCCGCGGTGCAGACCAGGTCACAGGGCCTGGGTTGAGCCAATCAAAGATGCCTTGCCCAGAAGGAGCGCGTCTTCACCTGCGCATCTGACATCTGCGGCCTGCCTCGTACCACAGGTTCATGGTACGCCCGCCGAAGCGCCTAGGGTCCGGTCCGGTGGTCTTGTGGCATTTCTCCCCCGGCGACAAGTGTGCTGCTCTGCTCCGTACGCCCGCGCAAATGCAATTTTTAATCTCTGGTCAAGATGGAGAGAGCAAGAGCGCCCCGGGTCGCTCGTGGGTAAATCTGCAAGGGTCCGCACCGCAGGTCGGTACGCATTACTCGAGTACGTACTAGATGGGACGATTGGCGACTGGCGACTGGCGGCGGCTTGACGGCCAGTCACAGGCTCGGGGGGGCGTTGCGTACTTGCGTTGCAGACTTGTTCCCATGGACCACGAACCGGGTGCGTGCATGGAGATGCGGGGAGCGCTTGGTTATCTGATTTACGTGTGGGTACGTCCTGCGTCCCGTACCAGACGGGGGCCGGGCAGATCCATGAGTTGCCTGCCCCTGCTACAGGCACGTACGTACGTACCTACTCAAGTACTCCGTAGTTACTTAGTTGAGCAAGTAAGCGCAAGTGGGTACCGGTAGCACCTAGCGCCGAACCCGGGTGCTTATTGCGGAGGTGGCCGGGCCGTCCAGCAGCTGGCTCTGGCAGGGAAACGCCTACGGGTAACGAACTGTTCCTACTCAAGTACACGGACGTGATGTCGAGTCTCTCAACACACCGTCACAGGGTGGGTGCGCCTCGGATTCGGACCGTCTCTCAGGAAGATGGGCCGTGGAATCGGACTGGCCACGATGCAGGCGTCGAGACGGGAAAATGGAAGTTACTGGCTGACCATTGTTCTTCTCGAGACCCGGACGAGGGTGCAGCCTGGGTGTGACGCACCGGTGGGGCCAGTTAGATTGCCGGCTTGATGGCTCAACCTTGTTCAATGCGCGGGCCACAGGGCAGGGCAGGCAGGGCAGGGAGGGCAGGGCAGCTCGACAAGGGAAAGAAGGGAGGAACCAGTTCGCCAGGCAATTTAATCGAGTGGGGGCGCGCAACGGCGACTGACTGGCTTAAAGCGTCTGGTGTCCGAAACATCTAGGGCGTTTCGAGCCTGGTCCATGGTCAATATTTCAAGTGTGCTTCAGTGGTTGTGAGTTTTCGTCGACCCTTTGCTAATTTGCGGAGCCGGGCTGCAGATGGTTGATGCCAAGGCCAAGGCCGAATGTCCGGCAATGGGGAAAAAAATCGCCAGCCATTTCCAGATTGTAGTTACCCTCCCGAGCAGCCAGGCGAGCCCCGCAAGACCCTTCGGCGTCGGCGCAGCCAATGGTGTCGCTCTGTGCCTGAAAATGCCACAGCGGTGCCTAGGAATGGAAGCCCCGCCCGCGCGCCCCATTTCCATGGTGGCAAGCCCCATCGGGCAACTCGCGCCAGACGTCTGATGGTATCTCGATTGTAGTTGCTAGTAACTACCTAGGTAACTTACGTAGTTGAATTGTGTGACGTGTGCAGCTCGGGCTGCTCTCCGACCTCCTGGCATTCGGCGAAACGATGCGAAACGGGAGCCAGCGCTCCCCATGTTTGTTTGTTGCCAGGGGTCCCGAGTAGGGGACTTCACTTTGCCAGCAAGCATTGCGTATTGCCTGCTCCTGCTCCTGCTTCTGCTCCTGCTCAGGAGTCGTGCCGGGCTTGCCTAGCGGCCTCGTGTGAATCCTCGGTAGCTCTTGATCCTGGCACCGTGGCAAGGTGGGCAGTTTGCCGATCGGAAATCATGAAAGAGCCCGCCGTTCGCGCCTTCCCTTGGATGTTCCTGTCCGCCGCCAGCGGATTTTGAAGCCTCATCGACTTTTTATTCTCGGGCCGCCGCCCAGCCCTTCTTTCTCTGCTCTGCACCTCTGTTTCCTCCTCCGCCAACGTCGGCACGCATTTCTCTCTCCCCCGAACCACATGGTCCTTGCTCTGCTTGCTTCAAGCAGTAAGTAGCTCCGTGTCGACACGTCCACGTCCACGCATACCGCCATACCGTCGGTACGTTTTCCGCGCTTGTCCCCAGCCACGGTCCTTGCGTCTTCAGACCTCTCCAAAGGCACCCCGGGTGGTTCCTGTCTTCTGCCCATCCTATCCTCCTTTCCTCTACCGCCCCCGCGCTTTGCTCTTCCCTCGAAGCCTGCACGATACGACACGGCGCGCCACGACACACAGCTTGGAAGCCATGAGCCATGCTGCATCAGGCCTTGGGGATTCCTTTCCCCTTGTGGCAGCCACAGAGACTGCCGCATCGTGACGGTAGTGTCGTGTCGTGTCGTGTCGTGTCGTGGCCCGCGGTCCCTCATCTGACCACTGCCGCGCTACGCACACCCCCCCCCCCCCCTGTCCAACGTGTCGGGCTGGAATAATCCGCCATGTGATGCACTCCAGTCCCGTGGTGCAAGGAGCTAGGCGCTCAGTAGAGCCTGCTCTAGTTTATCTGCATCCTCGCAAGCTGCATTTATGCCTGCCCTGGTGGGTAGGTGGTAGTGTGCAGCTCACCAGAGTGCTTCTCATGAAGCCAAGCGGCATGCTTTCCCTCGTCATCGTGTTTCAACTGCCTGAACAGACGTGTCCAGTTCCTGTGCCGTGAGCTGAACATGGCAACCCCCTATATTAGGACAGACATATCTGCACCCTAGTTCCCTCTGTCTGGTTGGGCCCCGCTTGACGATTCCTTCGTGTGTTCCGTTCAACTCAAAATCACATTTGCTACACAGGCCCGTTTCCCTGGTGTCTGACTCTTTCGGTGCCTCCCTCAAATACATGACTCGGGCTTCCGAGGTTCTTTTTCCTCATTTCGAGCCGTCTTCATTAATCCTCTTCACGACGACGACTGCCAGCTAACTGTGAAATTTCTCGCTTTCTGCAGCAACCTTGGATTGATTGTTAGACGCGCAATTCTTCCCTCCCGCCATCAACGGGAGGCTGTTTTTATTTCGTCATGGGACCGTCGACATTCGTCTCAGCGTTCTTCTTGACGCTCCAACTCGTTGCTTCGCCATCGCTTGCAGCTCCGTCACCTGATGTTGGCCAAGCTGCTGCCAATGCCACCGGCCTGAACTGGTGGATGGCAGACATCAGGCGGCAAGGGAGAGCGGCCTACGCTGCCCCAGACTACGTCGTATTTCGCAACGTCAAGGACTACGGTGCCAAGGGCGACGGGAGCACTGATGACACTGAGGCCATCAACCGGGCCATCTCCGATGGGAACCGCTGTGGTAAGGGGTGCGATTCCAGCACCACAACTCCGGCTCTCGTCTATTTCCCTCCCGGTACCTACTCTGTGTCAAGGCCCATCGTCCAGTACTACTACACTCAGCTGGTCGGTGATTTTGTTGGCATGCCCACTCTCAGGGCTACCCCCGACTTCAAGGGCATAGCTGTCATCGACTCGAATCCCTACGTCGACGGCGGCAAGAACTGGCATACCAACCAGAATAACTTCTTTCGGCAAATTCGAAACTTCATAGTTGATCTCACTCATCTTCCCAAGGAGACTGGCACGGGTATCCATTGGCAGGTTGCCCAGGCCACGTCGCTGCAAAACATCGTGTTCAACATGATTCAGGACAAGTCACCCGACAACAAGCAGCAGGGTATCTTCATGGAGAATGGATCTGGTGGTTTTATGAGTGACCTGACTTTCAACGGCGGCGCCATGGGTGCTTTTCTCGGTAACCAGCAGTTCATGACCCGCAACCTGAAGTTCAGAAACTGCAACACCGCCATTTTCATGAACTGGAACTGGCTCTGGACTTTCCACGGCGTCTCCATTGACAACTGCGGCGTGGGCATCAACATGGCCAACGGAGGGGACGGCGCTCAGACTGTCGGCTCCATCGTCCTCGTCGACAGCACCATCTCCAATACCCCTGTCGGTGTTATTACCGCCTACAGGCCTGATCAAGTCGGCACCAACGGTACACTTGTTCTTGACAATGTCGACACAAGGACCAATGTCCCCGTCGCAGTCCAAGACGAAAACAAGCGGACAATTCTCCCGGGCAACACCCTTATTCAATCCTGGGCGCAGGGCCGATCCTACAAAGGCCCGACTGGCGAGGCCAGACAGGGTGAGAGGAGTGCCGCCCCCCGGCCTGCTGGTCTTCTCGACAGCACGGGCAGATACGTCACGAGAAGCAAGCCTCAATACGAGGACGTTGCAGCGGGCAAATTCATTTCTGTCAAGTCGCAAGGCGCCAAGGGTGACGGAACGACTGATGACACAGCCGCGATCCAGAAAGTCTTCGACATGGTGCGCCCGGACCAGATTGTCTACTTCGACCATGGTGCTTACCTCATTACCGACACCGTCAGGGTCCCCAAGAACGTCAAGGTTGTTGGTGAGCTGTGGCCCCTGATTATCGCTGGTGGCTGCAAGAATTTCCTGGATGAGTCGAACCCCAGGCCCGTCTTCCAGGTCGGCAAGTCTGGTGATGTTGGCAACGTCGAAATGCAGGATCTCATATTTCAGACTCGGGGCCCCCAGCCTGGCGCTATTCTCATGGAGTTCAACGTTGCTGGCGAATCCGTTGGATCTGCCGCCCTGTGGGATGTTCACTTCCGCGTCGGAGGCAGTGCTGGCACGAGGCTCCAGTCTGACAAGTGCAGCAAGCAGCCCGAAAAAGTTGGTCCGCCAAACCGTGAGTGCATGGGTGCCTTCTTGCTCGTCCACGTTACCGCGGGTGCCAGTCCCTACTTCGAGAACACTTGGCTCTGGGTCGCCGATCACGAACTGGACCGGCCTGACCACAATCAACTCTCCATTTACAACGGTGGAGGCCTCCTCGTCGATAAAGCCGTAAGAGTGGTGTTGGTGGCGGTGTTTGTTGAGCACAACCAAAAGTACAACATCCAGTTCGTCGGGGTCAGGGAGGCTGTTGTGATGCTTTTCCAAACGGAGACGGCATATATGCAGGGCAACCCAGATGCTCGCCAGCCGTTCAAGGCCAACAGCAGGTTCTCGGACCCCGACTTCACCCAGTGCACCGGCCCTAAGTGTGCCCGCACCGTGGCACTCCGATTCGTGGACTCGACCGACGTCCGTGTGTTCGGCGTCGGCTCCTACAGTTTCTTCGACAACTACGCCCAGACATGTGTTGGTTTGAATAACTGCCAGGACCGCATAATACATGTCGAGAATTCCAAGGTGGAAATGTGTGGTGTCAGCACCAAGGCCAGCGTGGAAATGGTGACGTTGAATGGTCAAGCGGCGGCTCTGGACTCTCACAACCGTAACAACTTTTGCGGCACGATTTCTGATTTTAGTTCATATTAGGACGATGTCCAAAGGCTACCAGCGGAATGGCAGGGGCCTGGAGAAGATGGCACTGGCCACGACAGGACAGGGGGCGTAGCAAACGCGGCGGCACCGACCAGCACCATGCACAAGACGCAAACGTGCGACCACCCGCATGTGTTGTGCCGGCGACGACTGTGCTTTGTCACTACGGCTTCGATTCCCGAATATAGATGAGCAATGCCGTATATATGATGGGCTGCAGACGCGAAGAAGCTGTTGGCATTTTTTTTGGTTGTCTAGTTATACACTGCTGTGGCACGGCAGTTGCGAGCCACGCGGCTCAAGGAATATAGACTGACGGGCAGAGGGCCGATGTGTTGCAATGTGCAATATGCCTAGGTAGCTTTTAAATTTCATACAACTAGTCTGTAAGTGGCGCAGCCCCAACGCGACATGACGTGCTGTACGGAGTACGGTGGAGTCGAAGAGATGATCAAGGAAAGGTGTTGCCAGGTGTGTTTGCTGCGTTTGGCATTGCCATGGCGCTGCACCTTGGGCAAACTTTGGATGGAGATGTCGTGGTTGTGTGGGTTACCCCGTTGGGCGGATGGGCTTTTGTTTGCTCTGCTGCGCAAAGTGTTGAGCTGGTGAGCGTGAGGGTCGAGCAATCCATGGTGCCTGAAGACTGAAGACGATGGATCGCGTGCGATGTTTTCAAGAGCGAGCGAGGTAGGGAGGGAGGGCCGGACGGGGATGGGTCGGGGGCGGCCAGACGGAGGCTTCATTTTGGGGTTGATTTACTTTCGGCCGCGGCGGGGTTTTGCATCCGGGCCTGGAAATCAACGTGTCGCGGCCCGGACGGGAACTGAGGAAGGCGGCGTCGGCATCGGCATCGGCATCGGCATCGGCCCGGTGGCCCACATTGCTTGCACGTCTCCGGAGGTAGCACTCCGTACTTGGAATTGAGCTACCCGGTACCCTGTACCGCACCTAGCGTGTCCTGTCGGTGGGTTGAAGTCTGGCTCGGGGAAGAGGTCGGCTTTGTGTGATGCTGTGGTCGAGGTGGCTATACGTGGTACGTACCACGCAGACATGGCAAAAGTCGACTTGGACACAATCTGGCACAGTAGAGGTGTTCAAAGCACATAACTACGTGTCAAGTCAACCTAGACATAATACTGCATCGTATAGGTCTTTGGCTGTAGCACATCCGTACAAAGTCAACTTACACATGGTCCGAGGTGCTTGGCTGCGACACACAAGCAAATGATGACAGCGTGCAAGCCGACGCGGACGACGGTGACTGAGGCAACAAGGTATTGGACGCCTCGTGCGTCTGTGCCCGGGCCCGTGTGCGGCCAACGAGGGCATCGCGATGGCTGCAGCCTTTGTGCGCGGTTGAGGCTCTTGTTGGGCTTGACCGCAAGTTCGGTGCGGTGCCACAGCGGCCGGCTAACCGGTGGGCTGGACGCACAGGCATCTTGTATATAGATAGCCAGCCCTTGACTGGTGAGGTCCGTCGAGTTGCGTGACTGAGCTTGTTTGAGACTGACCGTGTCATGTCCAGCCCTCGGCACGCCCAGACATGGTCTCTCTGGGTGGTGTTGCGAATGCCGGGCCAAAAATACGAGTACTGAGTGCTCCGGAACAAATCTCTGACACGCTCGAGCCTGACGCTGTTGTCCGACGCGGCTGTTTGTTCGGGTCCGAGGTCTCTGCCGGCCTGGCGACTGCAGTCACACACCTGACGGGTAAAGAAAGATGCGTGGTCTTCTGCGGACCACGAAACTTGTCCGTGCCCGCGGACCTATATTTATGTAGCAACCCCAGGTTCCGAGTGGCGGGCCCTTTGATTGAATCCTTTGTTTGCCTGGGCTTTCTATTTATAGAAGGTATACATGGATGGTTCTGCAGCACGTTATGTGGCAGTCTGTGACTGCGGCAGCGGCGACAAGATTCCAAGGGCCTAGCCGTCCCGCCCAGTCTAATAATCGCCCTCGGTACGGAGCACGCTTTGAGGAACCTGGGCTCCAGGACCTCGGGGCCTTGGTCGCAACCTCGTGATGTTGCCGCGTAACCGTCCCCGGTGGCCGTTGCTGGCCCAGGCGCATGACGTATCGACCACGAACCAAGGGACAAAGACAAGATCCAGGATCAAAGGTTTCCCCCCGCCGCCTGCTTGTTTACGTCTTGTGTCCGTCCACGCCGTCTGTTTACTCATCCGTGGCGTCTCCGCAGGTGGGCTGTTTCAATTCCAAATATAATGCCTGAGCCCGTGTGTCCGTATCCGTCTCTGAGGCATATGGCCATTGGCATGTCGCAGAGGCAGGCACCAGCAAGTGGCGCGAGTATGCCTTCCGGGCTTCCCCCTCTTTCGCAGTGGTTCTTGGCCAACAACGTCAAGACGCCGGCAGAGCTCAACAAGTTTCAACTTCCGCACATCTTCTCGGACGGTGGTGCCAATGTTCCACGGGCCCCGGCGAGAACAGGCAAGGTCCCTGCCGCCGAGAGCGTCGCGGAGAAGACACACCATGCCGGCACGACGGCCGCGGGCGACGCGCGTCGAGGAAGCTCCGGCGGCAACAACAGCGACGTCACGGGCGAGGAGCCCGACGTGTCCGGCTGCCGCGTCCCAGGCGACAAACTCGCCGAGCTGCGCGATGTCACGGCGTCCTTTCTGGTCCGTGACCCGAAAGGAAGTCTGCTGGAGCCCTCGTCGACGGTCTTGCTCAACTCGCACACCGACGACATGCAGATTGTCGACGGGCTCGTCCTGCACCTGGCAAAGGAGCTGCAGGCAACTCTCGTGTCGGTAGACTTGGAGGACTTGCAGGACCTGGGATACGAATTCGGCCTCTACGAGAGGCGGGCACAGCTGGCCAACGTGGCCCTTCAGAATGATCTGCTGGCGGCCAACAAGTCCGTGGTTTGCGGCATGGCGCTGCGCTACTTCGGGGCCTCGCCGCAGAACCCGGAGTTCGCCGCCTCTGCGCAGGAGCGGACGACCGAAGCCATCAACATGATCTTGGATCTCCAGCTCCCCAGACCTCCGTCGAAGCCCAGCGTGGCACTCGGCCGCTCCTCGGGAGTTGTGCCGTCCAGCACCTTCTGGGAGCGAGCTACCGCCCCCCCCCTTTTCATACACATCCGGGACATCTACAACATCATCAACTGGCCCAACGGTGCTCGGGTTCTGCTAAACTTCCAGAGGTGTATCCGGACGAGACGGAGTCAGGGCCTCGGCGTCGTCCTTCTGATCTCTCAACTCCCGTATCACGCATGCCGGATAAAAGACGCAGAACAAAAGAGTGACAAAGACGCAAAACAAAAGAGTAGAAAAGATGCCTCCGAGTCGCTGGTGCCCATCGGCCAACAGGTCGACATCATTCCCACCGAGAGCAAACCGGAGCTAGGCCACAGGGGATTGTACAAGTTGCTATCCCAAGCCAGCTTTCGACGTTTCAAGGCCCTGCTGCGATGGCACGTTCCCCATTTTCTCATGAGCCCCGACGTCCTCGTGGCTTGCCATCCCTCCTCAACCTGGAGGCTGGAAGACGACACAAGGTACAAGTTCTCCATCTGCGTCGCACAGGACCCGCGCAAGTTCCTCACCCAGATCAAAGGCCGTGCCTATGGAAAGGGCCATGCCAACCTCGACGACGTACGGGCGGTTCTGCTGCGCCTGGGCTGGTTGATACGGGCAGACGCCAAGGTCGAAGCAGCGCAAGAGCCCGTGGAGCAATCGGTCGACAGGGCGTCGTGGAACGATGAGATGAGAAGGATTGCGGAGACCGCGGACAAACACGAGAAGTCACTCATGGAATGCATCGTCCGCCCAGGTAACCGACGATGCCGGATCCCGACCCCGTCTCGTGTGGACGTCTGCTGACCATGGCCGCAGATGAGGTTGACTACACGTACGAAGACGTCGTCATGGACCAAGAGACCAAGGAGATCGTCCAGAGCCTGGTTTCGCTGTCGACCCTGAACACGGACGCCGAGCCGGGGCCGCTCATGAGGCCGCTCCGCATCAAGGGAGCTCTGCTCTACGGGCCCCCGGGGACGGGCAAGACGCATCTCTGCCGAGCCATTGCCAAGGCGTCGGGGACAAACATGCTTGCCATTGCCTCGGCGGAAATGCAGTCCCAGCACATTGGCGAGTCCGAGAAGCTCATCAAGGCGGCCTTCAAGCTCGCCAAGAAGCTGTTCCCCTGCGTGCTGCTCATCGACGACGCGGACGCGCTCTTCTCGCGCCGCTCGTCCGAAGACAACGACTGGAGGCGGCCCTCCCTCACCCAGTTCCTCATCGAGATGGACGGACTGTCCGAGAGCAACGAGGCCCCCTTTGTCATGGTGGCGACGAACCGTCCCCAGGACCTGGACGACGCCTTCTACCGCCGGCTCCCGCAGAAGATCTACTTTGGGCTGCCCGACGAGGAGTCGCGCGCCAAGATCCTCCGGCTCATCCTGAGGGAGGAGGAGCTGGATCCCCTCGTCGACATTGACTGCCTGGCCAGGAAGACGGACAAGTACTCGGGCTCGGACCTGCGAAATCTTTGCGCCGAGGCCGCGCATCTCTGGGCCATGGAGCAGCGCAAGACGGCACCAAACGGAGCAAAGATGGACCAGAACATGCCGCTCTCGGTCCGCCACTTTGAAAAGGCGCTCCAGAAGATGCGGCCGACCGTTTCCGACACGACCATGGAGTCTCTCGCGGCCTTTACCCGCAAGTTTGGCGTCAAATCCTCCCACAACAGCGGCAGCAGCGCGTCGTCTCCCGTCGCCGCATATGCCGACTTGGTGAGGCAGCCCCTTGTGTCCATCCCCATCCCACCGCCAGAGGAGGACACGGCCTGGACTACTGAAGGAGAGGAGATGCCCGGACAGGAAGCCGGGAGCCCGGGCCCGGCCCGTGACTGCTGTCGTGCAGACGTGTCCTCGCCCTCACGAGAAACCACGACGCAGTGTGGAAAGAGAAAGAGAAGCGACTCGGATGCGCGCGATGCCACCGAGTGCCGCAGGAGCCCTCATCCCTCTTGCGCAAACGAAGCCAGCAGAGGGGAGTCGGGAGACGGCGTGAAGGAGGAATGAGCGAGGGCCCTGACGTTGCGGTGCCGAGTGAGGCCTGGGTGTGTCTGCCCATCTGAAAGACCTTGTCGAGAGGGGTCTGTGTGAGCGAGCATTAGATTGTCAAGGTTGTAGAAGAGGTCAATGGTAAATGGTAAATGGTAGCAGGTAGCAGCTCGCTGGGGGGGGTGCAGAACTTCTTCCCCTTGATCTGGCGTAGCTGCCTCAGACTTGAGTGACGTTTGTTCAAGCTCATAGACGAAAAGGAGCCTTCCGAGGTGATGGGATGCGAGGCGACAGCTCTGTTGACGGCCGGCGTCGTGTACGTGGGACGACGACTTTGAGTGTCTATGGGTGCAACAAGGCCGCTGCCCGGCGAGGGGGTCGATTTGACGCCACGGCTGGGGATGAACCGCAGGTGCCGTTTCGGGGCATCACGCACGTTATCACTCTTGTCGAGGCCTCTGGTGGCGTCGTTTGCAGCAGTCCCCATGCGGAGCGTTGTCGTGTGACGTTGGGCCCTTTTTTGTGCCCGATGGCGAGGTCGACACAGGAGACGAGTTGACGCGGACAAGTCGAGTTGACTCAAGACGAGAGAGGCGAGGCAAGATAGAACAGACGAGTCGACACAGACAAGACGAGACGCACAATGGCGGCTTTCACCTCCATCCCCGTCATCGACCTCTCCCTCGCCCAGTCGCCCGCCACAAAGCCCCGGCTCGTCATCGATCTACGAAACGCCCTCGTCCGCGTGGGATTCCTGTACCTCGAGAACCACGGCATCCCCCAGCGGGTTTCGAACGACGCCATCCGTGAGTCGGCCGCCTTCTTCCGGCTCCCCTTGGAGAAGAAGCTCGAGATCGAGACGGTACATAGCAGGCATTTCTTGGGCTACAACAGGATGGACGCCGAAAGGACAGCCGCCAAGGTTGACCACAACGAGTCGATTGCGGTAAGCCCGCCCTTGCTCCCAAGCAGCCGAGACTGCGACGTGCGAATGGCGACACACAGCTGACCCCAGACGCCGCAGATTGGGGCGGATCTGCCCGCTCCGGGAGCCCACGAACCCGTCTACATGAACCTCCAGGGCCCAAGCCAGGTAAGTCGCACGCCGCTGCTCCCTGGCCCCCAAGCAATCGCCAACACCAGCTGGGCAGTGGCCCGACGCGTCCGTGCTGCCCAACTTCAAAGCAGCCATCACGACGTACCGCCGAGCCGTGCAAGCCCTCGCCGACCGCTTCACCCCCCTGATCGCCGAGGCCCTCGAGATCCCCGCGCCGTCCCTCACCCGGCTCTTCGCCGACAACCCCTTCAGCCGCCTGAAAATCACAAACTACCCGCCTCCCGCCGCCGCCGCCGGCCATCACGTCCAGGGCGTGGGCCCGCACAAGGACGGCGTCTTCATGACCTACCTCCTCCAGGGGGGCGCCCACAACGCCCTCCAGGTCCAAAACAAGTCGGGGGCGTGGATCCCCGTGCCCCCCGTGCCCGGCACGCTCGTCGTCAACATCGGCCGCCTGCTCGAGATCATCAGCGGCGGCGTCTGCACCGCGACGACCCACCGCGTCGTCAGCTCCCCGGGGAGCTACGCCGGCGCCGACGGCGAGGCGCTCGGCCCCAGGCTGTCGCTCCCCTTCTTCCAGCACGTCAACCTGCGGCTGATGCCGGGGGACATGCGTCTCGATATCCCGCCGCACATTGCGGCGCTGGTCGCCGGCGAGGACGTGACGTCCGACTCGGACACCTTTTTCGCCGGCCTGTTTGACGGCGCCGTGGGCGATTCCGTCTTTGTGAGTCTGCTGACGAGCTTCCAGGACGCTGCCGCGAGATGGTACCCCGATCTGCTGCCGCTGGCGCTGGAGAAGCAGGAAGAGGCGAGGAGGAGGTAGGCGGGCGTCGGGCTCCCGTGTCACTTGTAGTTACGATGTACCAGGTCGAGCTGGGCCTCCTGGTGACCCCTGCTCGGGTCGACAAGACGTCAGAGTCATCAATATACCTCTTGATTTCCTAAACGGTGACTAGGTAGACATCTTGGTGGTGTGAGACGATTCTTCACATCCTCCCGCCGGGAATGACTGTCCCGCACCGGCTGGAGCGTGTCGGGAGTTGAAACCATACAAGACCTTGTGGCGGAGCGAATCGTACAACGCGTGCTGGCGCCCGGGAAACGGCGTCATTGAAAATCGGGCCCAGCCCGTTGTAGCCCACGTCAGTCTTGGTCCACTGGATCGATAAGAGGTCAGGGATCTCCTCCTCATCGGAAGTAGGTAGGACAATACGCGCTGCGAGATGCCACTGCATTGTTGACGGGCGTTGCTTACCACGGGACGAGGCACGAGTGTGCTGGTCGCATAAGACTTCATCGCATGGATCGAACACTAGATCTAGTTGTGTACGAAGCCCTTGTTGGTCACGTCCTTCAGATGGAGGAATCAAGGACCCTTCAGACTATACCATATCATATGTGAACCGAGTTTTTTTGCTCTGAGCCCCCCTGATCTGCGTGACTAGCCCTTGCTACACCTTGTTACAATGGCAAAGCCGAGAGGTCAAGCAACGCAAATGTGCTTACCTGAGTTGAGCACTTTCAACACACTGGCCATCAAGTAATAGCCTGTCCTGCGAAAACTGGTATCCTGCGGATAGAGGCCTGAAAAAATCACTCCGAGCCCGTCACGTCGAACCCTCGTTACAGTGGTTACATGCCCATCGCCTGGCGGTTAGACTTTCGCCTCCTGGCTTACCTCGGCCTCGGCATCACGGCGTTTTTGCTGGTTGTATTATCCACCGCGTACTGTCGAAAGCTTCTCGTCGGTGCTTTTGGGCTCACCGGCTATCGGCGTCCAGATGGTACTGTGACTCGAGGGTTCTAGTGACATTGCCGTTGTCGAGGATTCTGTCTTGAATGCTTCGCTACTCGCGGCCAGTTCGGTTCAACTTGTCCCTCCCGTGTGCCATGTCAAGTATGGCTGATGGCCCACGGGTCGCACGTACTTGTGAGTCGTCTGCTTAACCTCTGGGCAGCAGCATCGATGACAATGGCCACTGAGAGAGCACCCTGGCGTTTCGAGACACTACCGGGGACTTGGATTGGTTGTTGTTGTGACTGCCGTCAAGTTGGTGTGGGAGATTATTTCAAACGACGGCTGCCAAGGATCATTTGCAACCACGGCTGCTGGCGGTCGACGAGGCTGCAGCGACGACATCTGGAGTGTCGTGTGAAGGTGACGGGCTGTGGCTTGTTTCAAGAAGGCGTGGTACGGACGTGTTTGAAGTTGATTTGGATGAGAACGGGCTCGCCAACTTTTTTTTTTTTGCCTTTGAGAAATGCTGGCTGGACCAGAGTCACGTCGACCGACGGCCGGCCTTGGCATTGATTGAATGGGGACGTGAAGACGTGGAGACGTGGAGCCGCCGAGACGTGCAACTTCGGCTTCGAACCGCCCAGTTCCCACATCGAAGCACTGGCTCGCTCCATGACCAGTCACGCTTGACCTTGATTCAAGTCATGCCTTTGAACGCCTTGCCCTCCCTCGCGTGTACCGAATGCCGACGACACCATCTCACCACGTTGCCGCTGCAATGATGTATCCTCGCGCAGAGGTGGGAAGCACGGTCGGTCTCAAGATACCGCGATCGAGCAGTGAGCCAACGCCTCGCGAGACAGAGCAGCAACCTCCAGCCCAAGTTTGACCGATCCATGGCCAGCGGCTGTCTGGTCAAGCTCACTCCTCGGAGTGCTCAGACCATCACCTCGACAGGGTCGTCCTTGCGCTTGGCAACCTGATCATATTGAGATCAAAGTGGAACCTGTCTCAGGAAGCCTATCGACGCCTCAAAGCCGCGGCAAGGCAAACCAGCATGATTCGGCCCGAGGGACGGCCCATGCAAGAAACAATTACTGTTCCATCAAACACAGCAAGTCTCGTTGCCGATGGGGGGCCATCATGGTGATGCTCTCCATGGCTCGATTTTTCTTGCCCATTCCACTCCGCATATATTTACCCAACCTGAAGCGATCGTTTCCGCTCAACCAGATGTCCGGCTCTTGATGATACGTAGCAACTTGATGTAAACTTTTTTTTGAGACGACCCAGATCGGCTTCGGAGACGAGAGTCATGTACGGTCAGGGCATGCACCGATACAGCTGGGCTTGTGCCATGAGCATGGAAGCAAATCGAGAAGAATCCGCGGAAGGCCGGATCGTCAGAACAACAACTGACTGCCTGATGACTTCACAGGACTGCCTCGGAAGACCACCTGGTACAGATTGAATGCGAACGACGGTGCGGCTGCCAAATGTCTGGCCCGCTGTGCTTCCTTGGACTTGATAGGATCAACGCCAGCTCTTTGTACTTTCGGATGAGCGTTGCGTGCGGCAGCCCAGCCCACACCTTGGCCACACATCTGCTGCGAATATGTACGTACTCATTTGACACCGACCCGACAGGCTTCGGCATAGCGGTTGATGCCCCTTTTCGTTCCGTTGGAATGTCTCCGTCCAGGGCGTCTACAAGAATAATGATAATGACCCGTAGCCGAGCCAGCATACCGGATTACACCTCTTCAAGCAAGCGCCCAGGCATCGAGAGCCATGTTAAGACATGTCGTGTTTTTCAATGAGAGCTGACATGTGACATACATCTTGCAAACATGTCGTGTGTGAAAACACCAGCACCAAACGACGGGGCGGAGACCCCATGTTCCATTCCCCGGCAAAAGTTGTTCGTCCAGCATTCGCGAAGCAAGTACGAGACAACTCGTCTTCTAGTTCTACGCCCCGGCGACGAGGGCCGGCGGAGCAGGGCTTGAAGCAGCAACAGTTGCTCTGTCGAAGCAACAGTCCATCCTTAAAATAGTAAAGGTCACTGGCCTTTTTTTGAAAAGGCGGTTGATGGCAAAAGAAATCTGTGCATACGGAGCACCATGATGAGGGCCGTGCTGACACCTTTTTGCAATCTAGATTTTTTCTTTTCCTTTCTTTTTTTTTCCAATATCTAGGCCGTCGTCCTGCCGCCGGTTAGATTCCGGCATTTCACAGGCGACGAGGCATTCTCATGGACCAAGGTTATCTGTGTAATCACCAGAACGGAAATCAAGGTTTTGTTTATAGTTGCAAGGGGTGACACCACCAACTCTAGGACTGTGGACATTTCCAAGTTTTAGGTGCGTCGTCTTGCTGCTCGTCTCAGCTGCCAGGCCTAGAACGCGCCGATAATTGACGGAAGCGGGATTCCGCTGTTGATCGGCAATATAAACGCCGAAAAGCAAGTGGTTGCTTTTGTGGTGAACCACGCTTCTCACAACCCTGCGGAGCAGGACTCCACGCCATGCAAGACCAGGGCAGAGAATGAGACATGTGTTCGAGCTCTGCATAGTCCGGGGACCCTACATGACTTGCAGCCGCTTCTACCGGCGCTGGCGGCAACAACCTGACTCGACACCTCAGTCTTTGCTCGATACGACGTCGAGCACGCCTTGTGTGATGTTCAGGCGGTTTGGTTTCTTCTCATCCGTTACGTGGATCGTGTTGCGAGTCCTGCCTCGATAAGAAGGAAGCGAGACGTGGCGACTTGATCATGCTTTGACATCATTGCCCCGACAGTATTGATCTGTTATATATACATGGACATCTTGGTCGAACAACGGCAACATGACGGAGCAGCAGACCAGCCACAGAGCGCCACCCAACTACTCTGCAGGACCTGGCTGTCACTCTGTAGATTCTCACGGCGGAATTCATGTATGGAAGACGCGGCATGTGGTTGTGGTCTCTCTTGTGACCGCCGTCATTGATTGCAGGGTGGTTGGATGGACGTAGGGCAACGGGCCATTCACATGTTCCATCATCTTAACTTTGTCTGGAAAGAGGACGCCTGCATTGCCGGCACCTTGACAAGGTTGTGAGAAACCATAAAACGGCTGCCGTCTCACCAGCCAGCATGCCATGTCGTCTTATTCGCGACTGAAAATCCATCTCACTCGCCGAGCAGCATCGCATCCATCGGCCTGTCTTCCAGGCTGCCTTATCAACCACCTGACGAAAAGTTCCTGCCACGCTTGGCATATTTACTACCGGGCAGGCCGGGATGAGCTCGCTCTTCTGGTCTGGTCTGGCGGCGTGCACATGGCTCTACGTTTGCAGATGCCTTTACAATCTTTACCTGCACCCGCTCAGCCGTTTCCCCGGCCCCAGGTTGGCCGTCCTGGGGGCCTTCTACGAGTTCTGGTTCGACGTCGTCCAAGATGGCCAGTTCCTGTGGGAAATCGGACGGATGCATGACAGATACGGTGCCGTGCCGAGTCTCTCCTCCGCTCCGGCGCGCGGCCTCGCGGTGCTGCAGACTAACAGACTTCCTCTTGCCCAGGACCCGTCGTCCGCATCAACGCGCGCGAGCTGCACGTACGGGACTCGGCTTACTATAGCTCGATATACGCCGGCGGCGGTCGAGTCGTCAACAAAGACATTGCGTCAGTTGGGCCCTTGGCTGCGATGCCGCACTCGCTTCTGGCAACTGTCGATCACCACCAGCATCGCGCGAGGCGAAACCACCTCAACCCCTTCTTCTCCAAGCGTGCCGTTGCCGCCGTCGAGCCGCTCATCTGCGAGCGCATTGCCAGGCTCTGCCAACGGCTCGAGGCCGCCATGGAGAGCCAAACGACCGTGCCGCTCGACGCGGCTTTCTCTGCGCTTACTGCGGACATCATAACGCATCGTTTCTATGGAGAGCACTTTGACTACCTTGGAGTTCGAGACTACAAGAATGGCGTGACTGAGGCTGTGCTGGGCATTGTCAGGATTTCCAACCTTTTGCGCTTCGTCCCCTGGCTACTGCCCGCGTTGCAGATGACCCCAATCTGGGTCGTGCGCGTGATCCTACCGGCCTTTGCGGATTTCCTCGCCACGCGGGAAGAAATCAAGGACAGGATCCTGGCGTCTTTGCGCGGCAAAGAGAGCACAGGGCCGGGGCCCAGCTCAGTCATCGTATCCGCCCTGGGAGACGACCGGGTTCCAGCAGCAGAGAGGGACATCGACCGCCTGCTGGATGAGGGAAGCGTCGTCTTGTTCGCCGGCACGGAAACCACGTCGAGGGCCCTCAGCGTCGGCATGTTCCACCTGCTAAGCGACAAAACGCACCTCGACAAGATACGCCGCGAACTGAGAGCGCTCGCCTTCACCCCCGGCAGAGGCTACCGCTCGGCCGAGCTCGAGGCCCTTCCGTACCTGGTGAGCGCTGACGACGGCACAGCAAGCATCCAGAGACGGTCGCTGACTCCTCATTCTCTCTAGACGGGCGTCGTCAACGAGAGTTTGCGCCTGTCGTTCGGCCCTGTTGCGCGTCTGCCGCGCGTCGCGGTCGACGAGTCGCTGCAGTGCAACGGGTTCACGATACCACCTGGTGTAAGGCTTACCGCTCCTCCCGTCTGTTTCGCGCTCAGAAGGCATGCGTCCGTCCGTGCCGCGCTCACTGCTTGTTCGCACATACCGCGTGTAGACCCCCGTAAGCCAGTCGACGTACTTTGTGCATACCGATCCGGCCATCTACCCCGACCCGCACTCCTTTCGACCCGATCGATGGATCCAGGCCGCCAGCGACGGCTTCCCGCTTCACAGATACCTCGTCAGCTTTACAAAGGGCAGCAGACAATGCATCGGCATCCAGTGAGCAGGACCCCGTCGGGTGCCACACGGCCGAGAGTATTGCGGCTCACGTTTCTGCAGAATGGCGTACACGGAGCTCTACCTGGCCGTCTCGACGCTCGTCAGCACCTTCGACATGGAGCTTCACGACACAACCGTAGACCACGTCCGCATTCACTACGTCCGCAGCCTCGGCTATCCCGAGAAGTGCAGGCACATGAAGAACCCGAGGGGCGAGATCACGGTCAAGGTGAAGCGCAAAATCAGGCGCAGCGACTTGTGAGTGACTTGAAGCCGGCGAGGTGTCTTGTGCCGCCACGTTCTGCAGGAGCCGATGCTCGCGAGGTCCACGAACGAGTTGAGAAGAAGCCCCCGACATGACCACGTCTCGCGGGGCCAAGGCGTTTGTCGATGGTTTGGTATCGTGTGTATTCTATCGAGTTTAGTCAACGGCGACGTCTGGGCAATCCGAAGCGGAGAGCTTCTGAAGCTTTGTCTGCTGCAAGTTCCGTGTTGCTATTCAGGCGACGACGGCTACCGGGGACGCCGCGAGGCGGAGATGCTTGGTCGATGGGGCAGACGGACTTGAGAAACAGATATGGATATGGACATGGATGTGAGGTAGAGCATGGTGCCAAAACATTGTCGTATCTCTTCTTACTCTAGCAAGTCAAACGGTATATCGCTTTGCAAGGTGAGGATGGGATATTTTTAGCCCGATTGGTAGTGGGGCAAATCCCGCACAATAACTCGGCACGTGCCGCAGATGTGGCAGGTGATTTGTGGCGTCAACTGGTCTTGCGCCACAGCCACAGTCTGCACCGCTCACGAACATCGTGTCGTCGTCGTCGTTGTCGTCATCGAACCACCCGCACCTGAAACCGCATCCGTGCCGTGGTCTTGCGCCGACCTCGTCGATGCGCTTCTTCCCCCTTCAACACGCGTCGCTCCCTTTGCAGCCATCATGGTAACGACTCGACGCAGCGCAGGCTCGTCCGACAAACGGACCGCCGTGCCGACGCAGGCGCGACAACCACACCGCTCGGCGCCGCCGCGCAACCCGCCTGCGCTCCCGACACCGACTGAGCGCCTCGTCGTCGCCGTGTTCCCCCTCGTGCTCGCCTTTGGGACCCTGTTCTCGGTGCTCTCCCCCGAGACCCGCTCCGCGCACTACGATGCCGTCGCGCAGGCGCACTCGCAGGACCCCTCGGCGGCGCCGAGCTACTTTGCCCGCAAGTCCAACCTCTTCAACGTCGTGTTTGTCAAGCGCGGCTGGGGATGGACCACGTTCGCCTTCTACTTCTTCCTGCTGACGCACCCGAGCGGCGGCGCGGCCGGGCTGGACATGACGCCCCGACGACTGAGGGCGGTGCTGCGCTGGGCCGCCGTCACGGCGTGGTGGTTCCTCGTCACGCAGTGGTGCTTTGGTCCGCCCGTCATCGACCGCAGCTTCCTGTGGACGGGCGGGAAGTGCGACGCGGCCGAGCAGGGCGTCGCGCAGGGCAGCGCTGATGTCCGCGAGGCCCTGACCGCCGCGGCGTGCAAGGCCGCCGGTGGGAAGTGGAACGGCGGCCACGACATCTCGGGCCACGTGTTCCTGCTGGTCCTGGGGACGTGTTTCCTCTCACAGGAGATTGGGTGGTCTGTCGGCAGATGGAGCAGCAGGGCGGCCGAGGAGCGGTGCGTCGTGTTGCGTGACGGGGCGGTCAAGGGCGCCGGCGTCGAGGCGGACACGGCCGCCGGGTGCGGGGAGGGAGGCTACTCGCTTGGGATCGGGACGAGGACGGCGCTCGGCGTCGCGGGCTTGAACTTGTGGATGCTGCTGATGACGGCAATCTACTTCCACACGTGGTTTGAAAAGGTGCGTCGATGGATGGGAAAGCCTCGCCCGACCGAGTTGGTGGGGGAGAGCTGGCGCTGACTGGTAGTAGCTCACCGGACTACTGACGGCTCTTGCTGGCGTGTATCTCGTGTACGTTGTTCCTCGGTTCGTGCCGGCCGTGAGGTCCGTCGTTGGACTGCCTGGGGTATGAGCCGTCGTGAGTCGTGGCTCATGAGGAGATGGACGGGCTGGCTGCCCAGGCTCGCCCCGTGGAGGAGGAGGAGAAGGAGAGGTCCGAATCAAGACGCATTTGTTTGGGCCGAGTTGGCCAAGGAGCATGCACGAGTCCCGGGGTCTGCCGACCAGGACCGAGTACGTAGACAGAACAGCACTATTGTAAAAAGCAGCATACAGTCAAGTCAAACCTCGCGGGCAGACCCGTGTGCCGACGCAGACCGAGACCGAGACACGGTGGGTTCCCGAGCTCCCGAGATCCCGAGCTCCGCGTCGCCGCGCAAACACCACGTGCGCCCCACCCACGACAGCAGAACAACCGCAGAAGTCCAGACGTCGTTGCTTCATCCATCCCCCTCATTTCCACCCGTCTCGAGCAACAATGGCCCGCGCGCTCGGCGTGCCGTCCAACCTCGCCTCACTAGTCAAGACGACGTTTGAAAGGGCCCTCTCGGCAGGAGACGTGCATTGGTTCCCGAGCAAGGTCGCCATCGTGACCGTCAACTCGGCCCCCGTGAGTCGCCGCCCCGTCCTCGCTCAAATGCAAACAGCTCGCGCTGACCGACACACCAACGACCCCAGTTCCAACTCCGCTTCTCGCCAGCACTGGCCAGCAAGCCCCAACCTGCACCTGCACCGCAAGACGCCCCGTCCTCCCCGTCATCGTCAGCGTCAACGCCCCGGAACCCGCCGGACCCGTTTGCCAACCCCCCGCCGGCCCTGTACATTGCAGACGTCGGCCCGCGGCACTACTTGGTGCTGAACAAGTTCGCCGTCGTGCCAGAGCACTTCATCCTGGCGACCAAGGAGTTCCAGCCGCAGTCGGAGCTGCTGGAGGCAGCCGACCTGGAAGCCACGCTGGCCTGCGTCGAGGCCTTCGGCACGACGACACACGAGCCCGGCCGGGAAGAGGACGAGGACGAGGACGGCCTGTTCGCCTTCTTCAACAGCGGCGAGCACTCGGGCGCGAGCCAGCCGCACCGCCACATCCAGCTGCTCCCCACGGCCAGGATGCGCGACGGGCTGCCGGCGCCGTCGGCGTCGTCGTGGGCCGTGCTAGCCGACGGCGAGCACCTCGGCCGGATGCCGTTTGCGGCGTTCTGGGCCCCCGTGACGCCGGGCATGTCGGGTGCCGACCTCCACGGCGCCTACCTGCGTCTGCACCGCCAGGCCTGCGAGGCCGTGGGCGCGGCTGCGGCGGCCGCGGCGCCCCCCTCGCGGATAAGCTACAACATGGCCATGACGGCCGCGTGGCTCGCGGTGCGCCAGGACCCGCGCTGTCTTGAGGACGCGCTGCGGGCGGTTGGCGTCCCGCTGGACGGGGACCCGAGTCGTCGTGCGGGTGTGGACGGCTACGCAGGCTGCCTTGCGGCCCGGGGCTGACATTGCGTGCGAATTCTCGGCGGCACAGGCGTGTACAGACAGACAGGCAGGGGCGGGTATGTAGGTATGTATTCTTGGTGAGGGGTGGCGAAGCAAAGCAGAGCAGAGCAGAGCAAAGCAAAGCAAAGCAAGGCATCCTCGTGTAGCTCATTAGAGGAAATACATGGTTCCTTTCCATGCCCCCCGCCTCGGTGCCGACGTCTCCCGCCGCGCCCTAGTGGTCCCTTCCTGTCTGCTCCCGATACTTCTTATGACAAGTCAACCCGGAAAACTTGTGGGAGCCGCCGTGCTCGACAATGTACCTCGCCACGTGGTCCCAGAGCACCTTTTTGGGCCTCCTGAACCGCGGGACGGCCTCGACCAGGAGGGCGATCTGGGCGCCAAGCACGTCAGCGGCAAGCGATGGGATGGAAAGAAAGGGGGGGAAAGGGGGGGAAAGGGGGGACATACATCCTTCTCGGACCACGAGGGCTTCCTCTCGCGGTCCCTCGGGTGCAAGGTCAGCTGTCTGTGCCTGCCGCGCAGCGTGGACTCGGCCTTGTCCGACTTGAGCACCCTCTTGATGTCGGCGTAGCTGACGCCCTTGGCTCGGAGGGCGACGAGCTGGCGGTCCTCTGCGGCTCGCTGGGCCGCGGTAGGGGCCGCGAGGTTGGCGGCGGCGCCTCCTGGGCCCCGGCGGGGGGATCTGCCCGGGATCCCTGCGGGCTGGGCGGCCGGAGACGACGCGCTGCCCGTCCGGCACGGCTGCCCTGCTAGATTGGCGGGCAGGGGGGGCGTGATGACGGCGCCGGACGGAGACGGCGCGCCCGACACGGGCGACAGGGGCGTCTCTGCGGAGAAGGCTGGGCCGACGGTCACGAGGGGATGGAACGGGTGCGGATGGAGGGCCGTGTCGTGCAATGCGTCGGCGCAGGGCTGGAAGGGGAACGGCACGCTCTGCGGCGGCAGCAGGCCCCAGGCCCCCCCGTCTGCGAAGCTGGCCGCCGCGGCGGGAGGCCAAAGGGGGTTCTGGTGCGGGTGATAGATGGCGCCGTGAACGAGAGAAAGGCTTGCGCGGTCGAGTGGAAGGAGGCCGGGAGCTTCTAGCATGCCGCACGCCTGGCTGAAGGAGCTGAATACTGCAGGCCCGAGAAGAGTTTGCCCGCACAGGCTCTGGCTGTACGTTGTCGGGACTGGGCTCGACTGGAATCTGCGCGTGTCTGTCGTGTCTATCCCGACCTCGTTTTGCAACGTGTCCGTGTAATGGACCTCGCCCTGGGTCGTCGAGTACACCTCGCCTTCGAAAATCTTGGGCCCTGTTAGCGCCCCGAGGGAGACCGGAAGACGGCCACACGTACTTGGTTCGGGGTGAACTGGGAGAAGTCCATCCTCGTGTTCCGCAGCCAAGTAGGAGGCTTACCGCGCGCCCAATGCAACCGTCTGAAGCTCGACACGATGCGGGAATGCGCTAGACACCGCGAGGAGATGGTGATTCGAGCTACCACAGGAAAGGTCGGCAAATGTCAGCACAGCTAAAATTGTACGGGGAGGGAAGCTGCCGTGCAGGCGGAGAGGGCGAGGAAAAGCACCGCTCGCAATGTGCAGATGGTTGGTCGCCTGCAGTCAATATCAAGATGAGAGCCAACAGATGAGCAAACTGTTCGGGAAAGAAGCCAGCTGAAGAAGAACTTGACGTGGATGGCGGAGCTGGCACGCAAGGTTTATACAAGAGCAGAGTTGGAAACCAGAGTGAGCGGAAAGTCAGAGCAACATGAACTCGTCGACTTCTGCACTGCCAGCCGCCAGCGGCAGGGGGCTGCTCGTCTGAGAATGCCCATCCATCTTCACATCCTACGAAGCGGAAGCGGAAGCGGGAGCGGAAGCGGGAGCGCCTGTATTGTCGCCGCCTCCCACGCTCGAGACCTTTTGTCTCGTCGTGGTTATTGTCTATGCGGCGGTTCAACGACGCGGCCTCTTGTTTCCCGTCTCCCGCCCTCCCCAGCCCGCCTCTTCTCTCGTCGACCCGCCGAAGAGTCGAACCTGGTGGAAATAGCATCTCTCTGCTTCTCCAGCCGAGACCTCTGGCCTCTTTTGGCTCAGACGTTCACAGAGCCCCAGAAGCTTGGACGGCGTGCCGGGGACTCAGACTCCAGGACGCGGCAGAGGGGGCGAGTTGTGCAACGTATCGACTGCCGACTTCGTTGCTGGAACTCATCAGGGCCCGGGACCCTTGTCGACTCGCGGCGTCTACCTGTTCACAGTTCCGTTTTGGTGTGAACTGCATGCCATCCCTGCGGCGCCACTCCTATTGTCCTCGTTCTGTTCCTTTTTTCTTCTCACGGCCAGCATGCCCGGCTTTTACCGGTCCAGGCCTGTCTGCCTGCCTGCCTCCCTCGTACCGCAAAGCTTTTCTGTGAATTGCCGTCGTGTTCACTGGCCCGACTGGGAACTCTGCATGTCTGGCGCGGCCCCGCGATCCCCTGATCCCGCGGCATCATGCTCGATGCCCGCGATTGCCGATACAGCTCGAGTCGGCGAGCGTGCCTGGGCAGAGAGGGCGCCTCCGTCTGCATCTGGACATGTCGAGGCCCACCTGACAAGCTCGTTGGAAACCTCGCGTCTATATCTGGACATGTCAAGTCCCCCCC